GACCACCAAGACCGAGCCCAGTTCTGAATCATCCTGTCGCCGCTTCGCACCTTTCCGTGTCTCCTGAGGCGGCTGATTATCAACCGTTCGCTCCAGCATTTTCTCCATGGTCCTCTGCTTGAGCCCATGATCATGAAGAAGCATTCCGCCGTGGGTATGCCGGCTGCGGAACAAAAAGCTTCGTAGAAGGCCGTGATACCGTCTGAATCCTTCTCCTGGGTCTGTGGAGCCGCAATCGAACACGAACCTGGAACAGCAACCCAATGCTGTATCTGTAAGGAGTGTTCATGTTCCCTTTTAGCCATCCTCACAGATCCAGGTCGGCGTTCACTCTAACGGTCCAGGAATCAAGCAGTGAGAAGAAATGCCAGACGGCTGAGAAGCAGCTCAAAACACCAGAGACTGAGGCTGTGCAGCACTTCGCGGGCAGAAAGGGCCCCCACGCCTTGCGGACTGCCAACCATGTCTCTCCATCCCGTCGCACCCATCGCCCTCCTTCGTCTGTCGGCAGCTTCTCTACCGGCCCGTCTCGCTCTGTGTCACGCCTCACGACTTCAACCTCGAAACCGGCCATGTCATTCGCGTGCCAAACGCAGACGACCGTCTCCTGAGTCTGCCGGCTTAGAAGACCGCCATGTAACTCCATGGTCGGAAGCCACGGCATGTCTCGATATCGAATTCACTCACCCATCCCCGGACTGACTATTACTTGGTGGCGGCAGCCCAACGGCAGCCGGTCCGGTCCCGAGCCCTCTCGATAGGGTTTTCAGTCCAGACAATAGGGATTGTGTCACCATGCAACGACGTGCACCTCGGACCATGGCTTCGTTTGTGCCACCATCGCTAGCGAGGCTCCCGGCCTGAGTCAAAATAGTGCCAACATCCGCGCCATCGTTGGGGCGCAAAAATAGCTCCAGGTACGGCGCGGGCGTGGCTTGCCTCAGAGAGGCCAAGAAGACGTACTTCTCATTTCAACAGCGGTGTCACCCCCCTGTTACTTCACGCCTTCGAGTGACGAATTTCAATGTCTAGCGCTGTCACTGATATGCGCCGTCCGCTCGCCGTGCTGGGCTCAGATCCCTTCATCATCAGCGTCTCATCTCATCTCGTGCCCGCCTAGCGCTCTGTCTTGCTTCGGGATGAAGTCTTTCTCGCCGTCTCCTTACTTTGTTAGCTCGTCAATGCCAGCGCGCTTCGTGAACACAGCCGTTCGGCGCGGCTAAGCCTTGTTGACGCTTCGCCGCACCTGAGAATGTGGGTTACGTCCTGAACCCCTGAAACACTGTCGGACGGATTGGATGAATGGGCGAGATGACAGCTCGATCTGACTTTGGGCCCATCTGAAGCATTTCTTCAGCTCGTTTCAAGCTGTTGCAGGGGCTGCTTGTCGAGCACTCTGCCCACACTTTTAGTATGCGGTATTCGATGTTTACCTGCCGATCATCCTATCATCCAACCTGGGCATCACATTAGTGACCAGCGTTTTTCGTTCCAGACGCAACACTTACGGCATTATCTTCCATGTTATGGTCCTCGGCCTGTTTGGCCGTGTCTCTCTCCGAGATCAATCAGAAACCAGTTCAACCCGGCGCGAGAGCGAGGTCTACCCCGGAGTCTGGGTAACGTCTTGGCATGGCCTCTCTGCCCAGACACACATGATAAGACTGACGAGACCATCCCAGGCGTGCCACTGTCTGTCCTCACGGAGGTGATTGACTCTCCGTCTCGTCTGCCTCACACGTGCTCATCCCGCCAACACTGCAAAGCCCCAGGTGTGGCTTGTGCCGATCCAGACGTCACGTTTGAGATATCAGAGGATGAACTTTGCTGTTCGTCCCGGTCGTCTCACCAACCAATCACCCTCATCATTCGCAGAGACTAAGCTAATGTCCTCGCGTTTCAGGAACACACAAGAAGACGTCATTGGAATGTGCTGCCGGCCCTCCATGGCCTGGGCGACTTTGGACGGAACTCGTGGCACTCGGTTCTCTGACCGCATATTTCCGCCTCGTCTCCGTGTAACCTTCGCCGAATCACTCTCAGACGAGTAGTTTCTTCTTCGGCGCTCTGCACAGCTCTGGGCATTCACCGACAACGCAATGACGGAGTCGCGTGGTCTCGGTTCACTCGGCAGGCCGGGCGGGTGAACGATTTGTCCTGTAAAGCACGTGTCAGAAGCCGGGCGTTGCGAGTTGCCATGAAACGGTAGACTCTTGTCCTCACCGGAAAGCCTCTCCGGCAGATGTCGCCGAACAGGCGCATCTAGACATGTGCCATCGACCGGACGGAGTTGGTCGGCTTGCCGATTCAAGCAAAGCACAGTCTGCAGACCATCAGGGCCCGGCTGACGGAGCTTTGCCGACTAAGTGCCGTCCGGCTGCTGGCGTTGGCGCAGCCAGGTCTCCGGGACCGGGCCCGATCGCGTGGGTCTGACGACCCGGGCCTTTCGACTTCCCCCGCTGTACTGTTAACGCTTGTCGCGGCCTACCTAGATTGGAACAGCTGTCGCCGGTAGTAGTCACTTACCTCTCTCTAACGCCGAGTCTACCACAACCCGCTGTAAGGAAGCAAACTCTAGGGGCCCGAGCTGTCGTCCCAAAGGGCATTTTGCGCTTACCCTCACACATGCGCTGGACTTGAATAAAGTCGACTGGTTTGGCATACTCGAGCAAAGCACGCCAGGTTGGATGACAAGCAGATAACAGGCCTCGACGCGCCGAGAGTTACATAATTCAGACAGAGAGCAGCCGTTGCTGACGTTCAACGCAGGACGCGACGCTGACTCAAATCTTTCTCAGGGTCGAGGTGCTTGGTTGCCCCGCTGAATTCCATCATGATTGCCGGCGTGATGCGACAAACGAGCAGGCGCCGCGTAGATCGAGGCAGTACTTGGAAGCGTGAAGATATATGACCTGTATCGACTGCAGCCGCCGTATCCTGCATCTCGGGGCTCTTCGCGGGCGCTGGATTGGCGAGGTTCTGTCACCCCCAAGACAAGTTTCTGGGTCCGAAGCTTCGGGGCGAGGTCGGACCCCATGTGTCCGTCTCCAATGACTGGCTGAGACGGTGACTACACAGCTGCCAGATCCCGCAGGGTGGGTGGCCTCTGGGAATGTCACCGAAAAGGGTCAACGCCCTCTATCTGCGTGGGGAAGGGAGGTTTCTATCATATTCTGACGACAATGGCAGCTCCGGTTGACGAGGATGAGCAGTGTGTCCTCGCAAGCCTACCCAGAATGGTATTCCTCAAGCCGCGAGGATGCATATGCGGGTGGGCTTCCGAGCCATCACATCATATGTCAGATGCTCTTATGATGAGCTCTGTGGCTCTGCAGCTTTGACTATGCAAAGACGGCATATCCTGGTCGGACAGATTCCAGAATTTCGTTGCTTTTTCTCGGGCCTGGCCGTACCATCACACTGTATCCGTACACGTTGGACGGGCTGTTGCAGGCGGTGGAGATGTGCGTGCTGTCATATTCTCAGCCTGGGTCAACGGGATTTTTTGTCACATTTTCTTGTCGGCAGGGCTGCCGTCCGTGGCAGGCCGGCAAGGCCTTGGTGGTTGCATGTCATTGGCTCGACGGTACCACGGGAATCCAGGGCCGCGCCCGAGACGAGATGGTCTCGGCACGGCATTCATTGTCGGGGAGCGTTATTCTTGCGTTCGGAACTGGAGAAGCTGGAAACGACGAACGGGCTTGGGAGACGGTGGCCGTTTGGACCAAGGTTGATCTGCGCACAGGGCGAGGAAATGGAGGGGCAACAAGCCTGGATGGAAAATTAACTGCGGTATGAGAAGTCTGGAGGATGTGACAGCTGATGGATTATGACTTGCGGCGCGCGGTAGGTGAATTCATGCTACGGCCGGGATCAGCGCATGGCTCCGAGTCCACAACCAACCCCGCGCCGGGGGGACACTGCTGGTTGACGCGAGTTCCAAGACAGAGCAAAGGCGGGCGTGCTACGTACATGATGTGTGTGGGCGGTGAGCATGCTGTAATTAAGTAGGTAAGTTACTCTGTCCTGATTTCTAGTTGCAACGCTGGAAGACCTGTTCCAACTCCCGACTTCTGAGCAGCGGGGGACATCTGTCCAAACATGCTTCAGCAGGCAAGGTTGGTTCTTGACGGCCACGTTGTAAAATGCATTCAGACGAAGAGCCAGTTAAAATGATTGAATAGGAGCTGAGTCAAAGGCAACATGTAACAAGTTTGTTGCTGAGGTTGTGAAGCTTAATGAGAGTAGCTACCCAAGTTACATGGGCTCTGGTGTCTCTATGCAGTACTGCAGAGACGGAAAAGGTTAAGGTACCTCAGACTGGAAACAAGATGGGCGGCGATGTGTATCTTGCCGGCTGGCACTGGCGTGGAAAATACTTCCCGGTTGGACACCGATGGCTGTTGACGGTTTGACAGCAGAAGTACCGCATGGACTTGATGATTGGGCAAATGCCGTCGACGGCTTCGGGATCGCCCATCACGGCCACTTTGGGTTCCCACCTCCCTCATTGACGGCTACGTGAAGTCTAAGTGCTTTGCCGGTGTATGCCCCTGCAAAGACTACATCGACACAAAGTACCGCGGCGATGGGGCAGCCGATGTACCAAGGTCGTCATCAGCGGCTTCTTCCCCGGCAGGTACCTTTTACTTGGACAGTTGTATTCCCCCGGAACACACGAGTCGACCGCTGCGCTGCGATTGCTGAAGACGTCGCGATACCTGGGAGCAACAGTAGGTACCTTACTTGAGGTTCCTCTCATTGAGCATCCCACGTTGGATTCCCAAAACTATTTAAACTGCAAGGTTGCGTCCGCCGGGCTCAATGGCGTAGTGGCCCCAGCTTCCTCTCTTCGACCATACAAATTTACCCCTCCATAACCCCACTTCCACCACTTCACTTCCATTGGGACCTCATCATCTTCTTCTCTTTCCCACTTCCATCTCTACAACGCCAGACACAACTTCTCCCACACATATACCACAACACACATAAGCAAAATGGGTGTCACCAAGACTACTCACCAGGAGGGCACCGGCGCCATTCCCAAGCCCGGCGATACTGTCACCATCGAGTACACCGGCTACCTCAAGGACACGAAGCAGGATAACAACAAGGGCAAGAAGTAAGGAATCTCAATTCACCACAACCCCGTCCTCGCTTTGAATCATCCTCCTTCGCCTACTCCGGCTCTTCCTTGTCAATCACACTGCTGACTGCGGGCTTTCTCTACAGGTTCGACTCTTCCGTCGGTCGCGGCGACTTCGTCACCCGCATTGGCGTCGGCCAGGTCATCAAGGGTACGTCCGCCGCCGCAACCTGATCTTTCCCCTGATCCTCCTCCCTCGAACCGCCCCTATCAATACCCCACTGCCCTCCGTCAATTAAGCTTGGCTGCTAACACGTCTCGTCGCAGGCTGGGATGAGGGTGTCACCACCATGAAGGTTGGCGAGAAGGCTACCCTCGACATCTCCAGCGACTACGCCTACGGCGAGCGCGGCTTCACCGGCCACATCCCCCCCAACGCCGACCTTATCTTGTATGTGGCAACTCCCTGAAAAATACAGGCCAATTGCCTCGTGTCCATTGGATATAAGCTAACAATGTTCACAGCGACGTCGAGCTGAAGCACGTCAAATAAATTTACATTAAGAGTTGGATTCGAGGAAACACGGCGATGGTTTGGTCTAGCTGCACAGTCATAGATGTACCAGCGAATCTAAACTACACAATTGCCATATGAAATCGGGTGCTCTTCTCGGTCATCTACCTGAAAACCTATACTGCTAGGGCCACGACTTTCGCCCATCTACAGGATCGATCACTCTCAAGCTCGATTTAAGTCGCACGGCAGAAAGCGCCGGTGACACAGCTGCACATGCGACTAGCCATCACTGGCTTCTGCTCGTCAAAAGCTGCCCCTGTTTGAGGAGCCACACGGACATGCTCTGGGGCCACACTCATTCAGCGTACTTGGCTTTTCGATGCGGCCGACGTTGATGGCGACAGCCCGCATCTGTTTTTGGCGAGATCAAATATGTCGGTATTTACAACACATCTCGATGATATCAAGCACCTGTCACAATTAGATCGGGCAATGCTCTCTGCTCGCGTCGATAACGCCAGCCCAAGATCATGTGCGCCAAGCACTTGGCAACCATTTCCTACTATCGTTCTGGAGGGCACAATTGACTGATGGCTTTGTTATAGTCTGGTGGGTTCCCGGTGATGATGCAGCAACAGGCACGCCTCCTGGGACTGAGAAACACGCATATTTGGATAAGGTACCTCGAGACCGCCGACCTCATCTTAGAGTATCGTCCTCAATAATGCGAATTTCATATTCTTTGTGACAGAAGGTGCCATTTGAAGCTCTAGCAGTGCGCTGGTTTCAGTGTTGTGGCGAATACGAATTATTTCGCTGGTTTTTTGACATGTTTTTGTCTGAAACATCACCACATTCCCGGGACAACAATGCTACCAGCAGATCCAACGTCTTGCCTGCCACGGTTCGTCTGTATGTAAGGTAGTGGCTAACTGACCCATTGCAGGATGGCCAAGATGGCAGCCGCCAAGCTTGCCACTTTAGCAAAGTGACGCCTTGCCTCTCTCCTGCTGGAAGGTTGGAAATGGAAGTCGGTAGATTCTCGGAGAACGTCGCTCAAGGCGCAGCTCCGCCTGGCACAGTAAGGCTAGTGCTTATCCAAACTGTATGCATTACGAGGGGCGAACGCGACTATGCGAGTCGTAGCTTCCATATACACATTAAAGAGATACTGCGTATGTTTCCAAACAAGCCAGGTACCGTTCTGAGCCCGCGGACGAGAATCCGGTGTAATCATCGTTCTCTCCAGAGGATCAATCCTCGACCGCATACCGAAGTAGTTGGGCTTACAGAGCAGCAGAGGGGCGTTCTTGTTTAGAAATCAATCACCCACCTTCGGCGGAGCTCTTTGCCGTGAATTCCCCGTCTTTGTGAGGTAGCCCGTCGAGTGACATACTGACCCTCCGGTTTTGTATGACAACCGCACAGAAAAGTGGTGGTTTCCTTTGTCACCTACTGGCTCATGTAGGTTGGTAATTAGGTACCTGAGGTAGGCAGCCAGCACGGTACCTCCCAGGCTGTCGCTGCTTACCTTAGCTCTCCACTGAGCCACTCCCTGAGGTGCCCCTCGTCGACATCCACTCCCGTCCACTCGACCTGACAGGCTCCACGACCACCTTTACATCACCGCAACGAGGCTGCTCTTCTTGCGTCCACATCAACGTGACACGACACTGCCTGGTGCATTTCCCACCTTTTTCTTCACACGCAGCGCAGAATCTTTTCCTTTGCAACAAACCCGATATCACGACCTCCCGCGGCCCAACGAGACGATATCTACAAATACAGCGGACGCATACGACACACACCTTCCTCTCTGGTGGGGTTGAGCTCGATCGTCCCACCGCCCGTGTTTCCCTCCACGTCATAGCACTCGAGATACCGTCTGTCGTCAAGCTGGGGAAGCGCAAACTCTCCGAAGGGGACACACCTGAATCCCACAAAAAAGCCATGGCTGTACGTCTGCTCCCTACGTTGCTTTGCTCCGTCTGCGATCGCGGTACCCCGCAGCAAGCTGTCGTCGCTCCGGAAGCCGACCTCTCATCGCACCACGTCGCTGACTTATTCGCTGCCTACAGGACAAGAAGCTTCCCGAGGTCGACCTGGTCACCCGCATGCAGGTCGACGACTCCGTCGTTGGGAACACGGAAATCGACGAGTCCCTCTACAGTCGCCAGCTCTATGTCCTGGGCCACGAGGCCATGAAGCGCATGGGCGCTTCAAACGTCCTCATTATTGGTCTGAAGGGTCTGGGTGTCGAAATCGCGAAGAATATCGCTCTTGCCGGTGTCAAGAGTCTTACCCTCTACGATCCCGGCCACGTTGCCCTTGCTGATCTGTCTTCACAATTCTTCCTCCGCCCCGAGGACGTCGGAAAGCCGAGAGACGAGGTCACCGCGCCCCGGGTCGCTGAGTTGAACGCATACACGCCTGTCAAGGTCCACCAGTCATCCGAGTATGTGCGGGGAACCGGTCGTGTTGAAGATAAAAGCTGACGTGTGGGACAGTTTGGGCGAGAACCTCTCCCAGTTCGACAAGTACCAGGTGGTCGTCTTGACCAGCCTTCCCCTGAAGCTGCAGACTCTCATCGGCGACTACTGCCACTCCAAGGGCATCTACGTCGTGGCTGCGGACACTTTCGGTCTTTTCGGTTCGGTTTTCTGCGATTTCGGCGAGAAGTTCACCGTCATCGACCCGACCGGCGAGACACCCCTGAGCGGCATCATCGCGGGCATCGACGAGGAGGGTCTCGTGTCCGCTCTCGACGAGACTAGACACGGGCTCGAGGATGGCGATTACGTTACCTTTTCCGAGATCGAGGGCATGGAAGGTCTGAACGGATGCGAACCCAGAAAGATCACGGTCAAGGGCCCCTACACCTTCTCGATCGGCGACGTGTCTGGCCTTGGGCAGTACAAGCGCGGCGGCCTCTACCAGCAGGTCAAGATGCCCAAGGTTATCGACTTCAAGAGCATCACTGCCGCGATCAAGGAGCCCGAATTCGTCATTTCCGACTTTGCCAAGTTCGACCGGCCCCAGCAGCTGCACTTGGGCTTCCAGGCGCTGCACGCCTTCGCCGCGAGCCAGGGGCGTTTCCCCAACCCTTTGGACGACGCGGATGCGACGGTGATCCTCCGGTCCGCCGAGGCGTTTGCCAAGGCCGAGGGCGTCGAGGTCGAGTTCGACGAGAAGCTGCTCAAGGAGCTGAGTTACCAGGCCCTTGGCGATCTCAACCCCATGGCGGCCTTCTTCGGTGGAATCGTCGCGCAGGAAATCCTCAAGGCCGTGTCCGGAAAGTTCCAGCCCATTCAGCAGTGGATGTACTTTGATTCGCTCGAGTCTCTGCCGACCAGCACGCCGCGCACCGCCGAGCTTTGCAAGCCCTTGGGTACCCGATACGACGGACAGATTGTTGTATTCGGCCGTGAGTACCAAGACAAGATCGCCAACCTGCGCCAGTTCCTCGTTGGAGCCGGTGCCATCGGTTGCGAGATGCTCAAGAATTGGGCCATGATCGGCTTGGGTACAGGTCCCAAGGGTAAGATCACTGTTACCGACATGGACTCCATCGAGAAGAGCAACCTCAACCGCCAGTTCCTTTTCCGCCCCAAGGATGTCGGCAAGATGAAGAGTGACTGTGCCGCCGCCGCCGTGCAGGCCATGAACCCCGACCTCAACGGCCACATTGAGTGTCTGAAGGATCGCGTCAGCCCCGAGACCGAGGAGATCTTCAACGAGCAGTTCTGGAACAGCCTGGACGGCGTCACCAACGCCCTCGACAACGTGGAGGCGAGAACGTACGTCGACAGACGCTGCGTCTTCTTCCGCAAGCCTCTGCTCGAAAGCGGTACGCTCGGAACCAAGGGCAACACGCAGGTTGTGCTCCCGCACCTGACCGAGTCCTACTCCTCGTCCCAAGACCCCCCTGAGAAGGAGTTCCCCATGTGCACAGTCCGCAGCTTCCCCAACAAGATCGAGCACACGATTGCGTGGTCCAAGGACCACATGTTTGAGAACCTCTTCATCACATTCCCTTCCACAGTCAACCTGTACCTGACCCAACCGAAGTACATCGAGGCCACGCTCAAGCAGGGTGGCAGCGCCAAGCTGACTCTGGAGACTCTCCGCGACTACCTGACCACCGATCGTCCTCGCACCTTTGAGGACTGCATTGCGTGGGCCCGTATTCTGTTCGAGAAGGAGTTCAACAACAAGATCCAGCAGCTTCTGCACAACTTCCCCAAGGACTCCACGACCTCGAGTGGGACGCCCTTCTGGTCTGGACCCAAGCGCGCTCCTGAGCCTCTCAAGTTCGATGCCAACAACCCCACCCATTTTGCGTTCGTCGTGGCCGCCGCCAACCTGCACGCGTTCAACTACAACATCAAGTCTCCCGGCACCGCCAAGGACATTTACCTGCGTGAGCTCGAGAATGTCATCGTGCCGGACTTCTCGCCCGCGGAGGGTGTCAAGATCCAGGCGAACGACAGTGACCCTGTAAGTGGTGTCTGGAAAAGCAGCATTCAGGGTTCGTTGACTAACATTCCACAGGACCCCAACGCTGAATCCGGCGAGGGCAGCTCCTTTGACGACAACGACGAGCTCCAGAAGATCATCGCCAGCCTGCCGTCTCCCAACGATCTGGCCGGCTTCCAGCTTCAGCCCGTGGACTTTGAGAAGGACGACGACTCGAACCACCACATCGACTTCATCACAGCCTGCAGCAACCTCCGCGCTGCCAACTACAAGATTGAGCAGGCCGACCGTCACAAGACCAAGTTCATCGCCGGCAAGATCATCCCCGCCATTGCGACGACAACGGCTCTCGTCACCGGCCTGGTCATCATGGAGTTGTACAAGGTCATCGACGGCAAGCAAGATCTGGAGCAGTACAAGAACGGTTTCATCAACCTGGCGCTGCCCTTCTTCGGCTTCAGTGAGCCGATCGCCAGCCCAAAGGTGGAGTTCAAGGGCCCCAATGGCGTCGTCAAGCTTGACAAGATCTGGGATCGCTTCGAGGTCGCAGACATCACGCTCAAGGAACTTCTCGAGCATTTCGAGAAGCAGGGTCTCAGCATTTCCATGCTCAGCTCGGGCGTCAGTCTGCTGTACGCCAGCTTCTTCCCCCCGGCCAAGCTGAAGGACCGCCAGAACCTGAAGCTCAGCCAGCTGGTGGAGACTGTCTCCAAGAAGCCCATCCCTGCTCACCAGAAGGAGGTCATCTTCGAGATGGTGGCCGAGGACGTGGACGGCGAGGATGTCGAGGTTCCTTATATCAAGATGAAGATGGCATAAGCAGGTTTTGTTTCGTGGCGTGTGGGTGGCGGGATGTCTTGAAGGAATGAGAATTAGATGGAGAGACTGGCTCATGATTTGTTAGAGGGCCGGAAAATTGTGACCGGGACCAACGAGGTGATACTACTGAGCAATAGAGCTTTTCAACTTATCGCAGGTGTTTTGATCGTCGTCGGTCGTGATGGACTGGATTCGGATCAACTTAGGTCATTGGATCGATAAAGGCAAGTCAGAATCAGGCGAGTATTTGCAGATAAAGCATGCAACTGCCCCTTGAGCCCGTATTTGTTACAGGCAGGCATTGGTTGGTGCCTTTGATCAAATTCTGCAGTTGCTTTGTGGTCTTCGGGAGGCAGGCGCGTTTAACATGAAACCTATTACTTACTGCCTAAGCCTTTGCCTCTTTGCTTACTTCTCCTACACACCACCACCTCCACCATCACCTCCTTTGAGCGCTCTGTGGCTCTAAACTGTCAGACTTTCCTTGCTCCTCCACAATACCTCGGCTACTTTCTGGCCTCTATCCACCATCACCAACACCGCTGAGCCTCGCAGCAACGATGGACTTACACCAGCCCCCAGATGACTCCAACGGCGGGTTGAGTTTTGCCCTCGAATGGGGCAGATACGGCCTTTCTCTGCACTATAAGTTTTGGCCCAAATCAGAAAACGAGGTACCGGCTGGAGACTCAACCATCAATTGCTTGATGGTACTCATCCGACATTTCAACGCGCAACTCGCAAGCACGGACGTATTGCGACAAGAGAAGGAGAAAAACCCCTTGATAAGAGCCTCTATGAAGCTTCGACCATTGACTCGGCCGAAGATTCGCGTGAGACAGCCCGACGATGAGAACGACGTCGACCGCGTTCGCCTGGGCACCTGCACTCTGCCTCGCCAAATCATCGCCGCAACATCTCCCGCTTTGAAGCATCGCATGGCCAACCATCAGAACCACAGTACGTCCCCCCCGCCCCCCTTCTCTTACACAGATTGAAAGATGTTCACTAACACGAATCGATTAGACGCGATGCCGCCCAAAAATGCCCAGTCCATCCCATCCAACGGCTCTGGACAAAAGAGAAAAGCACCGCAAGGAGTAGGCGATCGAAAGAAGACACGAATGAATAATCCGGGGCTCTGTACCCGTTGATCGCCCATCCGCTTTGGGACAAAGACGTCAAACTGCTCATCATGGGCATACAATACGCCTGTATACTGAGGACAAGGGACGCTCGACCTTGGGAGCCGATGCTTCCCAACGGGGATTCGTTTTTCAAACCATTCAAAGAGGTCCTCGAAGAGTTCAGAGGTCAGGACCAGGGCATTGCCGACCATCACCAGAGGTGAGAAAGAGGCTCGAGGAGAAGCTTTGCACCATACCAGTCTACTCGGTATTTCTGCAATCCCTGGAGGGCGTCGTCCTCTGATCAACGATGAGCATGGGCCGGTCAAAGCTTACAAAGTATCGAACGAGGATGTGTACAACATGACCAAAGCCACTGATGGCTTGGCACACTTCGGGATACCCTATTTCATGCCAATGGATGTGTACACTTTCCACATTCTCGGTGTCAAGCAAGCAGAGGAGCCCCCAGTCGGCAAAAGCAATGTCATCGAGTACATTGACCGAGCGCTTCGGGATGCCCTATTTCCTGCCAACGAATGTGTTAGGTTTCCATATTCTCTCTAAAACACAGGAGATCAGCCCCGATATCTCTGCATCCAAAACAGATGGAGGTATGTAAGTAATTGCAGTACACTTACATCTCACTCACCCTTGGGTAAGCAGGCACCCCATTATCGCTTATGGCGTCGTCGTCGTCTTCCTCGTCGTCTTCGTCGTCTTCGTCGTCTTCGTCGTCTTCGTAGTATTCCGTCTAGCCATCTCTAGCCGTATTCGAGATTTCTGTCGTTATGTTCAGAGTGGCAACCTGAATCCAATAGGCCGACAAGAGGTATGACCTAACCTCTTGTCATGGGCAACACCACGGACGAGGGCAGGACAAGGACAGAGATGCTTTCCGTCAAAAGGTGAAACTCGAATCGCCCAGGTTGCTTTTATAAACGGGCAAAAGGCTGGTCCCGGCGGACACGACATTTCGGGTCGGCCCCGGCCAGGTTTGCCTTTCGGGTGGGCTGCGACGCGGGCCCCGTTGACTCCGGCCTCTCCGACCAATGGTCCCGGCCGATGAAGTCCCTACCTTACCTAAGACAGGACAGCCCGACATCAGTAAGCACCCTGCGCGGGCGCTAACGGAGCGCTGTTTATGTCACGATTATCAATGCTTATCACAGCTCAGCTCTTTCGCGAGTCTGAACGCTCAACGGCTCATCACCTTGGAATGAGAGTCAAACACAACGACCGCCCATGAACGTCAAGACCTTGACTCGCCTGGCGATTTCCTGCAAACCATCAAACAACACCCACCGGCTTCCTTTTTCCCAAACGCTATCATCCATTTCGACGATTTCGCGACCCAGTTCGCCATTAGCGTCACTATCCATCCAGTCTAAGGGCATTTTCCAGAAGCAGCAAGTCAGGATGGTAGGTCAGCCCAAACACAAGTTCACGATAAAGCCGATGACTGACACCGAAGCCCCAGGCCAGCAAAATAACCGAATGGGTCAAGACGGACGATAAGACGGGCGAGTTCAAGCGCCAGCAGAGCTCGTTCCGCGACGCCATCTCCCGCGCGCAAGGCGCAAAGTTCCCTGCCGAGAAGGGTCGTTACCATCTCTACGTCAGCTATGCCTGCCCGTGGGCCTGCCGTGCGTTGATCACGCGCCAACTGAAGGGGCTGGAGGACATCATCAGCTACTCCGTCGTCCACTGGCATCTGGGCGAGAAGGGTGTGTTCTGTGCTACGTCGTCGGCGATTGCGCTAACCAGGGCGTAGGATGGCGCTTCGTCACCAAAGATGAGCAGGGCAGCGTCCCGGGCGACCACGTCGTGCCGGACCCCGTCCCGGGCCACGAGAACTTCACCCACCTCCGCGACATCTACTTTGAGTCGGCGCCCGGCTACGAGGGGCGCTTCACCGTTCCCGTGTTGTACGACACAAAGCTCAAGACCATCGTCAGCAACGAGAGCAGCGAAATCATTCGTATGCTCTACACCGAGGTTTGTGCTCACCCCCCGAGGGCAGTCGTCCCGACTGACGACCGCAGTTTGACGACCTCGTGGACGAAAAGTATCGCCAGGTCAAGCTCTACCCCGAGGTTCTTCGCACGCAGATCGACGAGGCCAACGAGTGGACGTACGACAAGATCAACAACGGCGTCTACAAGTCCGGCTTCGCCACGACGCAGGACGCCTACGAGCGCAATGTCGTTGCCCTGTTTGAGGCGCTTGACAAGGCGGAGGCCCACCTGGCGTCTACGCACAAGGAGGGCCCGTACTACTTTGGCCAGGAGATTACCGAGGCGGATATCAGACTGTGAGTTGCGTTGCCGCTCTGGTACGAGGCTATGGCTAATCCGAGGCCCCAGTTACGTGACAGTTATCCGATTCGATGTAGGTCTGAACAATTCTCCTCTTGAGCAACGGCTGACGTGCAACAGCCCGTCTATGTCCAGCATTTCAAATGCAACATTCGTGACATCCGCTCCGGGTACCCCTACCTGCACAAGTGGATGCGCAACCTCTACTGGACCGTTCCGGCGTTCCGCGACACGACCCAGTTCGAGCACATCAAGTGGCACTACACCAAGAGCCACACCCAGATCAACCCCTTCTCCATCAGCCCTGTCGGGCCCTTGCCGGACATCCTCCCTCTGGATGAGGAGGTCAAGGCCGTCAGCACCAAGCTGTGAGTGATCGAAGACGAGCAGAACCCGAGGCACGACGCTGTCAATTATAATGTCATTGATTCTGTGGCTTTCTAAACTCAACATCCGGTGATTGTATGTACTCTTGAAGATGTAACATCGAAAACTGCTCAACTCCATTCATCCGCCAATGCCACTCAGGGCCCCAGACAAACACGGGAAACGACACATCGTTCTCGTCCGACGACTTGATCCAGTATTAGGCTAGATTCGACAGTGTATAACAACATCCAGTACGGTAAGACTCTTCAAATGCACCCCATCCCAGTTGATAAAAATAGCAAAATCCGTGAGCGTGAGAAATGTCCTCTTTTTGGTGACCCCGTAACCAGAAAAATGTGTGATGCATTAAATTAAGTATAAATCACTGGCGACGCTAAAGCTTATAACTGGCCCGACAAGAGCGCCTCCGTGGCTGCGACGGACGTTAGTAACTGGAGTAGTCTGATCTGGGTGCTTGGGAACTTACCGCTGTTGATGTACTGTCGCTTGGCATCGAGGGGAACGCCGAAACGACGCTCCAGCTCCTGCTTGATGCCCTTCTTCGTTACCGTCATCAGGTCGGCCGTCCGGAGGATCTCGCGGATCTCGGCCAACAACGCATCGTCGTTTGGCAGGCCGACCATGTCCTCGGGGGAGAAGAACTGCGAACCGCCGAATTGGCTGTTGCGGTTACCACCCATCTCGGACGCCGCGAGGGACATGCGAGACATGTTGCGCTGGTCGTAGCCCATGGGAGGTCTGGGCGGCGCGTAGCCACCGGCGATGGAGCCGGGGCGGCTATGGTATCCGTACTCGGAGACGGGGACCTGTCCCTTGGTGGCGTAGCTGTAGCCAGAGACCTCGGAGCGGGCGTCCTCGCGAACGGTCTGGGCGTCCCAAAGCTCGGCCTGGTACTCCTCCCACTTCTTCTTGGGGATGACGGACGGGTCGAACTTGCCCTCGTCGGAAATGACAATCTTCTTTCCCTTCTCGCCGGCAATGACACGGGTGTTACCCCAGTTGAAGTCGTCCATGTGCCAGAAGGAGTACAGGGGCAGGGCGAAACTGAAGACGGGAATGGCCAGGATGTACAGAATCATCCAGCCAATCATCTCCCACTTGCGGCGGAGGATGAAAATGATGGCTTGCAAACCGTAAATGGCTCCCAGCATGATGAAGGCCGTGACGGGCACCACGCTGGGGTTCTGAACGACCATCACAATGAGGTAGATGATGTAGGCGACGACGACGGGCTGGACAACGGTACTGAGCAAGTCGACGAAGACGATGAAACGCATGGAGAAACAGCAGAAACCGCAAAGCTGCGCCATGGGGATGAGTTCCATGAGGTTGTGCACCGTCGAGTTGATCCAGCGACGTCTCTGCGAGAGGAACACGGCCCAGGAATCGGGGGCGATGGTCCACGCGTGAGCTCTGTTGGTGTACTTGGTCTTGTACTTGTTGTGGTACTTGAGGAGCAGAGTCGTGAGGTAACGATCCTCACCGAGGTGGAGCAGGTTCTTCATGTGCAGAGTATCAACACGAATGGTGGAGTAGTCCTCGATAATCTCCTTGCTGACGAACAGGGGCTTGCCGGTCTCGGCGGCGCGGATGCGGTACATGGAGAAACAGCCGGGCAAACAGGTGACACTGCCGAACAGACTCTCAAAGGCCTTTGTGAGGTTGTGAGAGATCCAGTATTCGTAGACTTGAATCATGGTGATGAAGGAGGCCTTCGCGTTGGTGAGAGCGGTCTCACCGCAGACGGCGATGAGGCGGGTGTCGTTGAGGAATGCGGCAACCATACGCGTGGCAGAGTCGGCGCCGACGACGGTGTCGGCGTCGATCTGGAACATGAATTCGTAGAACGTGGGGTTGACACCGATGATGTTGCGAATCTGGTGGTACATCTCGAGTTCCAGAGGGCTCATCTCCAGGTTGTAGTGGACGCGGTTGAGGAAACGCATGAGGATCATTTGAGAGTCGCGCTTGCCACGGTTACCAGGGCGAGAAACCTCGGAGGGCTTGCCGACCTTGACGATGACCAAGAAGGGGACGATGTGACCTTGGACTTCGTACAAGCCGGAATAGACCTTGCCCATGTTGTGCTGCTTCTGACCTTCACCGAGGGACTCGAAGCTCAAGGGTTCCGGGTCGACGGTCTCGGAGACGCCGAGAATGTCGAGCACGATGCGCGGCGTAGGCTTGTCGTTGCCCTGTCCGATAATCATACCGTCGCAAACCACGATGAGAAGCTTGCGCTTGTCATCGTAGTGCATTCTGGCACAAGAGTCGATGGCACGGCGAAGGGAGTCCTCGTCCTCGGTGTAGGCCGGAATCTGACACATGACGAACTTGTCGAGGTTCTCGGGCATGTTCTTACCGCCGAACTGGAGCGCAGCCAAGAACTTGAAACCGAGAATGGAGCAGAGAATGATGGAAATGGCGAGAACAAGATACTCGGCAAACTTGCAGCGAGCCGAGTTACGAGTGTCAACGTCGCCAATGTAGAAGAGGTTGTTGAGACAAGTCTTCATGCGTTTCTTGAGCTGGGCGTCGATGTTGAGGTTGTCCCACAGCTTGGTAATATCCGTACCAGATTTTTGTTGGAAGAGGGTCATGACGGTGTTGTCCATGAACTTGGTCTGGCCGGTGTCCTCGGGGGCGCTCTCGCCAGCCTTCGCCTGCATCCTCAAGCCGCCGTTCATGTAGTCGGTCACGTCGTACACCTTGCTGTCCAGAATGGCGATGATCTTCTGCTTGTTGGCCAGAGTCTTGACGTACTGAGGAGAGTAGCCGACGTTGCCCTTCTTGTAGTTGGCCTTGAGGAAAGTCATCTGCTCGTAGTACCAATCCGGACGGCTGTCGTTTGTCCAGGAACGGAAGTCGTGGAACTTGTAGTTCATGTCGGCCCAGGCAATCAAGGGAGAACCAGTCAGGTTTGTGTTCTTGTAGTCCAGGGAGACGTGCTCGTCGACAGAGCCGTCCTTGCCCTGGCACAGGGCGCTGACCTGGATGGGGAAGAGGGAGCTGATATCCTGGCCGGCATAGTTCTTCAGTTGCTTGACGGTGACATAGGGCGGGTAGTGACGAGGGGCGAATGAGCCGATATCAAAGACCACACCGCGAATCGAGGAGTAGGCAGAGTTATCGTCCTTGCCGTCGTGAGAGGACAACTCTTCGGCACTGTAGACGTGTTGCGTGGGGCAGATGAGCTTGGGGAAGACGACGATGAAGAAGGCGGCGAACAGACAGAACAGCCAGATCAACATGTTGATGGCCAGCTTCTCTCTCCAGGCCACACGAATGTCCTTGCGGGGCATGCGGCCCATCTTGCGGACAAGGATGTCCGGGACGAACCAGGTCATGAGGTAGACGGTGAACACCCAGCGCTTACGACTGGCACTGTCCTTGAACTCCTCGACCTCCTCCAGACTCTTCTCGTTACCACGTTCGGCCATCTGCTCTCTGGTGTCCAGGTTCTTGAACATGTCACCACCTCCGAAGGCGGAGACGCCGGCTTCCGAGCGAGAGTCGGACCCGTCCTGGCCAAAGTAACCGCTCTTACCCTTCTCGCCGTAGCCCATCGGAGTGTTTCCTGCGGAGAGCAGGCGCTCCTTGGAAGCGGCGAAGGGGACGTCTTGCGGCGTCAGGCCGTCACCGGCGTCAGAAGGCAGGTTGTATCTTCCGGAGGCGGAGGCGCTCTCGGAGAGCTGGGCGATCTCCATCCAGCACCTCTCGCTGAGGAAGACACCGGTTGATCCGATTCTGACCTCGTTGCTCGGCCAATGCTTGTCTTCGACCACAAGTTCGACACGCTCTCTCTCAGAACCGACGAGGATGGTGTCCGAGTCAGCCAAGCCGAGGAACTCGCCGAAGGGGAGGAAGAGACTGAAATCGGCCGAGCGAAGGCGCTGGCTGATTTCGGCGATACCAAACGTCTGCACCTGGGTGCGGACGCACTTGCTGTCAAACTGGTTCGCAATGCGCCTGTCGTTGGGCTTCAAGCAGAAGACAAAGTACGAATTCGTGCTGGGGTCAGCAACAGACTTGGTGACGTTCTCCAAGGATGCCAGGAACTGGCCCGACGCCCCCTGCTCTGATGCGTGAAGCTTGGAACCTTCGGCTTGCGAGTTGCCTTCGCTGAGTCTGTCGAGTTCTTCCTGAGCCTCGTCCTCCTGCTGCTGCTGTTGCTGCTGCTGATACCGTTGAATGCGCGCCTGGTTGCGGGCAGTTCTTGTCGTCTTGCGCGACATGACGCTGGGCGCTCTGGTAGGTTTCGAGCTGATGGTGGCCTGCATGACGGTGGACCTCTCCTTGGGGTGGGTAACGGTGCGGAGAGCCTCCTGGCCGAACAGTCTGGCGACGAACTCGCTCTTGGTGGAGTTGATCATGTTGAGCAGATCGCCAGAGATGACTTCACCGTTCTCCTCAATGATGCCCTTGACAGGATAGTCAACCTCACCGGCAAAGTGCTTGACGGTGAACAGGGCGGCGGTGTTCTCGGTGAGGAAGTTGCTTCCAGGGAGCCTGGCCGTCGTAGAGCCGGGGGTGATGGCGGGGTTCTTGCCCTCGAAGCGTTTGCGAAGGCTCTCAAGGAACTGGTGATCGGTGCGGTTCCTCCGGGTCTGGTCGTCCAAAATGCTAAGCAAGCCGTTTCCAGGCTTGAGCAGGCCCCTGACGGCATCCGAGTTGTCAAAGTAGCTGGTCGCCGCGACGCTGACCTCCTCGTTCTCCAGCATGTCTGCCTTGCGATCGAAGAAGTTCTGGAGCGTCAGGTTGTAGAGCGCTTCGCAGGCGGCGTTGTTGAGGAGCTGGTCGAGCGCAGAGTGAGTGGCGGCCTGCTGGGCAAAACCAGGGAAGTCGAGGATGGACACCGTGTTGGCGACGCTCTCCTCGGGAGCGCAGATCCTCTGGTTGATGCCTTCAACAATGTACGCAACCAGGAGGGAGTACAAAGTACGCGCCAGCTCGTTCGCGTGAGACCTGGCGCCGTTGGGATCTAACATGACGGTGACCCTCTCCTTGTGGATCATCTTGGTCTTGTACGACAACGTGGTCTGCAAGTCCTGCGTGCCGACGCCCAAAAAGGCGGCAACGATGCCGAGAACATCCTTGTTCTTGACGGCGGTCACGGTCTGTCCGCCCTCGTGGGAGAAACCGCCGCTGTCGTCCCCAGTAATCTGGGTGTTGGACGTCGTCTCGAACTCGAGCTGACCAATGTGCAGAATGCTTGCCAGAATTTGGCAAATCTCGGCAATCTCGCTCCGGGGGAACTCCAGCTTCTTGAGGGCGTTCTTGAAAACCTGGAAGCCTTCGGCATCGTTGATGCCGACCTTGAGCTGTGTGGGATGGCCCAGGTACTTCCATCTCTTCTGAGCGACGCCGGCTGGAGTTTCGAACCCGAGATGGGCCTTCTCGGCGGCACTGGTACCGGCCATGAGGTAGTACAAGATGTGGAAGTTGCGCTCGCCGGTCGGGATATCCGTGATGCGGCTTCGCTCGAGTCTGTGGTCGAGCAGCTTGGCACCGATGAGAAGCGGGTTCGTCGTGGTGGCCGTGTCATATTGCAGCTCGTAGAAGAGACCTGCCTTGGAGGCCGTGGGAGTTGTGGCCGTCTTGGTGGTCGTCAAAGTATCGAAGACATACGCGGCGAGGGAGACTTTGGTAGAGAGGGGAGTGGAAGACTTGCCGAGGAAAGCAGTCAACAGGTGGGATCGAAGGGTAGACTTTCCTGAGCCGGATTCACCCCTATTCACGTGGTTAGCATGATGCCGTCATGATACAAGACGGGGCGGGGGCGGACGAACAAGAAGACAACGGCTTGGTTCTCGGATCTGTGGCCCAACCTGATCCAGGCTCTGTCTGCGATGTCCTCAGCGCCTCCCATGGCGCTTCCCTCCTTGCCTCCATCGGGGCCCTTGGCGGACGAGGTGTAGGTGTTCAAGGAGATGAGGGCATGGGACGAGAGGCGAGCAGTCGGCAGCGACACATGGAAACGACTGGCCAAGTGTGCTGTCAACTGTGTGTCTGATTGCGAATGTGCGGGTAACGACGGAAGAGAAGGTTGGTTATGAGCGCCCCCGCCGTTCCCACCAAGCGGTGGCAGGTTCATCGCCATGTTGGGCACGATGCCGCCGGCGATGATTTTCGGTAGGTCTCGAGATACGCGTTTGTCGATCGGTCAATGGCTGTATCGAAGAAGCTCACGGGCTGTTGACGATGAAAAGAACCGATCGGGATCTGCGTTGGGAGGGAGAAGAGTCCTCGGAGATGATGTCCAGGAGCTCGAATTAGGCGTGGTAGTGAAAGGAGTAAACAGGGAGACGTCCGAAAACCCAAACGAAGGAGATGTACAACAGTTGCTAGGCAGGAAACGAGCGTGCAGAGAGGAAGAGGTGAGAAAAGGAAGACGGGCAGGATTGATAGAGCAAGGCTGAGTTGAACGAGTGAGAGAAGTTCGAGGCGCGAAACGAACGAGGCGATTGCTCTTTCTCTGTCAAAGCCAGTCAGTCATTCAGTCCAGTCGGATGCCAACTTTCTCTTTGCTTTGGATTGTCTCCTTTCCTCTCTCCGTGTGTCAAGGGAGACAGAGGCAAGAGTGGTGCAACGGGGGGGGGGGGGGGGGGGGCAAAGATTGTGGTGAATGAATGGCGACTGGGAAATGGTATTTTTTTATTCCCCCCCCCCCCCCCCCCCCCCCCCCCCCCCCCCCCCCCCCCCCCCCCCCCCCCCCCCCCCCCCCCCCCCCCCCCACGAGTGTGGTGACTGACTGGCGACTGGGAAAGGGGATTGTTTTCTTCGGGCAGGAAGCTTACCAGCAGCAGCAGTAAGCAGCAGCAGTAGACTGTAGGAGAGCAGTTGCAACTCATAGTGCGGCGGGCGAGACGAACCTGAGACGCAGGCCTCATACGAACTCTGTGCCACCCGCTACACACCACAATTACACTGTGGAGAGGCCGGGGCACATTGTCAGCATCAGGGACTTCCTGCTTACCTGCTTTCCCACTCCTCCCCGGCGTTTGCAACGACCACTCGCTGGCCTCAGTCCAGACTCTCCAGGCTCGGGGAGGACGAGATGACAGGCACCCACCCCTGCGTTGCTTTCTTCTCGACTTTTCTCCCATTCCTTTTCCCTGATCTCGGTTCACGATGGAGTAATGCACCAGCCACACCGCACTGTGTCGCTTGTATCCGTACCTCCCGTCCTTCACCTCAGTCACTGTTCAGCGGCTTCTCAGTAGATATCCCCTGTGTCCCCTCCGTTGCAGCATTCAACGGGTGACTGCGGGGTCGCTTGAGCTTGTTAGCACCAAGCTCGTTGTGCGCCGTAGTCCTGCGACGCTGCAGTGTTGTTGATGTCTGTAGGCTGTACAGGTTGAGGCACGCCGATTCCTCAGCCCCTCCGTCCTCGAAAGGCGACGCCAGACTCTATTCTCGTCCAGCCGAACACCATCAGTAGGGCAGCACTGCGTCTCGCGTCGTCTGAACTGCCAGACGAGGCAAAGACATTGTCTGTCACATACAAGTCATGCCGTTGTGTAGAATAAACTGGGTGGGGATCCCAGAAGACTGCTGGGCCTCCCATGATCATCATGGTAGTAAAGGCGCTCCATGGGTGAAGAAGAGATTGATCGAGTGAGGCTTGAAGTTGCCTCCGCAAGCCCCCTTTCAAGGACTTGGCTATCTATGACAGCATCGAGTGGCATCGGGTTCAGGGGTATGCTCCTTGGGTGGACTGCAGTGCTGTGGTGCTGCTGAGAATGCTGTGTGCTTTGCGGCATGTGGACAATGAAGAATAGACGCGTTCTGTTTCACAACCTACATTTTCGTCAGTCTCCTCGGCTTCGGGTTGAGCATAGGACGGGGGAGTACACCGCAGCGGGCTCCCGGCGACGGTAATGGCCCAGCACCGAGACGGCGAAGAGTTGAGCGTCTGAGCCGACACACGGTAATACGGGTAGTGTGACCACCAGACTGGATGGTTCGAAACAAAACGTTGATGGTCCGCCCCGACGGATGGCTGTCCAACAATCCCTAAACCTTGTGTCCGTGAGAGGACGGATTGGCGCAGTGGCTTCCCAATTCTCCACATTGTGTCTCGTTGTTGATGTCGAGATAGTGTACATCACTTGCCTTTGCCATGTCCAAACCACGGATACTTTTGGTGTCGCGACGTCTCAGTAGTAACCGGTCCTGGCCAGCGTTGGCGTGGTTGCTAGGAGCTCGGCGCTTTCGCGGATGTCTCGTTGCATCTGCTGCGAATACGGAACATGTCGTTGGCGGTCGCTATGATGGCAGAAGTAAGACTTGGCGACGTGGGATTGCCCATGAGCGCTAGACGTGGCGCTCATAGGCAGTTTCCAGAGCCTGCTAGACTCTCGTCTCCCACGGCATAATGAAACCATCCGTGCTGTGGTGTAGTACTTGAGAAAGACTGTTCTCACGAGCTGGACAATTCCGACGAGCAGAGCCGAGATCGACCCAAGAAAGAATGCGTGAAGATCTCAAGCCGCTCACTCGGATTGAGGGCGTGCACGCGCGTATGACGATGGCTGTGGTCCAAGGGAGACTAGAAGGATGTTTGACCAGAGCTTGAGCCGAGATCAGCACAATCATCTAACCGTATTGGACACATGAGAGGAATGTGATTCCTCCGGCAGGAATGTTGGATGTAATTACACATCTTGTCCCTCGAGCGACTCGAAGGACGGTGACTCGGGCTGCCGAGAATGCTTTGTTTGTTCAGCAAACACACGAGGACGGTGTTCGTCCCACCAGTTGCAGACAAATGTCGATAAGCATAACTGTGTGAAGTGAGTTTTCGGCAGGAAGCATGATGCATGATTGATGAGGTCGGATGGCAGAATGTTGGCTGAGGCGTGTTAGGATGGCAGGCGGTCCAAGCCGCGTGTTTTTTTTTTTTTTCTTTTCCTTTCCACTGGAGTGAGTGGTGCCGTGCCGCTGCCGCGGTTCAAGGCGTGGAGAACCCGGGCTTGATTACCTCGAATTATGGCCGTCTCAATTAGAGGAGGAAATGTGGTGCAGCTTCAAGGTTTGGAGAAAAGCTACTCGGAGCACAGTGCGCAGGAATATTGCAGCGGTTACCCTCGTCGCAATCCAGCACTTTCGGTAAGTGTCCCAGACAGGCCAGGGCTATTGCCAGCAGCGGGAGCAAAAGCGAGCGGGACGCCGGGATAGAGGGAAAACACCAGGGGAAAAATTAATAATCAGAGACAGGGCATAGCATGAAGAAAATTGGGGAAAGGGGGGCCATTGGGTCCTCTCCAATTGGGTCTGGAAAGAGCCGGCTTGGATACCTTGCGATACGTACCGTTCGTAAGTGTACGTATCTCGGGCACCTTACAAGGTGGACGGGGCTCAAGGGCCCATCGGCCGCTAGCCTTTCTGTGAATCCAAAAAAAGCACTGAGCTGCATTTTGCATCTCACCACTCGAGAGTCGACTTCCAACAAGCCCCAATAAGACCGCTCCTCCAGTGCAGCAGCACTCATATGCTAGCTCAATGTTTGACGGGATAGGCGGGTGGGCCATGGAAGAAGATGGATCAAATCGAACGCCATCCGTACCCGTCCCCGAAGACTACCCACGCGAATACCACAGTTCTACGCTCATCCATTCGTTGACGCGAAAGAGCATAAAAAATAGAACAGAACACTCACGGCACAGCCTCAGTCGCGTCCCAGCCCGATGTCAGCCAAGCCAACTCCGACCACCCAGCCAAGTTCTCTACCTACTAGTGGCGTCGCGGCTCCGCACTAGACGGGAGCCTGTCGGCGGCAATTGGAGGGGCGGCCATACAGAAGAAAACAACAACATCAACACAGAAGCCAATGATGTCGGATCATGTGCGAGAAGCACCGACGAAGATACAGACTGTTGTCTCTCTAGCCCAGCCACCTAATGAGCTCCAGATGCTGCAACAGAAGACACTGCGAATGCACCAACCACCTCGGATTCACTCTGCACTCTGCATTCAGCCAGCCTCGGAAACCTTCGTTCACCATGCTGTGCTTGAAAGGCTATGCAATGTGTTGATCATAAGGTGCTGACGGGCGGTGTCATCGCGATGTTGATGGTGGTCCGTAGGCCTCCCTTTTCAGACGAACAGATTGGCCCAGTCATGAGTTGTTGCGAGGATGAGCGCAACCACACGGCCGACGCGCTGCAGGGTGTTGGTCACGGCCGCCGGCTGAGTCCATCCTGCATCCGCCATCCATCCATCGTCCGTCTGATGAATCCCATCGTTCCGGATCTGACTCTGGACTCGCGAAAGAAGCACTGCCGGCAGGCTACTTCGTCCCTGACACGGGCATTCGGGGGAACAGACACAGGACAGAGCACAAGTCAGGGTCGCAGTCATTGCGCAGCGGCAGTAGCACAAAGTATCGCCGCCGGCGCCATCAGCATTCCTTGCTGTTGATGTTGGGATGTCTTGCCATGCATCGCAGCTGCCGCCTCCATCAGCAGTGAAGCATCAGCATGAGCAGCACATCGTCGTGTTGATCTCGTGCATTTCCAGCCGCGATCGGATGGGTGGGCCGATTTTTCGCCCCCCTCCAACGCCCGTCGCCCGCCCCGTCTCCTCTCCGGGGCTCCAGGCTCGTATTTGTTCCAAGAAAAGGACTTCCCGCGACCGGATCTACAGTCTTCCCAGTCGAGCCACGGTACTAGCTGGCCACGGCGGCGAATATGCGACTGACAACTGTGGGCTCGTGGAGACGACGAGCGGCTGTTGATTCTTGAACGCGATGCTCCGGTTCTTCGTCTCTCGGTGTTGAGGGTCGTCTTGGGTTTTTGGATCCACGAAGGTAGCCTTGAACTTGACAATCTGGTTTTGAGCGCGTTGCATGTTGCATTCCATCCTCCCCCTGTTCGTATTGTGGCAGTTGTGCCCTGTCTGTCATGCAGCTGCTTTTTGCCTTGGCACACGGGATCAGCAACGGTTCAAGTAGGAATGTCGTCAATACCGCCAATCGACCTTGTGGTTGCTGCTCCATTAGTGGTTCTGTCATGACTGTGATGGGATAGCCAGCCCCGGCCTCGCGCCTCCAGAAGAACGACACGGCTTCTCTGATGGGTACCGGTCTGACGGAAAGCTGTCCGTCACAACGTCGGAAGGCGTCCATCACCTCTCCAAGTGCATTTGTTGATGAGCCATGGGCGTGTTGTAGCTGTAGCTGTAGCCGTAGCTGTATAGCGGAATGAAGAATCGTGGATTAGGTAAGGACGTCTTTCAAACAGTGCGGGAGGGCGAAGATGCCGCCCGACCGGTGGGATCGAGTATTCTAGTGCAAGTGGAGATATTTTGTGCCTGGGTCCCCCCCAGGCTAAGTGTAGGGACCGAACTTGGCGGAAACGTTGCCAGGGTCTCCTTTCTCCTGCCCAAAGATTTAGCAGGGGAAGGTTGAGACTATGCACTTCTGGTTCGTTTCGCCCGCCGTTTCCCAGGGGGGAGGCGAGGACTTCAAAGGACGGGAAGGAAGGGGAAGAGAGAAAAAATTATCTCAGGCACGCCTACTGCATTTGGAAGGGTCTTGACTGCTGTGTGGTGGCTGTCCTCAGCGCCTCAGTGGTGTGGTGATCCCTCAGGCTGAGATGCTGCAGAGCAGTTGGGTCCCTTTGGTGCCTGGAACTACTGGAATACGATGCACCTCAGGTGATGTGTCCGTCGTTCGTACTGTGCCATCTCTGCTGCGGCAGTCCCCGGACTAGTAGAAGGACGGGCAACTCCTATTACCTATCCATCATTACGAGACCCGCGCTCCGCCTCGTCACGTCTGGCCTACCTACCTATTCGTGAATCGCAAGGTACCTTGCCCAGTCGAGAGAGAGAGAGAGAGAGAGAGGTAGGCGGGCACCTAAGCACCTACGCACGGAGAGAGAAGAGAGAGGTCATTCCCTGTCTTCGCTCTTCTGCTGCTGCCGCACTGTTACTCTTCCCCCTTCGCTTGTCACCTTCTTCCATCAACTCACCTTCAGTTGAGGCGTTCGAAGGGACCTTTGATTTTCTTCCCATTACCTCTTTCCTAGACAGCCGCCTCACTCGCTTTGGTGGTCTGGATATTCCGTCGCTAATCTGTTGTTTCTCTCAAGTTTTTCCTTTGCCGTCGACCTGCTTCGTTTGCTTGTTGCAAGGGGAAGAAAAGAAAGGGAGAAATCCGCCGCCCAGCTTCGAACTCACGCGTTGCTCAGTTGCTCAGCGACAGCAGAAACCCACGCCTCTTTCTGACATACTGTCCGTCATAACGTATTCGTCTTAATCTCAACCTCAACGGTCCACTCGCTTCATCTCCTCCCTCATCGTCGACTTGTCCCACCATCGACGGTCTCCTCTTTCTCGACGTCTTGTTTACCTCGCCGACGTCAGCCCACTCGACGATATAAACGACCTCGAATAGTGTCGCGACCCGTCACGGGGCTGTCCATGCCAGACGTCACGATCGGAACCCATCATCATCATGGCGAGCGGTCGAATGTCCATGTACTCGGTGGCATCCGAGGGTCTCGGGGGCGCTCGAGGTGGCCCTCAGTCTGCTCCTGTTTCCACCACCACCCTCCTCAACGCCGTCCACAACATCTACCTGGCATCCCAGCCCTATCAGTTGGACGCCGGTACCAGTCTCGTTGTCAACACATGGCTCACCGCGGCCCAGCTTGCCCCCGACGGCAGCACCGGAGGCACCATAGACAGGGCCCTTACCAGGAGGTCATGGGAGCACGCCTTAAGGCGTGCCGAAGACGGATGCATCGTCCTTGGGTATGACCTCGCGTGACGCAGAATCCGCTTGAACGTGTCGCTAACTCCCTGCAGTTCTCTCCACGCATCTACTCCGTCCCTGCTCACACCGTTCCTCTCATCTCTGCCGCCCACGATCCCCTCATCCGTCTACCGCGCGCTGGAGGCGATTCAGCCCTTCCTGAGGTGCTCTACTCCTTACAATCCCTCCGCCCCTCGCCATTCTGCCCTCGGCGTCACTTTCACCCTCAGTCTCGGCGGTAATCTTAATGGGGCCTCGATTGCCCTTTCTCAGGGTGGTATCGACACCGCCAAGGGCCTTCTCAGCATCCCGCCCGAAGCTGGCTACCGTGCCTTTGACGTATTCTACTACCTGCTCACCTCGGCTTCCACCCCGGCCGAGAGGGAGTTCCTCGGTCTGAAGTCTGCTTCCAACTACGCCCTGCTGGCAAGATCTGGCACCTACGACCCGCCCTCCTACCTCCCGACCGCCGACGACGCGGCTGCCGCTGATGACTTCCGTTCTGCTTTAAAAGACATTGGTATCAAGGGCGCGGCCCACCGTAATCTGATTTCCACCCTCGCAGGCCTGCTCAAGCTTGGCGACACGCTTGACTATGACGTAGACGAGGAGGTCTTTGAAGAGATCTGCGAGGATGTCAGTGGATTGCTGTCAATGGACCCTGAAACCCTTGCCAGACACTGCACGACCGAAGACCGAATGACGTTCGTCGGCGGTCTCTACGAGGCGTTGGTCGATTGGATCATCACCAAGGCGAACGATGCCATCTCGGCGCAGATCGCGCGCATCAAAGACGGCGCCGAGTCGGTTGACGGCCGCGGTGCTCGTACGCCCACTTCCAACGGTGACGGCGGAGACACGGTTTGCATCACCGTTCTGGAGGTGCCCGACCCGAACTTGGGCAGGGCTGTGTGCATGAGGGGGGTTTTTGACGACACTCTTGGCATCAACGCCGAGATGATTGCCGATGGCGTAGAGGTTCCTCCTGCCGGAAGCACGGTTGTGCGTGAGATGCAAACAGCTGTTGGCGAAGTCGGCCCCGAATTGGGCATCATGGCCGGCGCCGCTGGCAGAGATCGCCAGCATGAGTTGGAGAAGCGAGAGGAGGTGCTGGAAAAGATTGGCCACTCCGCCGACGACGACGGGTTCCTCAAGGAGCTTCTTTTCCCCGTCGCCGGCCAAGGTATCAACCTGGGGCGCACCGGCCGTATCGATCTGTCGTCACTCCTGAACTCGAGCCGCGTCTGGTACCACCTTGCCATTCACCCCACCGATGACTCGCCCGCGAGCCTGGCCGCGCTGCCCTCCGTGAACTCGGCTTGGTCGGCTGGCACCGTCTCCCGCCAGCTCCGCGCTTGGCGTCTGCCGGAATGGGCCAACAGGCGCAACAAGAACCTCGACTTCACTGCAGACTTCGACATGGACGAGTTCGTTCAACGCTATGCTGCTCTCGGCTGCAAGGATGGCCGTGAAGGCATCGAGACGTGGATTCTCGAACGTGGTTGGACCAACGGCGAAGTCGTCATCGGCAAAGAACGCGTTTGGATACGTGAGAGTGCTTGGTGGGAGGCCGAGAGCATGCTCGACCTGAAGATCACGGACAACAACCTGCCCGGAATGGGCAACGTCATGGTTGCCAACAATCTCGAGTCCGGGTACTCGGCGAACGGCAGCGGCTACTTCCCGACGCCCGTGTTCGGCGACAACACTCCCAACGGCAGCCGGGACCATCTCATAGCTCACCAGCGTAACTTCAGCCAGGGCAACATCTCCCAAAACACCCTCAACCACAACAACGCGATGCGCGCGCCGTCGATCGCCCCCTCCAACATGCGCAATGTGCAAAACACGGGTGACTATGGCTTGGGCACAAAGGGCGACACCTACAAGGGCCAAGTCTTCTACAACAACGAGGGCGAGTTTGTCGGACAGATGGACCCCGAGCTTGCCGACGGCAAGCAAATCGAGACAAAGACGATGACCAAGGAGCGTCGCATCTGGGTCGCGATCGTCTGGGCCTGGACTTTCTGGATTCCCTCTCCCCTTCTGCGGGTCGTGGGTCGCATGAAGCGACCCGACGTCCGCATGGCCTGGCGTGAGAAGCTTGTTCTCGTCTGGTTCATCGTGCTCATGAATGCCGCCATCGTCTTCTGGATCATCTTCTTCGGTAAACTCCTCTGTCCTAACTTCGACAAGGCGTGGAACACAAAGGAGGTCGGCACACACGGAGGCGAAAACGACTTTTACGTCAGTGTTCGTGGTCGCGTGTACGACATCTCCAAGTTTTGGAAGACGCAGCACTCTGACACGGCCATCGAGACCACCAAAGACAACATGTTACCGTTCGCCGGCATGGCCATGGACGAGTACTTTCCGCCTCCTCTCCAGCTGGTCTGCCCCGGCCTCGGCCTCACGGAGACGCAACAGCTGACCGCGAACAACACCCCTGAGTACGTCATTGGCGTCCACACCTCCGGCTATTTCGCCAGTGACCGCACCAGCGCCTTGGGCAACAAGGAGTGGTACAGCAAGACTTTCTTGCCCCGCATGAAGGAGTACTACAAGGGCGACCTCGTCTGGGATAAGAAGAAGGTCGAAGATGAGGGCTCTAATGATAGCCACATGTGGGTCATCTACGACGGCTCCGTGTACGACCTGACCGACTACTACAACACCATGGACGTTAACAAGAATGTGGAAACGTACAAGTTCCTCAACACCAAGCTCACGAACGTCGTTTCCAACAACCCCGGCGAGGATGTCACTGACCTTTGGAACGACGTCATCAAGAACGCGGCCTCGAACTCGACCGAGAACACCTCGGTTCAGAACAGCATGAACTGCATCAAAAACTTGTTTTACGTCGGTATTCCGGACTTCCGTTATTCCGCCAAGTGTCAGGTGAACAACTACATCATGTTGGCGATGACAATTATCCTCTGTTCGGTCATTCTCATCAAGTTCTTGTCCGCCCTTCAGTTCGGTTCGAAGAGACGTCCCGCGCCGCAAGACAAGTTCGTTATCTGCCAAGTGCCGGCGTATACCGAAGGCGAAGATTCACTACGCAAAGCTCTCGATTCACTCACCGCACTACAATACGACAATAAGAGGAAGCTCATCTGCGTCATTTGTGACGGTGTCATCGTCGGTGCCGGCAACGACCGTCCGACTCCCAAGATCGTCCTGGATATCCTTGGCGTTGACCCCAAGGTCGACCCGCCGGCGCTTCCTTTCAAGTCCGTCGGCACCGGCAGCGAGCAACTCAACTACGGCAAGGTCTACTCGGGTCTTTACGAGTTCGAGGGCAACGTCGTCCCCTACCTGGTCGTCGTCAAGTGCGGTAAGGAATCCGAGCAGAGCAAGTCCAAGCCCGGAAACAGAGGCAAGCGTGACTCCCAGATTCTCCTGATGAGCTTCCTCAACCGCGTTCACCACCGCGCCCCCATGAGCCCTCTCGAGCTTGAAATGTTCCATCAAATCAACAACATCATCGGCGTGGACCCTGAGCTGTACGAGTACCTCATGATGGTCGACGCCGATACCAGCGTCAGGGAGGATTCGCTCAACAGACTGGTCTCGGCCTGTGCCAACGATGCCAAGATTGCCGGTATTTGCGGCGAGACTGGTCTGCAGAACGACGACAGAACATGGTGGACGATGATCCAGGTTTACGAATACTTCATTTCCCACAACTTGGCCAAGGCTTTCGAGTCTCTCTTCGGCAGCGTTACCTGTTTGCCCGGTTGGTAAGTAACACCCCTCTTACTCGTCTCTTCAAGAGCCGCCTGCTAACCCTAGCCAGCTTCACCATGTACCGTCTGCGCACCGTCGACAAGGGCAAGCCGCTCATCATCGCCGACGACGTCATTCGGGAGTATAGCGTGTGCGACGTCGACACCCTCCACAAGAAGAACCTGCTGTCTCTTGGTGAGGATCGTTACTTGACAACGCTGATGACCAAGAACTTCCCGTCCATGAAGTACAAGTTCATTCCCGACGCGTACTGCCAAACCGCGGCGCCCGAGTCCTGGAGCGTTTTGCTGTCTCAGCGTCGTCGCTGGATCAACTCGACTATTCACAACCTGTTTGAGCTGATGAAGCTTAAGGAGATGTGCGGTTTCTGCTGCTTCAGCATGCGCTTCATCGTCTTCATCGATCTCTTCGGTACCATCATTCTCCCTGCTACAACTGTGTACCTTGGATACTTGATCTACACCGTGGCCACAAGGTCTGGCCAGATTCCTTACATCTCCATCGTGATGATTGCTGCGGTGTACGGTCTCCAGGCTCTTATCTTTATCTTGAAGAGACAATGGCAGCACATCGGATGGATGATCATCTACATCCTTGCCTTCCCCATCTACTCGTTCGCCCTTCCCATCTACTCTTTCTGGAACCAGGACAATTTCTCGTGGGGTAACACACGTATCGTCATCGGAGAAAAGGGTAACAAGCAGGTTGTTGCCGTTGACGACGAGGGCTTCGACCCCAGGAGCATTCCTCTCCAGCGATGGGACGACTACGCCATGGCCAACAACCTCCCGGGACGCCGCGGCGGTTACATGGAGAAGCACGACATGGGTTACGACGACCAGTACGAGATGGATGAGATCAGATCCGTCTACTCCTCTGTTCGCCAGGGCTCCGTTCTCACCGGCATGAACCGCAACAACACCTACATGCCGCCTCAGTCTCCCGCTCCATTCGGCGGCCACATGGCTCGCGCCTCCGGCGCCAACAGCCCGTACCACCACGACCAGAACCTGGCCAACCGGCAATCGATGGCCTCTCTGGGCACCCACGACATCAACCGCATGCAGACTCCCTACCAGGACTTCCCTAGCAACCGCCCGAGCGTGTCCAACCTCCGTGGTCAGGCCAGCGTCTCGCCCGGCCTCGGCGGCAACCGTTCGCAGTCCGCCCTGGGCCTGAACCGGCCCAGCGCCAACCAGTCGCAATCGTCGTTCGACTTCCAGCGTGGCAACATGCAAGGTCCCGACGACGGCATGATTATCGAGGCCATCCAGGGCGTCCTGAGGGAGGTCGACCTCGACACGGTGACGAAGAAGCAAGTACGCGCTCTGGTCGAGCAGAGGTTGCAGACCGGACTCGTAGGCGAGAGGAGGACATTCATGGACAAGCAGATCGACAACGAACTTGCCAACATGTAAGGAGGCATTGCCAATCGTACATAGGAGTCGTTTCTGTCGTATAACGAGGACATTTGCAAGGGGCTGGTCAAAAATTCGGGGCGTTGCAATCTATCTATGAGACGAGTTCGCTCGGGCATGTCGTCTTGGGTTCCATCATTTTGTTTACATCTCTGTTGATTGGGGGCATATATTTACTATTTGGTTAACGCATCGACTGTGGACGGCATCCACTTGGTAATACATCCGCTAGTAGTTCAATTAATCCATATGAACCAACTGACAACGTTTTATGCTTGGTGATGCGGATAACCTGAACAAATTCGATGTTTTGAGCGGGGCGGCTCTGCAAGAACCGCGGGTTAGAGGTAGGGATGCGTTCACTGGATCTTGCCCACCCCGTTCAAACGGAGGTACACGTCAGTGCCCCAGCCGTATAAGCTCTGGACAGCAATGCCGCCTCCAAAATACTCGGCATAGGCGCGGCTCAGCGGCAGCCCATATCCAAGGCCTGCTATCGAGCTGCCCCCAGCGCTCGCGCTCGAAATCACATTCAACCCGTCGCTGTCGGAACCCGGGAACTCGTCGTCTTCGGAGAAGGTGGTGAAGGAGTACGACCAGATGTTTGGCAGCACCTCGGGAGCGATGCCGCCGCCTCGGTCTCTAATCCGAATGGTCACGCCAGGGGCATTGTCATCCAATGGTCGAATGGCGTCGCTCCTGAATTCGCCTCTCGTCTCCTTGGGCACCTCGATCTTGACAGGCTTCCGCGAAGGGGGCTCCGGCGCTATCGTGACCACAATTGGCTCCTTATTGTCGCGGTGTTCTACGGTCGCCCTGAAGGCGTTCTTGAGCAGCTCGGTGACGATGTACTCCAGGTGCATGGGCACGAAGGCGAAGGTTGTGTCGGGCTCGCCGTCGATGACGAGCTGGGGACGCACACCGTAGCGCAGTTCGCAAATGTCGGCGACGAAGCCGGCGCAGGACTCGATGATGTGGGCAGGACGCAAGGCGGTGTCGATGACGCCGATATAGCTGGGGTGTTCCGGGCACGGGGTCGGGCTGGCGCCCGGGTCGAAGTGCGGCTGGGAGCTGTAGTGCAAGGCGATGTGCTGCTCGGCGACGAGGCGGGTGCCGATGCGGGCGCGGAGGTGCTCGTCGAGGAAGCGGGTCACCTCGGCCGGGCTGATGTAGCGGCGACACTCGAGGAAGCCGCGGGCGAGGATAGGTATCGTGTCGGTGTGTGTCGCCACGAGCTCGGCGAGGACTTCGGTAAAGCGGATTTCGTCGTCGAGTGTGCGGACTGCGGGCTCGCCGCCCTCGCTGCCTTTGGTCCACCAGGGGAGCAAGGTCGATAGGGAGTGGACGTAGTTGTTGTAAATTCTGCTAATGTTGGGGTTGGAGACTACGATGTAGGGTAGGTTTCGAAGGGCCTGGATGCGGTGCGCAAGGCGGATCGGCAGGAGGGAGAGGGTGAAGTTGGCCGAGGACAGGAGAGACTTTTCGCTCAGAGGAGGACGTCCATGTCTGCACGGTCGGCGGTGTCAGCAAAAGAAACCCGGCAGCGGAAGGACACCCAAGGGTCTCCATACTTGACCAAGTCAGCGAGGCTCAAGGGGTGCTGAGTCTTCTTGGCCAGTTGCACAATCTCGTGGTCGTCGACGCGCGACAGGTACGGCGAGGATCCGCCATCCGCTTGGCTGTGGCCGTGGCTGTGGCGTGACGAAAAGAAACGATCAAGACGAAGAGCATGGGCGCGGAGTATTGTCCTCTGGGGCCGGAGCTGCCTCAATGGTCTCGCGATGCTTCTCATGGCGGCATTGTAGGTATCGTGTGTCCATAGGGATGTTGGCGGTCAAGAAATCGGTGGTAGGTACTAGGTGGTGATTAATGGGAGAGGATGAGATCATACGCATCGGGAATCGCTTGAGACGGCTTGTATGCAGGGAGCTGGTTCTAGCGCGGTCACCGGGTACTTGCCCGGGCGTGCTTTGAGGGGCTGGGCTGGGGGGGGTAATGGCCTAGACCACCCCTGTATTCATCCTCCGCGCCGGGTGGTGAGACACGCGGAGGCCGACGCCAACCGCGGGGCACCTCAAGCCGGGTGATGTGCTGAGGGGACTGTTGCAGCGTGGATTCCGTGGTGTTTGTTCCAAAGGCATGCACGTTTCTACGAGGAGATGAAGACGCGAGTAGCGTGGAAGTATAGCATCAAGTCATTACAAATGTCATGAATCTAGGGAAGCTATGTGCTGAATCAGGTACACAGCTTATCAGAGCCCCAAGCACCCCGTCGATGTCTATTGGGTGCGGACCTCCTGGTCCTTCTCGACGTGCTTCACGTGCTCGTGGTTCTCGAGGGTCGAAATTTGGTCCTGGGGGAAGTCGACGCTGTTGGGGAACGGGTTAGCTACGCTGTCGCGACAGACGAGTCTATATCGTGGGAGGGTTGTCTTACGAGAAGCCCTTGATCAGGCTGTACTCGTGTCCGATCTTTCCACCCTGGTCCTCAGCGTGCTTCTTGGCCCTGGTGCTTTCGTTAGTAATTCCCATAAATGCAGAAGATGCAAGATGGCGACTTACGCCTGGAACTGCTCGGGAGTGGCATCCTCCTTGCAGGTGACCTGGGAAGGAACGTCAGAATCAGGCAGCTTCCCGAAGAACAGCGTCGCTTCTCACAATGTAGGTAGGCATGTTGATGGTTTTGGTGGTATGGATCGGGTGTCGGAGATGGTAGAGGGTGCTGGCTGTGACAGGATGCAGAGGTTGGGATATTTGGGTTGGCAAGAGCAAACGAGAGTGCGGCTGGCAGGCAGACTTTATAAACCGCCCGGCAGGTCTCATACGTGCCCGGTTTTCTGGATTGCAGGTGCCTTAGGGAAGGTAGGTAGACAGAGGGAAGGTTGCCCACCTGTGCTCTCTTGGACGGGGGTGGAACTTCGCGACTGGCCGGGAACTAAAAGTGAAGGAGGGGAATGGGGGACAAGGTCCATGCCACGTTTGTGTGATACGTATGGGAGCATTCAAGGTCCTATCCATCGTATGGACCGGGTGGGTGGCCTCTTCCGTCACAGAAGCCTCCATCAATGCCTGGAGAAGTCGACGGCGCCGGGAAATAAAGACGCGGCACCGCGGGCACTTCGACGTCCCACACACACAAACACACACACACACTCCAGGAAATACGTCATCTCATCCTCGACACCGCGTGTGTGCTGTGCGTAAGGAACCTTAGCTTTCTGACCTCTGCACTAACCTAGCCAAGCAAACCACCACGCAGTCCTCCAACTTCGAAGCCATGTCTCGCAGCGAGAAGTAGCCCTGGCCACAGCGCGCATGGAGCGCCGTATGGCATCCTCGCATCCGAGCGAACACGCCCGACACGTCTACTGTGCACTACCTTAGATAAGTATGCTGCTACCCTACCTTGGAGATAAGAGGCTTTACCAACCATATCTGGCGCCTCGTGCGTCTCGTTTCTTCACGCATCCTGCCACTGCCTGCTCGCAGATGATTGCGGAGCCCATTGATGTCTTGTGACTCGAGGAGACGGCCAATCATGGCGTTTCTTCCATGTATCATCATCTGCCTCGACTGTTCGTCATCGGCCATGCCGTCACCGCTGACAGCGGCTGCAGTGGTGGAAGCCTCAAGAAGATGTTTGGCTGGATAGGTGCTGTCTTCTGCTCATCTCGTGTTTTTTCCTTCATTCTGCTGAGCAAGTCACATGAGTGGTCTTTGGTTGTGGCCGTCGATCTGAGAACGGGAAGATGCATCGCCAACCCGCCGGAAAATATCAGTCTTTCTACTCGCTTATCTCAAGCCATCGTCTTCCAGCTGGGAAGGCAGCGCAACAGCTTCCCTTCTTCGATGATCATGCTCAACCGTGCCCTCTCCAACAGGAGGGAGGGGCACAGAGGGGTAAAGCCGCCACCTGGTTAAGGTAGGTACCGGTGGGGGTTACATCTTATCGATAAACTGATAAGATACTTAGGTCTCCACAACAAATTTTCTGGTCGACCTTTCATCGCCGCGGCGTCGCGACCAGAAAAAAAAATCCCAGACGGCTGTCTTTCGTCGTGTTGCTGTAGGAATCTCCAACCGCCACCATGGAAGACCAAGTGCACAAGCCTCACCGCAAGGCGAAAGAGAAGAAGGGGCACACGGGAGGTACGCAACCAAGTACTTCAATTCGCATCCGACTCAATACCTGACATACTTTACCACAGACCGAAACCCCAAGGCCTTCACCTTCTCCAACCCCGGAAAGCTCCTCAAGTCGGCCGCGCGATCTTCCGATGTACGAGCCTCCTAATTAGTGAGCGTGGGCAGTGGCTGACGTGTATGCTTCGACAGATCAAAGAACGGCGACTCCATGTTCCCCTCGTCGACCGACTTCCCGATGAGCCGCCGCCGAGGCTGGTCGCGATCGTCGGACCGCCTGGCGTCGGCAAGACGACTCTGCTCAAATCCCTGATCCGCCGATACGCCAAAGAGAGCATCTCCGACCCCCAGGGGCCCGTCACCGTCGTTACCTCCAAGAAACAGCGATTGACCTTCATCGAGTGTCCGAACGACCTCGAGGGCATGGTCGACATATGCAAGGTGGCCGATCTCGTCATCAATCTGCTGGACGCCAACTATGGCTTTGAGATGGAGACAATGGAGTGTAAGTTTTGAGCCATCCGCAGTGGTCGCCAGCGACTCGCAAGCTAACTCCTAACCGTCCTCAACTGTTTGTCGAATATTGGCATTCCGGGTTCCGTCCTGACAGTCCTGACGCACTTGGATCTGTTCAAGAAGCCACAGGCATTGAAGGATGCGAAGAAGCGCCTCAAGAAGCGACTCTGGACCGAGTTGTACCAGGGCGCACACGTCTTCTATCTCTCGGGAGTAATGAACGGCCGATACCCCGACCGCGAAATCCACAACCTCTCTCGCTTCCTCTCGGTCATGAAGAATCCGCGACCTCTCGTTTGGAGAAATTCCCACCCCTACACCGTCATCGACAGCTACCGCGATATCACCCACCCGACCAAGATTGAGGAGGATCCAAAGTGCGACCGCTCGGTCGTCTTTTCGGGATACCTTCGAGGCACAAATTTCGCGGCGGAGAATCAAAAAGTCCACATCCCTGGGTTGGGCGACTTCACGGCTTCGAACGTGGAGGTTCTCCCGGACCCCTGCCCTACTCCGGCCATGGAACAGGCCCTGGCCAAGATCACAGGCAAGACGACGCGCCGACGCTTGGACGAGAAGGAAAAGAAGCTGTACGCGCCCATGTCAGACCGCAGTGGTCTCAAGATTGATGGGGATGCGATCTGGATCACGAGAGAGAAGGGCTTCAACTTTGACAAGGAGGACGAGGACGGTGAGAGGGGCGAGGGTGAGGAACTGATTGTGGGTCTGCAGGGCGAGCGAAAGCTCTTGGGCCAGACCGATGCTGCGGTGCAACTTTTCAAGGGTGGCGAGGAACTCAAGCATGTTGATGAGGAGGAAGACACTGGTCGAAAGACTATGCGACACGCACGCGTCGCGGACCGCGACGGCGACTCCGACGACGAAGTTCCCGACGACGAAGGCTTCGTCAGTGGTGAAGAAGAAGGCGAATCCGACGTTGAAGAGGAGTTTGACGAGGGCAAGCTGGGCAGGATGTTCCGGAAAGACTCGGAGGAGGACGTTCAACACGAAGACATCGCTTTCGCCGATAGTGACTCCGACCTTGGCTCAATATCGGGGCTCGAAGATGAGGATGGCGAGATGGACGACGACGACGACGACGAGGACTTCGACTCGGACGAGGAGGCCGCCGCGTTAAAGTGGAAGGAGAACATGGCCGAGCGTGCAAAGAAGCTGCACGGCAAGCGGCGCTCTTACCACACACCAAACCTCGCTAGATTCATGTACGATGCCTCCTTGACGCCGGAGGAAGCACTGGCGAAGTGGCGCGGCGAAGAAGAAGAGGAGGAAGAGGATGACATCGAGGCATCCGACGATGAGGAGTTCTTCAAGAAGTCCAAGCAGGAGAAGGAAGACAAGGTGGAGGACAGATCGATACCCGTGTACGACTACGAGGATCTGGCGGCGAAGTGGTCTCAGCAAGCGAGCGTAGAGGCTTTGCGGCGACGATTCACCACCGCATCGTTGCGCGATGGCGGCGACGACGAGGACGGCGAGGATGAGGATGAGTTCGACGGCATCGACGACGAGGACGAGGACGACGAAGGTGATGGTGTCTTTGAGGACCTTGAGACGGGGGAACAGCACGGCCCTGAAGAAGCTACCGAGGAGAAGGACTTCGAAGACGAGCGTGAGAAGAACGCAAAACGCAAAGAGGAACTCAAGCTGCGTTTCGAAGAAGAAGATCGAGAGGGTTTCATGAACGACAAAGCCAACGCCCGTCGGGAAGGTGGCGACCAGGAGTTCGGGGAGGACGAGTGGTACGAGTCGCAGAAGGCCCTGATCCAGAAGCAGCTGGACATCAACAAGGCCGAGTTCGAAAACCTCGACGGGAGGCAACGAGTCGCCGTGGAGGGTTACAAGGCCGGCAAGTATGCGAAAATCGTCATCGAGGGCGTCCCAGCCGAGTTCTTGCAACAATTCAACCCGAAAATGCCCATCATTCTTGGAGGCCTAACCCCTACCGAAGACCGTTTCGGATTCATCCACGCGCGCATCAAGAAGCACCGATGGCACAAGAAGATTCTCAAAACCAACGACCCCTTGATCTTCTCCCTCGGCTGGAGGCGTTTCCAGTCCCTTCCCATTTACTCAATGTCTGACAACAGACAACGCCAGAGACAGGTCAAGTACACAAGTGAACGTATGTGTTGCCACCTTGAAAGCGCTAGGGAATATCGCTGACATCTGCTTCGTGTAGACATGCACTGCTTCGCGCAGTTCTACGGACCGCTGATTGCTCCCAACACCGGTTTTGTGTGCTTCAACTCCTTCTCCTCGGCCAACCCCGGGTTCCGGGTAGCAGCCACAGGAACGGTCCTCAGTGTTGATGAGTCAACGGAGATAGTGAAGAAGCTGAAGCTTGTGGGAACGCCTGCCAAGATTTACCGCAATACGGCGTACATCCAAAACATGTTCTCGTCATCCCTGGAAATTGCCAAGTTTGAAGGGGCGAGTATCAAGACAGTGTCGGGAATTCGCGGACAGATCAAGCGCGCCCTATCCAAGCCCGAAGGCCACTTCCGCGCCACCTTTGAGGACAAGATCCTCTACAGCGACATCGTGTTCCTGCGGGCGTGGTACCCGATCAAGCCGCACCGCTTCTACAACCCTGTGACGAACCTCATCGGATGGCAGGCGATGCGTCTGACGGGTGAAGTGCGCCGCGCCGAGGGCATCGCGACGCCGCTGCAGAAGAACAGCCAGTACCGCAAGATCGAGCGCGAGACACGTCACTTCAACCCGCTGCGCGTCCCTCGTGCCCTCGCGGCCGAGCTGCCCTTCAAGTCGCAGATCGTGGAGAAGCGCAAGCAGAAGAAGGATACGTACATGCAGAAGCGCGCGGTGGTGCTGAACAAGGAGGAGAAGACGGCGCGCAATCTGCTGCAGCAGCTCACGACGATCCGTAACGACAAGGTGGCGCGTCGCGCGGCCAAGAAGGAGGAGAAGAGGGCCGAGTATCGCAAGAAGGTGGCCGAGTCCGAGGAGAAGAAGGAGGCGAGGGAGAAGAAGGAGAGCAAAGAGTTCTGGCGCAAGAACGGCCGGAAACGCCAAGCAGCGGACGAGGGCGGCGGCGGCGGCCAGAAGCGCAGAAAGTAGCGAAAAAAAGTGTTTGGGCACATCGGGCGGCAGGTTGAGAAGAAAAGGTTTTCTACCCTAGTTCGTCAAGTAGAGTGTATAATCAAGGGCGCTTGGAAGTCATCTGCATCAGACAGGCGGATGCTTTGAATTCTGTCATTAGGGTATCTAAACATAAACAGGATCTCCTACAAGGATTGTGGCGTTTGGCGGCTTCGAAATAGTCCAGACCACCGAAGCCTGGGAAAAGTCTCCCGCAGCTGGCCCAGCATTTTCGGACAAGATTGATGGCTCGAGTTCAATGCACAAACGCGGATCAAGGCGTTGCCATCCTTGCCTTCACCATCGCCAGTTCAGAACTCTTGGCCCAAGTGCCACTCGGTGTCTGACGGTAGCATAGCAACTTGCCATCGTCGCCGGTGCTCGCCAGGATCTGGCCGTCGTCGTCGAAGCCAACGCGCCAGACAGGCGTTCTATGGCTGTCCAGCTTCGCGGTCTCCTGGAACACGTGCTTCACCTGGCCGGGCTGACCCGAGAAGTGCCGTTCTGCATGAGAACCAGACTTGGCGAGGCTTGCGCTGAGCCCTGACTGAGGTTGTTTGTCGCTTAGCTGTCCCGCCCTTGACGAAGCCTGTGCCAGGTGGTTTTCGTGCCTTGTGAGCTCTGTCGTCGACCACGACTTCGCGCTGTCGGGGGTGTGAGGCGTGTCGATGCGGAATACCCTGACAAAGCCGTCCTGGCAAGCCGTCGCAATGGTGTCGTACCCTCGAATGTTCCCCGGCGCCCACGCTACATCGCGCACGAGACCACGATGAACGCCGACCTCGACAGCCAGGTAGAACTCTCGTTGTGACTGGGCAACGCCATACGATGTCGTTAACACGTCTCTAGAGCGATAGACCTTGACCGAAGACATTCCTGCCACCACCAAACCTAGAGAGTCCGTCGCGACCCCCGCCCGCAGGGCATTGTAGCACGGGTCCGGGTTTGGGTCGAAGCGGACCTTGAAGCTGATCTCCTCGCCGCGGCTCGGTTTCGGGCATACGTTGAATTCGTCGATCGACGTGTACTCGGACATGTTCTCGGGTTGCTCGTTCTCGTACACCATCAGGCGGCCGTCGGAGGCAAGGAGGGCGAGGTAGGTATGCCGCGTCTCTTCGTTGTGCTTCATGGAGAAGGAGCGGTACGGGTATTTGGCGGAGCGCATTTCGTAGGCGGCTTTGCTGGTTGTCGCGCGATTGCTGGCGCTGAAGCGGCGGCCCGGGGCGGCGGAGGGGTCTTCTGCCCATAACTTGAAGCGGCCTTCGATCCCGAGCGATGCGATGAGGTTCGGGTAGACCGTCGGTGGTAGCCATTGGAGCTGCGGCACGAATGGGGGTCAATTGCTAGTCGTGGTGACAAGGCTTGCGGGCTGTCGGATGGCCTACCTCTAGAATCTCGCCGCCGTGAGCCCCCCAGGTATCGCAATGGTGCCATACCCCGTCTTTATGGCGATTGAAGACTTTGATCTTTCCGTCGACCGAGCCGGTCGCGCAGCGGTCGCCATAGGCGTTGAAGGCAACAGCTTGGACCAGGTCTTGGTGGCCGTGCTGGAGGTTCAGGTCGAATCCGGTCTTTTCCTCGGTGATCGCGGGTACTTCGTGAGGAAACGCCGCCATGTTGTGCAGTCGCGGATACTGACTGGGGCGTTCAATTGCGCTGCGCGGTGGAGATGTAGTTGAAGAGCCGGTGCGCGACAGATGAAGCTGTCGCAGAGAGGCTCGTCTGCCCCGCGTGGAAAAAGGTACGTACATTTTGTCCTCAACTCAAATACGCAGTACAGCAACTGTCCGTGAGCCAACTCCTCGTTATAAGAGATTTCCCCGGCTCAAGATGCCACGATAGCCTCTGTCGTGGTAGTAGCTGGCCAAAACTGCTGCAATTATTCAACTACATCGTACTGGAACCCGAGGGCTGGGCTGGCATATCAACTGCTCCATCGCCGCAAGAGACCGAGCCGACCCATTCCGCTTCCGCCGTTCATAGTATACATCACCCAGGCCCTCAAGCTTGCCTCTCCGTGCTAATTTAGCTTGCTCACGTCTCTTCGACTTTTATATTCAATTCACGAAGCTTCTCATAGAGAGCAGGTATTCCCTTCCCAAACGAGAGTGACTCCGCTACCTCTTTCAAAGGATGCACCGGACCGTAACTAATCTTCTCTGCCGTCGCCAAGATGTTTCGAACGGTAGTACCGTCCCAGAAGTTCTCCTTCTGCGGATAGTCTCGAAGAAGACGGAGAGCCCTCTTTTGGACGTCGGGATCCTGACAGCTCACTATGATGAAGTACAGGGGCGGGATGATGCCAATGTCCATCGTGAAAGATCGAGGTAGGATTGCGGTCTCTTTTTGTCTTGCCGCGAGCCCCTTGTGTATTATTGCAGCTATTGACACTAGTTCTGCGTATCGGGCTACGATGTCGGGCGACTGAGATCGTTCGTGTGGCTTTTGGCGTAGATTGTGGCACAGGAGACGTGCGCAGCTGTAGTGCAACGTATCTAAGCATACCGAGTAGTACTCTCCCGTTCCGGTTGCGGGTGCCTGAGGTTTTGCTAGGAATCGCTCAAAGAGGCCCGGCATGCGTTCGCCCTTTCGTGTCAAGATGTCGTGTTGACGTCTGGGTATGGGTTGAGACCAGAATTCATCGTCCCCCTGGTGCTGGCGATTCAGCCAGACGAGAGCAAACACGTCACGCGTGTACTGTACGATAACCCGGTGAGCATGCGTAATGGATTCGAATTCCCCCAGAGGGGTATCGTCAAGTTCTCGCCCTTCGTACAGCTTGATAGAGATGACGGGCTTGAAGTTCTCGGCAAACAGTGCACACGAAACTTCCCAGGTGGCGAACAGCCGAAGTATGTAGTCCATACCGAGCTGATCCTCTGTAGACCAGTCGCGGGTGTTCCGAAGCTCATTCAGCGTACTCATAGGCAGGCTCTCGATAATTCGCAAGCCGTTTGATAAGTGAGTCAGGGCCGGTCTCCAGTTGTTTCGTAAAGTCTCGATGCAGACGAAGGATACGCAGCAGAGCAGCGTGACGGTGATTCTGTCTTTCATTGGTACGTGGGCATAGCTAGAAAGCTTGGACATTGCTGTACCATACTGCTGGATCGTGAAGATTTCGAGCTCTCGAGGCGACGGACCGTCCTCGGACTCGGGCAGCGCCGACTGGTAGATGTGATACGCGGAGCCGAGGGCAACGATGGCATGTTTGACAGCCGCGTCTGAATGGCTCAGCTGGGGAGCTAGTCTGCTCCAGAAACTCGTGAGATTGGTGACGTGGTTGCAGAGACCGGCTCCCGCGACGTGACGGAAGCGGTGGAAATACAGACGTTCGGCTTGGGTGCCGTCGATATCGGCGACGAGTGGTCTCAGGACACGCAGAGCCTGGTTGTCGGCCCAAGGTTGTACGTGTTGCTCCTGAAGAGCCAGAGCCCCGACGCACGAGTTATCGGGCGGCCTCGGCCGCGCCGGCATTGCTTTGTCGTAGCCATCACAGGTTCGTCCAGTCGACGTACACCGCGCGCAACTAGGACGTTCTTCTCCGCATTTGATGCGTCTAATCCTGCACGATAGCAACGTTGGTCAACAGCTCCCGAGCCTATGACGAGCATGGGGAGTATGGGCAGCAAAATCTTACTTGCTACTGAAGGTCAGTACACGAAGACGGGTTTCGAACGAATAAGTAGGCTTCTCACCATGTGAGACATCCAGTTCGGACTTTGGGTTTGCTCGCCCTTTTGCGCTTCGTGGGAGCAACGTCCTGCTTCGGCGTGGGCGTGGGCGTGGGCGTGGGCGCTGGTGCTAGATCCGAACTCTTGGACAGAGGAACCATTGCAGCGTTGCCTCGAGTGAGTGCGGCCGAGTAGCGAATGACTTTGAAAGCCAAGAAGCCCTCAGTCAGAGAGAGTCTATCGAGCGATTGTTGAATCAACCCCATTCAAGGCTGCGATTGAGTCTGATTGCGATGGCGAGATGGCGAGAAAGGTCGTGATTACACGAATTGGATGGGCAAAATGATCTCGAAAGTACGTGAAGAAGCGTCGCTCATCCTCGTCCTTGCCCGGATTAGCTGCATTGGCAGCGTAGGTCGGCGCAGGTCGGCTGATGGACGTTCGAAGAGCCAGTAACATACGCCGCGACGAATGCGGGTTCGAACGACCTTAGCTGAGTGAAGTCGTATTAAGGTGCAAACAAGTTTCTGGGCTTGGCGGCTGAGAGAAGTTAGTTAGAGACAAAGAAGACATGTGGTGATGCAGTCTGGCGAAAGCAACTCAGGACGCCTGAATTAGATGATGTACGTATTCGGAATTTGAACTGGCTTCTGTCGACGCTCATTACTCGGACAATGTGATCGAGGTCTCAGACTAGTAAATGTCGACCTGGATCGGGAATAGGCCGAGTTTGAAAGCAACTTTAAGTTCAAGGGCTTTACACTTCTGTCGTTGCAGTTCCCCTCCTCTTGTGAGTTCTCCACCTCCGGCAGACGTTGGGCTTACAGTTGGATCCCGAGCAGGATTTAAAGAGGGCTAAGGCGGTAGGGAATGGTTCTTGACGGCGCGGTGTTGTTGTTGATAAGTATCAATTGAAGTTGCGATGAAGCAAGCCGCCGCTGAAGACGGATACGCGGCGGCAGCCTAATTGTTCAATGTCCAGGGTCCAGAACGGCCCATTGCGACTTACCTAAGTGAGGTGAGCGCAGGTCCCCTCCTACCCATCTGTCGGTGAGGCACAGCGCTGTAAGTCTGGACGTCCCTACAGTCGCAGTTCACTTACTCGGAATGAAGACAGCTATTTCACACACAAATACTGACTGACCTTACGATCCGACCGTCTGTATCTTGGGGTTTCATGATGAATCTACGGAGCAAGACGGCGCGTAAATCTTACCATTCATCCGACGCCGCTGGGCATTGAGAAGTATGTGCATTCCATTTCTATGCATCTAATTACCATACCGATCCACCAACACGGATGATCGTACCATTATTCTACAAGTCGACGGCCGTATTCATTATCATTACCTATGCACCGTACTGTTATACTCTTTCTCTTGGCCGGTACCCCTTCTCATCATGTCTCTGCTTCGGGCTCGATTCTGCTCTCACGGTTCCGCCCCTTCTTGATGTTCCGCCACTCCATGCACAAAGCGCAGAGAAGTGTCGCCAGGGCCAGTCCCATGCCGGCCAAGAAGATCCGGGTACACGCGTAGTTGTATGCCTGAACCACGACGTCCAAGAACTGGGCTGGTACAACCTTGTGCAAATCGGTGGCACCGATCTTGACGATGGCTTGGGCTGGCAGGCCTGGGATACCCGAGAGCTCAGATACCAGCATGTTGCTCAGGATTGACTGTCCAACCGAGACGAAGATGGCCGCTCCCAGCTGCTGCGCAAAGAAGCTGATCGAGACTCCCGTTGACACGTCTTCCCTGGGAAACACGGCCTGTACGGCGAGGCCGACAGTCTGCATGCCAAAGCCCAAGCCGAAGCCCGTCAGGAACTGGTAACCGATCCAGTGGGCCGAGCTGATTCCTGGCGTGAAGGTGCTCATCAGCCCCAGTCCTGTTGCCATGATACACGGGCACAGGATCATGGACGGCACGTAATAGCCAATCTTTTGTGTTGCGCCTCCCGAGATGATGGATGACGCCACAATGCTAAGCACGAGTGGCAGCGTATAGATGCCCGAATCGACAGGGTTTGCGCCCTGGACAGCTTGGACTGCAGTCAAAGTCAGCATTGATTCTCTCATGACCCAGGTTGCGTTGTCACTCACACCAGAGGGGGAGGTAGTAGACGGCCAACATCATGGAGCCGGCCAAGAAGAACATGAAGAACGCGCCGGCCAACATCGTTCTCTGCGTGATGATCCTGACGGGTACAGTCGCCGTCTTGGGCATAAACACCTGAACGGCGGCAAAGGCGCTGAAGGCAACCCCAAAGACGATAAAGAGGGCGATGATGCGTCCATCGTTCCAAGCGTAAGTCGCGCCGCCCCACTCCAGGGCCAGCAGAAGTGACACGATCGAAGGGAGGAAGAAAAATGTCCCCAGGGGGTCGAGACGCAAGAAGTGCTGGGTGATAGTTGCCGGCTCTCGCGGTTGGTGCTTGGGAGCCTTGAGCATGAAGAACAGGTATACCAGAGCCGCACCTCCGATGGGAAGGTTCATGTAGAAGCACCAGCTGTTTCCGGGTGTTTAGCCAGGCACGTCAAGAGGGGCAAACTGTGGTTGACCTACCGCCATGTGACGTTTCCCGTGAAAGCACCGCCAATGAGAGGCCCGATGACGGAAGCGAGACCAAACACCATACCAAAGATGCCTGCTCGAGTGTGAGCACCAGCCAAGTCGACGTCTCCGTTGAGTTTATTGAGTCTTACCCTGGAACATTGGTCGCTTGTGCAACGGGATCATCGGGATCATGACCATCATAGCACCGGTGAAGATGCCCGCGGACCCAACTCCGGCAATGGCTCTGCCGGCAATCAAAGTGGCCGAGTTTGGCGCGACGCCGCAGAGGAGAGACCCGACCTCGAAGATGAATATGCTGCCGAGGAATGCCCTATGCGGATGAATGGTTAGAATGATGCTCTTCGAGAACGAGATGAGACTATCCTTACCAGCGAAGGTTGTAGAACTTGTAGACTCTGCCAAATACCAGCTGTGAAGCAGCAGTCGTGAGCATGTATGCCGATCCGTACCAGCCAATATCTCCCAAGCTCCCGAACTCGTCCGTGATACGAGGAATGGCTGTTGCGATGATCGTCCTGTCCAGGGCGACCAAGAACAAGGCGATGAAATTGGAGAAGATGACAAGCCAGAACTTGATGCTTTTCGGCTTGAAGTTCTCCTCGGCCTCATCAATCTCAACTGGCGGACCTGCCAGCGGCGGCTTCTCGAGATCGTTCTTCTCATCAACTTCGGGGTCCTTGGATACATCAACTTGGCTAGCAGTCGGTGACGCGTCGGCCGATATTATCGGGGTGTGGACCGTCACCTTCTCCTGTGTCAGACCCGGCGTATCCTCCGGCTTCTTGTCTTGGTGGTCGTCGCTCTCTCTGGTGGCCAATGTCGGCGTTGACGTGTTTGTCCTTCGGAAGGTCTCACCCGTCACGGATGCGCCGTCGACCTCGGCGGGCTTCGGAGTCGGCATCGTATCGGCCATTGTAAGTCACAATACCACGGCCTGGATAAGGAATTGCGATACCACAAGGGCAACAACACCAATGAGGGCGCGTTTGAAGAACTGGAAACGAGAACACCAGACGCGTGTGAGAGAGAGCTAGGCGGGCAGTGGGAAATATTGATTAATGGATGGACAAGCGGCAGTTCGTCCGGACTTTTTTCCCCCAGGCGCACGGTCAGATCACAGACGGGCTAGGGAACCAAGCTGCCAGTAAGTGTGCATCGACTAGGGTGTTAATCATTATATACGACAACCCAAGTTCCTGTCAACGTGGTCATCGGCGCCATGAGTGATGGCTCGGACGCGACGCGAATAGGATGAACGCCATCATAATGTGGCTCCTGTGTGTGCCTCGCGGGAGGGGGAGGAGTGAGTCGATGCCGATGGGGATGTCCAGACGAGCGTCAGTGTTAGCGTAGACGATGGTGAGGATTCGGACGTAGGTTGATCATTCCAAAGCTGTGTCTCGGACATCGGAGGTCGAAGTCGTGTCCGGACAGTGTGCACTGGTTGCGTTTGCGGACTAGCTCCGGGTGTTCGGGTTTCAGTGATTACATAAGAGGGATCCATGATGGGGGAACCACAGAGCTCGGATCACCCTGAGGCTACTGCGGTCTCCGGGGACCGGGGTCAAGGCTGGCCGATGTCAGCACGCTCGGTCCCGGACGGGTATCTCGTCCTCTCCCTACCGGCCTTCCCCCTCAGACATGACATCGCGACGTCCAGTGGTGTGGTCATCATCCCGGGCCCAAGCTAGCGAAGAGCCTCAACAGCACCAAACTGGAAACACACACACGTCCGCGGCGTTCGTCCTGTCTTATGTTTGCTTGGGGTACCGGCATCTAGCCTGCGAATAACCGTACGAATACGGGTACCATCAGCGCAACCCAACAACCCCCACCTCCTTTGCTTACCCAGGGCACCTCAGTCTCACAGCTACCTTAGCTCTAGCTGTCTTCATCTTTGTGCCTGCCGGTTTTCTCACGTCCACCTCTGTCCCCACCGAGATTCCTGTCTTCCTGCTGCCTGCTGCCTGCTGGTGTGTTCGTCCGTCTACGCATCTAAACGGCTTGCCGCAGCTTTACTCTTGGTCGTGTCTCGGACAATCGACCCGATCTTCACCAAACCTAGGAGTGGCTTCTTTGCAAAAGAAGCACAGCGAGAAGAAACCGCCCATCTACATTCCCGAGGTACCCTGGCAAGTCCTCGGCGCCAACAGCGCCCACTGATTGTTCATTGGTCTTCTCATTAAACTCATGCCGCACCCCGTCAACGTTTCGCCTGCAACCTCACCCGTCGGATCCGAACCGGGATCTAGCCAGCCGACGTCGACATCTGTAAGGTAGCCCGCCTGTCTGCGTCCCGTCATCTGTCGGCATCCACATAATATACCATGTCGGGAGAAGCCCAACTCCTACCTCCGCCGAGGGCTCCTCCTCCACCCGAACCCGACCCCATGGCTGCCATGAAGCTTACAAGGGGCACCTCGTGTGTCCTATGCCAACAACGAAAGGTCCGTTGCGACAAGAACAAGCCTTGTGCCAACTGCGTCAAGGCCCGCGTGGAATGTCGAGTCATCCCGCCACAGCCGCCAAGACGGAGAAAGAAGCGTCTCCAAGAAAGAGACCTTGTCGACAGGCTCAAGAAGTACGAGCTTCTGTTGGCCGAGAATGGCGTCAAGTTCGAGCCCATCGCCGGCGACCTCAAAGCTTCGGACCGCGATTCCATCCACATCGATGAGGGTCCCGTGACGGACGAGGTCGCCGACCTGGAAAACGATTTCGAAGGTCTCAAGACGTCGCCGGAGGGCAGCACGTCTCCGTCCGTGGCGGGAAGCAGGAGGTCGCAATCCGACAAGTGAGAAGACTTGCCCCTCCCCTTCACCAGTCTGGACGTAACTTACCTTAACACCCATTCTAGGCCATTTAACAAGTGGTTCCCCTTTCACAAAGAGGTACGCCACCCCTCCCATATCACAATCCTACTCATGTTCTAGACCGTGTTCTGACCCTCCCTGAAGTTCAGGGCCAGCGAGGAACTCTTGAGAGACTCCTCGGAGGACGAGGTTGATGGCTCCACCATCCACCATGCCTTTGACAAGATGTACGACAACCAGGACGGCTTCCCATTCATTGTGGGCAACCGGAATGCTTCCGTGACGCACCTGCATCCGTCTGCCATCCAAATCTTTCAGCTGTGGCAGATTTACATCACCAACGTCAACCCACTCCTGAAGATTACTCACGTGCCCACCGTCCAAGGTCTCATCATTGAGGCCACCGCCAACCTCGAGAAAATATCAAAGAACGTGGAATGTCTCATGTTTGCAATCTACTTACTGGCCGTCACCTCGCTCGAGGATGACGAAGTGGCCAAGATGTTCAACGAACCCAAACCCACCGTTCTGTCCAGATTCCACACGGCCCTCCAGCAGGCCCTTGTCAATGCCGGCTTCATGCGCACGAGTGACACCATGGTACTCCAGGCCTATATGCTCTTCCTGGTAAGACCTCACGCGGGCTTCTTCACTTGATCAGTGTTTTGCTAACGCTACCCAGATCGCCGTCCGCATGTTCGTCGACCCAAGACAAATATTCTGCTTGGTCGGCATTGCTGTGAGAATCGGCCAGCGGATGGGCCTTCATCGGGACGCCGCAGCCTTTGGGCTATCGCCGTACGAGGTTGAGCAAAGACGGCGGCTGTGGTGGACCATCGTAGGCTACGATCGGAGGATCGGCGAGATGACGGGGTCTACTGTCACTGCCCTGTCCACTGCGGGTGACTGCAAGCTACCTCTCAACATCAACGACACGGATCTCCACGTCAACGGTAAGGACGCCCCGACTCCGCATCAGGGCGCGACGGAGATGCTCTTCGTTCTCATCAGGACGGAGCTGGCCATGGCCATCAGCAGCGACACGGCACGTGATGGGCAACGGCACGGTGACAAAGACAAGGAATCCGGCCCCGGCGCCGTTGCGGCGCGCCCGATGCCGACTGTGCGCATGGCCGGACAGGACCAGACGTACACACTGGACGGCTTCTTCGCTCACATCGAGGGCACGTACCTCAAGTGGTGCGACCCCAAGATACCCCTCCACTTCTTCACTCTCACCATGACCCGGCAGTCGCTGTGCAAGATGAGGGTCATTTCGTTCCTCGTTCGAATGGGCAACGGAGAGGCGACCACTCTGCAGGATCATGAGCGCGATACGCTATTCCTCGAAGCCATCCAGATGATCGAGTACGACAACGTCGTGCAAGCGGCCGAGAGTCTCCAAGGTTACAAGTGGTATACGTACCTCCACTTCCCGTTCCCGGCGTACATGTTCTTGGTGACGGAGCTGCGCCAGCGGCTCACGGGACCGATGGTGGAGCGGGCATGGGACGCCATCGCCGAGAACCACGAGAGGCGCGGGCTGATGAACACGCTGCACAGCCCGATGCACATCGCGTTTGGCAACCTGTTCATCAAGGCCTGGGACGCCCACGAGGCCGGACAGCAGCAGATCGGGAAGCCCGTGCAGGAGCCTTTGTGGATCACGAGATTGCGCCAGCGGGCGGAGAAGATGGGCAAGAAGCAGCGCGGGGCCCGGCCCGGGCCCGAGGGCGGGGCCGGGTTTCCGCAGCAGGCGGCCAGGACGACGCCGATGAGCAACAGCACGTCTCAGGTGGGCCCCATGCAGATGCCGCAGAACATGATGATGACCCCGCCGTCGGTGACCGCGGGAACTCCGGCGATGGGTCCTCCGGCCTCGGAAGGCGATGTTACCGACATGGACTGGAGCTACCTGATGCAAGGGTACGACATGGATACGTATGCGGCATTCGGAGGAGGCTTTGGTGGGTTTCCGATGGGGGGAAACGGCATGATGGGCCCGGGCATGATGGGGAACCCTGACGGAGGCAACATGTTTGGGAGTTGAGGGCATCTGATCTTCACATCTTGGATGAAGGCGAATGGGCGGTAGTCTCCACATGATTAGAAAGCTTTCCTTCGCATCCTTCTTTGTCCTCATATACCAGCCAGCGCTTCACACCCACCCTAGCAATTGCCGCTCGATCCCAGAGGCCCTTCCCAAGCATCGTCTGTTGCCGAGACCTGCGTCGAGTTGCAAGCCGGGACGGTCAGCGTGCGGTTCGTCGTCTCGTAGATGTAACCTTGGTTGCAATTCTGCCTCCTCACGTAGACGTAGCTTACGTTCTGACCGCCGGGGAGTTCCACATCAACGTTCCAAAGCGGGCGCTCAGCTGTGTAGCCGGAAGCCGTCATGGGCTGCGCATTCTCCACGTTCCAGGAGCCCAGATCGGCAATGTCGCCCAGGACGTAGAGGTCTTCGCCGTAGTAAGTTGTCGCATTGACGAGGAAGCTGACGGGGACGGTACAAGAGCCCGTCACGTTAGGGGCCCCGGCGGCGATGGCCGGGACATAGACGCCGGTTGTCGACGACGCCACGCAGGTCGAGGGAACTTCCGAAGAGGCAGGGACCCAGCTTGGAGGGTATTGACCGGCACGACGCTCTGCCATCGTCACAAACGCGGCATATGACCAGGTGAGATCGGAGGCGGACAGAGGAGCTCCCGGCGGTGCCTTGTCAAACTGCTCGGACATGGAGCCGTTGCTGGGAGTGTACTGCCGCGCTACCGAGACAAAGGAGTCGGCGTAAGCGGTGACCGCGTTGACGATGCTGGCATAGTCGCCGGATACGTTGCTGCGTTTCTGGTAGGTGCCTTCCTTGAGGGAAGGGTAGAGGTCGGCGAAGAAAGGCAGCGCCGTGGCATCAACCTTGATCTCGCCGTGCGCGTTCCATTGAGCCACTGCGCCATACAGAAACTCAGCCGCTCCCAGAGTGATGAGGTACCTGCACAGAAATGAGCGGCGAATACTTCCACTCACCATCATTGGGCCGGACTCACCACGGGTTGCCGTTGTAGTAAATGTCTTCGGTGTAGCGGCCGAGGGCCACGCCTTTGTCCTTTGCTACCCCGTCGTTGATGGGATAGAGGCTTGCATTGCGAAAGGCGTCGACCCAAACCTTGAAGTTTGCCAGGGCTCGGCTGTGGCAGGGTTGGATGGAAGGGTCCTCGCAGCTGGCCGTAATGTCAAATACGGAGATGGAGCCAAGCATGACGTTGGCGTCCTTGCCGGAGCGCTGTGTCTGGGTGTTGATATTGGCGGTGTAGTACTCGCCGTTCCAGTAAGTTTGTAGGAAGCACAGCACATCGGGTGCCAGCTCACATCCCGTGCAGTCGACGCCGAGGGACTTCGCAAGCGCGGCGCCTTCGATCAGTGAACGGTACTGGTTCTGGGTCGTGAAGAAGCTGGAACCGGACACTTCCTCCCAAAGATCAAAGCCAGTCGAGTTCCTACGCGTTTCGTCAGACGATTGCTTTCTAGGCCTGGATGGGAGGGGGAGGGAACCGTCGTACCAGTATTGACCAACGTAGGACAGATCGTTGGCAATAATGGGCCAGATAATGTCCTTGGCTTTTGATTCCTGGCCGTTCTCAACCAGCCAGCGGGAATAGGTGATTAGCGCAATTGCTCTCAATGCAGGACCGTCTCTCTGAGGTCGGCCCCAGGCGCCGTTGAAGCGAGCGCCGTCGACGGTGTATTTGGCCTCACCCAAGCCACGGCCGGAAGGGAGGAAAGAGCCCGAGGGGTTCGTGACGGTCTGCAGCACAGCCTGAGAACGGTAGTAATCCTCGATGTAAACCTGGAGCTCCTCCTTACCGAAGATGAACTCGTCCACAATCATCTTCATTGTCAGGGCGGCATCTCTGGTCCAGGTATAAAAGTCTTGGGGCAAACACTGTCAGCGACAGCGTGCTACACGCCGTAGACCGAGGAACTCACAATCGGGGTCTGACTTGGACGGGCTGGCGACAACGATGCCCGCAGCAGCCCCCTCAACCATGGAGCCATCAGGACCAATGTTGTTCAAGGCGCTTTGGAGAGCGAAACTCCTTTGGCGACTAATGAAGTCGTCGAGGTCTGCGGCGACAGCAGACGCGACGACGCCCGCCAGCAAGAGAAATCCAGATCGCAGAGCCATCATGCCAGAATTGGTCGTGGCAGCCGGTAGACGCTGTCACGGAGAATCTCCCGCGTTGATTTACCTTACACAAGACTGCAGGCTGGAGAAAAACATGGCAGACGGGGTTGAAGGTTATATAATGTAGCGAAAACCCTGCCCCAGGGGCATGTTCGTATCACTGTGTGCGGGCCAAGCGGCTGGCAGTCCTGTGATAGTTCGCAGTAAAGCTTATTACTGGCATCATCGTGCTGCAAAGGCCTGGATGTTCATCCCAAGCCGTGGGTGGCAGGGATGGTGTCTCTGGGCACCATTTGGGAAAGGAGTTGACGTGGGTACGCTCGTTTCATTTCCTTGTGCAGCCAGTGGGAAGGTTTGCAGGGAACACAGCCCAGTAATAACCCACTCGAGGCAATCCCCTAGGAACAACACCGGCGGGCCGATATGATGCATGTCGGGGCTGGGGTTGGGGGGCTCGGTTAGGCCGGTTCAGCGCGGGGGAAACGTCCCCTTCCCGAGTCCAGTCTAGTCCGGTCTAGATCAATCCGTAGGGGCGGCCCCAATTGCGGGGGGGATGCCGCTCAGTTGACCTACTCCCCGGGCGTGTCCCGGCGCTTCTCACTTGGCTTGACCACCTTCTCCGTCCAAATATATCGTCATGATGTTTCTTCTTCGAGTTTGGAGATTGTGAATCCGGCGGGATTTTTAGGCACAGGAGGTTGCCAAGGCATTCCGACCTACTGCAGAGTGCTCATCTTTCTCAACCCACCCGCATGACTCGCCGAGATAATGGCGAGGGCAATACGGCCTCGGATCAGTGTCGGCGTGAGGCATCTTCACGAGAGCCCGAATATTCGACCGGTCTACTGGCGCATCGTCCTGCTTTTCCTTTTCTCGCACTTGGGATATTCTGCATCAGGCGACAAATGGGTCAAGAAAAAAAGCGATCTGTCTTGGTCAATCTGCCTCTGCCATATATGCTTCAGTCTCCACGCCTCCCTATTTCGGACCATCCCGCCGACCATATCTCGGCCAGCGTCTATCTCGGTTGATTAGCCCTTGTGATCCTCACCCATAGGTTGGACTGGATGAAGATGCCTGCTGAAAAGGAGTCCCATGCCTTTGTAGGATCTGTCAGGGCGAAGTCGAATCGACGAAGAAGCTGAGAGAGACCGTCAGTCACATGGGCGTTGCTGTTGCTGCTGGGGAGATTAGGGGCGACTGACCTCGACAAACACCTTGTTCAGTTCCAAGAGAGCCACAGTCTTACCAAGACACTGCCACTTGCCATACTTGAAAACCAGTTCCCACTGCGCCGTCATGGCCTTCAGCTGGTCTTCTCCGGCGTCGAGCCACCTTTCCGGCCGGAAGACGTCGGCATCCGGTCCGTACACTGCTTTGGAGCGTAGCACTCCAAACGCGGTCCAGCCAATGTCCGTACCCTCAGGGATGCTCATACCGTGCATGTAATCCCCTCCTTTGGGAACCGTCGTCGACATGAGACCCGTGACGGGCGGGAAGATGCGCAGGCCCTCCTTTATGACAGCCTGCAGGTAACGAAGGCCGCCAGATTCTTGGTTGGTGATGGGCGACGAGATTGCACCCGCCTGAGCCGCGTCCCGCACTTCCTTGGCAAGTCTGGAATAACACGAGGGGCTCGTCATCAGATACAACATCGTCGTGCGCATGGCGGTGGCCGTTGTGTCGGAACCGGCCATGATCTGGACCAGTGTCTCACCCTCGGCCTCCTCTCGGGTTAGGCCGTGTGCAAGGAAGGACCCTAACATGTCCCGCTGTTTCGCCGTCTTGTCTGACATGAGCCTCTCCGCGACAACCTTCTTTGCAACGCTGTGAGAAGACAAGCAACGGTCAGCCATGTGGTGTTATTTCGGGGCACTATAAGGGAGGACAACATCACTTACTTGATGAACTGACCGAAACCCACGCGGTCATGCTCGGACGGCATCGCGCGGCGAAAAAGGGGTGACTGCAGCAGTCTGGCCAAGCTGGGGAACACGCCGAGTATCATCATGACAGGCATACTTTCTTCGGTCATCTGGATGTATCGGTGGACATCTGCGTCTTGCTCGACGTATCCGAAGTGGTAGCCGAAGGCCAGCGAGGTGATGATATCGAGAGTGAGATATTGGATCTTTCTGCAAAGGTCCACTGGACGAAAGACTGCCGCTGTTGACACATACTTGTCTTCGATGAGGCGTACAAAAGCCTGGATCTGTCTGTCGATGGCGGACTCGAGGCCTTCGTTTTCCTTGCCGGAGTACTGGTGGAGCGTATGAGTTAGAAGGGCGGCTTAAGCGCACCTGATGCGGGCGGGAGCTGGGGGTTGGGAACTCACGCCGATAGCCATCTTGGCTCGCAGCTCACTGTGGTCATGGTCATTCCTCATGGAGATGAGGTTGTCCCTAGTCGGATCGAACTTGACGGCGTCGTAGAAGGCGCCCTTGCGGTAAGGCGAACGAACCGCCCACATTCGACGGAGGAGCTCCGAGTCATTGGTTACCAAGTCGTTGGGACCGATGCGGACGACCGGGCCTAAAAAGCAATGTTCCCTGTCAGCAGCCTGTCGAAACAGAATAAGGCTCCCCTTGATTGCGCCGTGGATGATTGCGCATGTGTGTCTGAGACCTTTCCCAACGGCGCGCTCGAGACAACGGTTGGATGGCGAGGCATGGAGAGCGAAGGGAATCTGGGGAATTCCAGGGCTGACTTACCATAGTCATCACAAGCCCGCTTGAGAGCGAGATGCATCTGCCCACCCAGTGTGTTACGTAGCATCCACCATTTGGTAAAGGCAGCACCTGGCGGCCCAGGGATATGTCTGAGACGGTTCCATGAACGGTAGCTCAAGACCGCCAGATATATGAAAAGGGCCGCAAAAGTCAGAAGCAGCGGGTTCTGGATGCGGCCCGAGAACTCCTTGAAAGAGGCCATGTCGTTCTCAGCTGCTCCGTGAGACGCGGTTTGGGGTTCGCAAGGTGACGTGAGATGAGTCTGGTGTTGTTGAGGTGAGGTGAGGTGGGTTCAGTGAGCGCAAGCAACAAGCCTGAAGTAGCAGTCGAGTAGAATTGAGGGAGGAAGAAGCAGAAGTTATGGCCTCCCAGCCAGAGGCAGGTCACAGTTGTATGCCGTGAGGTACCTTACCGCGGAGCAGCCCGAGACCCCGAGATGGAGGCAGGCAGGCAGACAGCAAAGAAGTATGTAGGTAAGGTAAGGTAGGTACGGTAGGGTACCTCAAGTCGAGGCGTGGAGATTGAATATTGCAGGTAATGTACGGCAGCTGGCTATTGGGGGGGCTGCGACTTCCTCTCGGGAGGGCAAGAGCATAAAGTAGATCTGAGGATAGAAAAACGAGGTACATTCCTTCCCATTTTCGATGTGAGGCGCCCGAAAGCCTTTTACCCCCCCATCCCATCTCGGGCACCTCCTTCCCTTTGTTACCTTAGGTATCTGTTGACACGACGCCCTGCAGCAAAAGTTTCCTGAGAGGTCCGGATCGAGTAGTCAAGGATTATTATGTTTCCGTGCTTGGTGATGGGGAAGCAGGACAACAAAGACAAACCCACACTCAACGAGAGATTGTCTGGAGCCATTGTTCGACCACAGATCACATACAAACGATGCCCTCGACATCCTTTTGTCAATGCTTTCCCTTCTTTCATCTCATCCATGGCCTTCACCACGCGCTGTTTGTCATGGCCTATGAGACTCGGATCATTCTATACATACACACTAAGAAATATGAGCTATCATCTGCAGCATTCCGCTCCGGTCCGCCTGGCCCCGGGAGAAGCCAACAACAAACATGACAGACACACCGGTCATACGCGCAACCAGTCTCTCCAAGGCCCCCTTTTACGACCAAACCATCGGGAGATGGCTTGTGCCTATCAGCAGAATTTCATATTCTACCTGCATAGGCTGTGTGCCCTCGATTGCCTCAACTATGAGAGAACATGGCACTCCATCCAAGGCATCTGCATGTAACATGTATGATCGCGGTGGCCAAACCTTACCACCATCAGTCATGCTTTGGTCCGCCCCCGTGCAGAATTCAGTCCATGTAATCGAGCTATGGGGTAAATCATTGGAGGACGTCTATCATCAAACCCTCCATGGAATGTTTCGCTCAGTGCTTGAAAGCCATCCAGTCATCCCGGCCGCAGCCACCGTTGTCTTGTCACACCGGTCTTCCAAGAAAGCAATCAGCTCGGTGTTGGGAAGCGCTCGGACAGCGTGACGGGCTTCTTCTTCTCGTTGGCTTCCGGATTTGTTTTCCTATTCATTTACCGCAACCACGATGGCAGCACCTTAGTGGACCACAACGGCAACATGCTACCGTATTTGCCTGTCCACCCGACGGACTGCATGCCATCATGCAGGAATCCGGCCTTAAGCGGAACGGCCGAGGTGGATGCTACGACTGTCGGTTTTCAAAACACCACCTGAACCCTCGCCATCGGAATCCTTACCCCTCTTTGCAGACACCGTCCAAGGGTGTTGCATATCGCCAGCAGTTGACAGCTCGGAAGGCGTCCAACACATACCTTCATTATGGCTTCAGGCACTGGCTGTCAAACTATGAGTGGCCAGCTGCACGTGGCTTGTGTAACACACCTCGTCTTCCGTCTTCAGCGCCAGCATAGTATTGGTTTTGCAGCCCAGTCTTGGCGCGGTCAGCAGTGAAAGAAGCCAGCGACCTTACTCCAAGGAACCCTAGGTGCGGTACTCATTGTGAGAATCTGAGCCGAAGACTGCTGTTTACCCACGGTTCTTCACGCCGGGCTACACCAACATGCCCATTAGTCCGTTTCGACTGAGGAGTGCCGAAGACGACGAGGAGCGCAAGATACACAACTTGTGGTGACACGGAACCGAAAACTCGGCCTGACAAGGAAGCCACTTGTTTGTGTTGCCCTCGCCAGGAGCACCGCAGCCGAACCTTTCCCCTCAATGCCACTGCCACAAAGGTCATATGCTGTTTCCAGCCTCCTCGAACCAGTCCGGGGATACCGGCCGCAGGCGGAGATCAAATATTACCCCAAAGCCCTTCCTTACGCTCTCCTTTCTCGCATACGGAGAGGTTCTCCCTTGGCTTCTGGTTGAGTGGCTCTCGGCTTTGACCACATCGCGCCTCTCAGTGCAAGACGACAGCCTACAGTATAGTCAGCGTTCAAGCCCGCAGAGCCAAGGAGGCAAGATCATGGAAGTGGGAGAACCGATACCCGATGCGAGGCATAATGTCGACACTGTGCTCCCCCCCGCCCATATCGATTTGGAGCCGGACGAGGTCAGCATCCATGCGGAGGCTCACCACCTTCGGGGTTCGGATTGATCAAGGATCCGCCGCTGAACGCTTGTTATAGGACATTGCAGATGCCGATATGCAGAGTATCCTAGGAAGTGATGTCGACTCGGCATTGGGCGAGGTGAGTTTCTGATGACTGACTGCCAGCGTTCGCGCAGGTTTGCTTACATGTCACAGTCTGAAGCATGGCCGTCGTCAACAGCATCGTTGCGATCGAGCATTGTGCGCGCGCTAGAGGAGAACGGTCGTATCTACCACGGATATAAGGATGGGAAGTATGTCCTACCCACGGATCAGGTAAGGAGTCTCCAGGTCACATCGTTGATTCAACGTCTAATCTGGCTTTTACTCCGCATACAGGAAGAACTTGATAGACAAGGTAGGTCAAGTACGTCGACAGGCTTTGATTGATGTGCTGACCAGCTCAGCTTTTCAGTACCAGCTATGCCAGTTGACTTTCGAGAACAGGCTCAATTTCGCCCCCGTTCATCACCCGCACAGAGTTCTGGATGTTGGATGCGGCATAGGTAGATGCTCCCCATAACCCGGCGAACACCCCCCCTAACCCCCTGGTACCGATCACTCAAGCTGACCGTCTCAGGCATGTGGGCAATAGACTTTGGTACGTTGTCTGGACCTGATGGTCACATACTAGTGTGCTGAGCCCGAGCCAAGGCGAGGAGCATCCCGAGTCCGAGGTGATTGGAGTAGACCTCTCGCCGGTTCAGCCAGGCTTGTAAGGCCTCCATCTCCCAAGCTTGATCTCGACTTGCTGAAGTTAGCAGTACGCCCCCCAATGTCCACTACGAAATAGACGATCTCGAAGAGGAGTGGAGCTTTTCGAGAAAGTTTGACTACGTTCATAGTATGATGATGACGGGTGCCTTCAGGGACTGGCCAAATTTCCACCGACAAGCCTTCGAGTCCGTCATCCGAATGTCGCAACCAGGACAGTTGCTAACCTTACGGCGCAGGAATCTGAATCCAGGGGGCTGGCTCGAGATCCAGGACATCGATTTTCCGATGAGGTGTGATGATGGAACGATACCGCCAGAATGTGACCTGGGGAGGTGGAACGATCTGATGATGGAGGCCGGCAGAAGGTCCGGGTTCCTCCTCGACACTTGCGGTCGGGCCGCAGACATGATGGCCAGAGTCGGATTTGTCGACATCGTGAGGATCCCGTTCAAATGGCCCATCAACCAATGGCCGCGAGACGTCAGGCACAAAACGCTCGGGCTTTGGACGGAGGCGAACTTCAGCGTGGGTCTCGAATCCATGACGCTGGCCCTCTTCACCCGGTTCATGGGTTGGAGGAAGGAAGAGGTTTGGGAGTTCAGTGCTAGAGCCAGCGCCGAATGGCGTGACGTGAGGAGACATGGCTACTTTGACGTGTATGTTACGTATGGAAGGAAACCGTAATGTGTTTCGGGGCCTTGAACTCGTTCAAGCTCTCGGTCTCTCAGAATGCCAAGTTTTCGGGCTACCGTTACGCTAGCCTTTCGACTCCGCCCCCTTTGAGGACAACTGGCCTGACTCGACCAGGAAGTGTGCCGAAACGAATGCTGTTGAACGTGTGCGCACTCCGTCGAGATCACGCACTGCATCATGCGCGCGGGGTGGCTCACGTCGCCGACGCGGAATTCGATACACAGACAGGCCGGGAACTTGCACCGTGAAAGCCTCCATCGTCGGGAAACGGTTGGTGGCTGTCAACGTAAGTGGTTTGCAATCCCCTTGTCTGTCATGAGCTGGTGCTGATCGTATCCTGGGCGGACACTGCAGGGAACGCTTGCGTCAGGTGAAGGGTTTCTGGGCCCAGACGGAGATCCACGGCAGGTATGCATGTATTCTCGTGTCGTGGAACGCCTTTCGGATGTCCTGTTCCATGGTATCGGCTTCCTGCTTGCTTAATCCCATCTGCGGCCACTTCACGAGCACAGCGCGTACGAGCTGCCACAACACGTCCTGGCTTACGAAAAGGCCGATTTCTCGCTGATGTCGGTCCTTGGCCCACGGCCCGATGGGCATCTTATGAGTCCGGCAGTGAATATTGACGAAGCCAGCCTTCCTCAGTATATCGGGAAGGACCAGCGGTATCTCCAGATCCCAGTTGTAGTGTGTTCGAAAAGTGCGCACAAAAAGGTCCATGAATCTTGTCGGCGCGTAATCGTCAGGCATGGTACCGTCGTCGCATCCAATCTTGACGCCGGCTTCTTGGAACTCAATCCAGCCTCCCGGCTTCAAACATCTGTAGATGATGTCAGAAGCGAACATCAGCGGGGAGAACGGCTCGGAGTTCTTACTGATACGCTGACTCGATGACTTTGACCGGGTCTCGAAGCGTGACACTGACTGACCTGAAGTGCACAAAGTCCAGATCATTGTAGAGGGGTGACCAGGTTTCCTCAATATCGTCAATCCTCCAGTCGACATTTTGAGGGGCGTACGAGTTCTGGATTGGCGAAATGTCCACGCCAATGACGTGCGCAGTAGGATACTGGTCCGCGACTTGGTTTATGGTCAGAGCGTGAGTCAACTGAGTGTGGAATCGATAACCCAACATACCTTCCACAGCCCAAAGACCAGTGCCAGTACCCACGTCCAAAATCTTTTGCGGGCTGCTGCTGATGGGAGACAGGAAGTCCTTCTCATCAAGCAGGCGTTTGATCAACTGATGCTTCATCTCTTCACGAAACTGTTCCGTCTCATCGTTTGGAAGAGGATATATCCCCTGCAAGAAGGATTGATAGCGTCTACAGTCCGGAAACTTAGCGTCAAGGTGCACCTGTGGAAAGAAGAAGAGCCTTGGGCGACGCACCTCCCACCCTCATGCGAGTGTCTCATGACACGAGAAGCAAGCGAGGTGAAGCCCGAAGACGCGAGCGACTCCTGGTAGTCTGACGATCCCTCAAAATCGTCATTGTCCAGCATGTCCGGCGGAGCTGGTTCTATTGGCTCGCTGGTGGACATATTCATCGCCGGAAAACCTGTGAGGTCCAGGAAGGAGCTAGAGGAAGACGATCGGCCCCGGCAGCATGACAACACCAGGCTTGCCTAGCAGGCTTCACAGAGTCCGAAGCAGAACGGCCGCCTCGCAGCTCAACCGTTAGGAGATATATCAGTTTAATGCTGTGGCAGCTCGGCCTCGGCCACTGCCTGGTGTACGAGAGTTGATGGTAACCGGACGTGAGAAGGGTCGACCGCCACTGGGAGCTCCGAATCAAGTAGGACGAGACTAGCCAGGCCAAGAACAAAGTCTAGGTTGCTAGTTAGGTTAAGTTCGAGTGAGGTATGCAGGTATAGTAGTTTCGGTAGATGCGCTGTAACGGAGCACGTTTTGATCGGCTGTGTGAGCTTCTTCGAAGACGTCGTGAGTGGCGAGAAAAAAGGCGACTACGACAACAACGGTTGAACCAGACTGCAGGGTTGTGCGTAGATTGAGGTCTCAATGTAGGTCAAGTAAACAATTGATGTAGGAAACGACTGAAAATTTGTGAGCCACGGTACCGTTGGATTTGCACGCAGCCGATCTGGCGGCAATAAGAAGCAGTTGTCGCGCACGAAATTCTTCGAACAGGCTGTGCTTAGGGATATGGGATGAGAAGGAGAAACTGAGTATGGACGATGTAGGGAGGAAGAAACTCGGCGAGCAAAACAGCAGTACCTGGTACTAGGAACCGACTTTCTCCTCTCAGTACCAACAGCGTGGTGAGCCAATCATGAACAAACCCCCCCTCTCTCTGCAGTTGCTGGCTTTGACGGGGCTGGTGCTAGTCCTCCCAGAAATGCCAGCCGGGGTGGTACAAAGCAGAACCGGTGCCAACGTGCTGGGGCGGGACATGTCCGAATCTACGTCCACGGGCAGCCAGAGACAGTGCCGCATGCGGTGCCGGCGCTTCGGGTCTGGGAGACAACCCACCGGACAGTTATTCGAAAGGGCTATAACTGTAACTGGACGTCCCGATCCCACGATGAGTTTGCGGGTTCCTTGGAAGGAATAACGAAAGGTGAAGGCGTTCAGTTGAGCAGAAGTTTCGGTAAGGCACCCACGTATGAGCTGGCAACGACCGTCCGGGGACTGTGCGAAGAATGGATCAGCCAGCTTCGCGGGGCAGCATGCGCAGGGCAGTAGATGGACCAGACGGCGGTCGCCGTGTTTTGCGAGGTTCCTTCGCCGGTACGAGCAGACAGAGACTTTGCCGCTTCGAGGAGGTCTCGCATAAGCGGCCTGCAGCGTGTGCTTATGCAGCTTCGGAGAAGGCGGTCACAACAGCACCATGGCGTGTTGATGCCGTTTGTTGCGAGGCGAGGCGAGACGAGGTAGTGTAATTTGATTTGATGCCGAGGCGAGAGAGGACGGCAAGTTGTGTATCGTTTTCTTGTATCCTGGTTTAGATTGAGAAAGACCGCGACATAGCGTGACAAGCGAGAATGAGGAATCAATGGACCCCATCTGTTTCTATCCGTAGTTGTGTTGGCCGGAAGTCGAGTAATGAATTACGGAGCCTTGAAAGAGGGACAAGGTATCTGAACGTATCCGCGCAGGAGAGGAGGAGACGGATATGTGAGAACCGAGCCAGTGATGAATGACGGGTGACAATGGAGCGACAATGCGAGGCCAAGACAAGCCAAATGCCTACAACCACCCTGATGGCCAGCACATCGGCAGTAAGACACACAGTCGTTGCAGATGGGACTGTGAAGTCGTCGTCGTTTTCGTCGTCGTCGTCACTGGCGGTGTGCTGTGCTCTGATGATACTGTATTTCTTGGGTGTCAGCCAGCCTACCTAACAAGAGTCGGGATCCGGATGTCGGGTTTCGGGCTGAACACCTGAGGTGTGAAGGAGACAGAAACCAAATGGACCGGCACTGCCCGGATATCCGTATTCGTACCTAGGTACGTCTACCTTAACCTGGAAGAGCCTCTGGTCCGTGCATTCGGCCGAACCTCCGTGAGGTGACTAGGTACCTCAGGTTAGGTTCCAGCTCTGCAACCAGCCACTCTGACTGGCAGTGGCAGGTACGTACCCAGCATGGCACTTCCATCTAAGGTTCTAGTGGTACGGATACGCTCCACCACACGCGTAGTTTCCCAGTCGCGTAAATCCTGACAGACCGCGTCGGCGCGACACAACACTCAATCAGCCTAGACTGTCCCTCAATCACTCAATTCCCTCTGGTTTGGTACCCTGCCCACAATACTCAGCCTACCTAGGTATTACCTACCTGTCTCACGCCCTCTGTTGACTTTCCACAAGGTGGCATATCCACGTCTCCCGCCCTTCCTCAATCTTCGACCCTGCTCCTCTGCGACGGACCTACCTAGGAGCAGATATTCACACGTCAACTACTCATCTCGCCCCCCGCGCTTACTGCCGAACCTTTGCTGCCGCCGACGGGCATCCTACCCACCCTAGAACGTCCACAGCTTCTTATACCCGCGTCACCACGACAAGACCGATTTTGCATCCCATGAAGCCGCTCGACAAACTCCGTGGAAACGCGTCGAAATCATCTTAGCCATGTATCTTCCACGGTCCCTTATATCCAAGCTTTACCTCCACCTCCAAAACACGCGCCATCCGCTCTCGCCGCCCGTCCTCGTCCTCGTCGCGCTCGAACCCGATGCCCTCTGCGCATGTCGAATCTTGACTCGTTTGTTGAAGCACGACTACATCCCACACAAGATCCAGCCCGTTTCCGGATATGCTGATCTCGAACGTGCCGGTCGGGACCTGGTCCAGCCCATGATGGAGACCCAGGGAGGCGGTGGAGGAGTTGTCGTTTGTCTTGGTGTCGGAGGCATGGTCGATCTCGGCACACTACTTGGGCTGGAGCCCGAGGGAGAAGAGCTTACCTTCGGCGGCGTAGAGGTCTGGGTGATAGACTCGCATCGTCCGTGGAATCTCGGCAACGTCTTTGGCGGGTTTCCTCTCGAGCCCGCCGTGGAAGATGGCGAAGGACTGCAAGCGCGATGTCCCACGGGCGTGGTCGCTGGGCGAATCGATCGTGCCTACAAACCTGGCAAAGGAGGCGTTGTCGTATTTGACGATGGTGATATCGAAGACGATCTCACAGCGGAGAAGGAAGCATATCTCGCTCTGCTAGACATGCCAGAGATCGACGACGACGGCGAGGACCTGGGAGACGACGAAGACGACGACGAAGACAACGAGCACGAGGAGGATTTGTTTGAGGAATCGGTCCACGCCGGCCAGAAGAGGAAGAGCTGGTCAGACCGCGACGAAGGGGATGATTCCAGCGATACAGATGATCGGCCGCCGCAACGCAGAAGAAGCAACTCTGTGAGTTTGGCTGCTATTTACATCCTCCCCCTGGACAGCGCTAACGACCTTTAGTCTTCTTCCATCCCATCATCACCCCAGCGCCCAGCTCATCGAGGCTTGGTGCAACTACGCGACGCTGGTATGGTTTTGTCCAGCGACCCTCTCGAGCCTCCATCTGCCGCTCAGCCGCCACCTGCACCTTCTGCGAGGATCCTGCGCCGTCGCTTGCTGCGGTTACGTAGGGAGAAGGAGGGCGTTCTTCGGAAATACTACAAGATTGGTGCATCATTCTCGGAACCGATCTCCTCCATGATGTACTCTCTGGCCTCCGAGCTTGGCCGAGAAGACAACGACTTGTTGTGGCTCACCATTGTCGGCGTCACGTCCATGGAACTCTACGGCAGATCTTCGGCAGGCATTGCGGTCCCAGTCCGCAACTCGGATCGAGGACAAGGGAATGGCTGGATGGGAGTCCGTGGCGCCCGTATCCGGCAGCTGCTCAGAGATGAAGTCCGCCGTCTCAATCCTCCAGAGGTGGGCAGCTCGAGAGCATCAGCCGAGAACTCGGGCATCATCCCCACCACTGCCCGGAGCCCCGAAGACACGAGCATCAGGCTGTCCCCGGAACCAAAGTTCCTCCTCATCAGACATTGGAGTCTCTACGACAGCATGCTTCACTCACCCTACTTGTTCGCCCGGCTGAAGACGTGGAGCGAAACAGGTTTGAAGCGGCTACACAAGCTCCTGGCCAAAATGGGTGTCAGCTTGGTTCAGTGTAAACAGAGCTACACCCACATGGACATGATGCTGAAGCGTGAACTCCGCCAGAAGCTTCTCAAGTACGCTTCTCTCTACAACTTGGACGACATGGTGCCCTCCGTCGACACCGATGGCAGGGATCGTTCTGGCGCCAAGGACGGGTGGGGTTTCGTTCGGAGCTGGGGCTGGCGAGCTACGCTGAGCGCACAGGATGTTGGCGTTGTCATCGGTGCCTTGCTAGAAGTCGGCAAGCACGCCGACAGCACGGAGCTGGCAAAAGCAGTGAACGACTCCCAGTTGGAGGACGCTGACGATGAGGAGATCGTCAACGCGCAGAGTGAGGAGTGGGTCGGGCGGTTCTGGGAAGCGTACGATGCCCTTGAGAAGTAAGTCACCCCATTCCACAAGGCGCGTCCTACTCGGCTAATCTCTCGACAGCATTGATGCTCTCAAGTCCGGGTTGCCGACTGCCCAATTCTTGCATCGTGCCATCTACCGCACTGGCACGTCGTTGATCAACAAGAAACAGATCAAACATCTACGCGCATTCCGTATGTGTGTGGTCAAGGAGGGGCCCGATGTCCCCATCTTCGGTCACCCGGCAGCGCTCACCAAGCTTGCACTGTGGATCGGCGAGGCTCTTGTCGAACAAGAGAAGGATGCTACCGGGCGCCTGTCTCATGGAGGTCGGGGGACTCCCCTCGTCGTGGCCAGTCTGAACGACAAGCGGGGGGTCTACCTCGTCGTTGGAACCGGCGGAGGTGGAGGCCCCGACACAACGTTTCTGGACCGTGAGGCCGCCAAGAAACGACAGACCGCAAAGGACGAGAAGGCCAAGAAGAAGGAGGAGTCAAGACGCAACAAGCAAAAGATTCGAGAAGAAAAGAGCGCTGCCCGCGAGGCGGCCGGTCTGGAGGACGAGGACGAGGACGAGCTCGACACCGAGTCTGAGGCGTCTGACGGCTCGGACTCGGATGAGGACGACGAGGAGCAAGCCAAGGACAAGGGCTACGGCCTGAACCGATTCGGGTCTGCATTTCAGGAAGTCGTTGCGGAGACCAACGCTCGCGTTCGAATAGACAGTTTCGAGCACTGCGTGGTGGAAGTCAAGAAGGAAGATCTGGGAGGCTTCTTGGAGAGCTTGAGCATGAAGGCCGTGGTCGGCTAAGGAAAAAGCCAGCATACAACAGCGGGTAAGGCGGGTAAGGCGGGTAAGGCGGGTTCAGCCGCGAGACGTAATGATGCGTCTGGTGCTTTCAAACGGCGAGCTACGGCGTGTTTGGTTTTACATTTATTCTGACGACAGGACTGGGCTCAGGAGGAACAAGCTTAACGAGACATGGGCAAGGATCATTGTGCTTTCGTAATATCACAGTTGCTGCGACGATGTAGGCGTATCACCAGTTTCTTGCATTGAAGCCCTGGCGTTTATTGGCCTGTCAGAGAATCCCAAATTTCCTCTCTGAACCATTGATGTGGTTGTCAGCCCTACTGCTGCCGACTTTCCTTTCCCGGCGTGTCTTACAAGTCCCCGCCGCTGACCACGCATGGAGGGAGCGAATCCTGAAGCCCCTTACGCAGGTTTCCAAGTTTGGAATTCTAGCTGACGCCTCGAGGGCTGGGGTGAGCCCGATACTTTCGGCGCCTTGTCTGACAATTCGCACAAAGCAGGCATGGTAAGTTAACCTAACCAACCAGACCCTAGGACATTTCAATGGCAGAACGATAATAGGTCGGACTGATCTGGGATCAGAACGAGCCAATGCTGAGCGAGGGACGATAACGTCTCATTTGGGCCGTTGACTCGGCCAGCCTTACCTTGTTCGGTGCTATCGTCAGCACCCAAGATCCTCCTAGACGACTGCTCGTCAGAGTGATGGGTAGCTATGTCGAGCCCGGTCCGTGAGTGGCTTAGGGGCTGTTAAAAGACCAGAACGTGCCCGCTTCGCCGAGACTCGAGAGCTTCCTCCTTTCGACAAATCCTCCAGCTGTGCATTGATCTATACAACCACGAGCCATCATGGCTACTGATCAGAAGAAGCCCTGGGCCGACGGGCCATTTGCCCTTATCAGCAGCGCTCGCGCTGGATCCAAGGTACGTGCCGACTTGACTTGTGTGACGACAAGATCAACTAAATGATTCTGCCCCTGTAGAAAGGAGTCAAGACCACAGGGGCAAGCCGAATGGCCGAGGACATGATCATCATCCACAACCTGATCATCCGGATCATCAACACGGTATACCTGCAATGTGTCAAGGTCGAGAAGTCCCCGAACGATGTCCAGGACTTCGTCTCATACTCGATGGAATGGGGCAAGATGGTGGAGGAGCACCATCATACCGAAGAGACGGACGTCTTCCCAGAGATCGAAAAGATGGCCGGAGTAACGGGCCTGATGCAAGCCAACGTTGCGCAGCACGAAGCCTTCATCGGCGGTCTTCACGAATACATGGGCTACTTGCAGAGGGTGCAAAAGGAGGAAGAGGCGTACAGCGGGGAGAAGCTCAAGAGCATCATCGACTCCTTCATGCCGGGGCTGCGGCAGCACTTGGACGACGAGATCGATACGCTGTTGAAGCTTGGAGAATACGACCGCGAGTGGGACGTGTGGTTCGAGAAGCTCATGAAGAAGCTGCTGGGGAAGAGCAACGATCCTGCCCTCAAGGTAAAGTCTTCCCAACTGACGATTGGCAGTGTCCCGCGGAGCCGCGGAAACGGTAGCGCAGCTGGTTTGGACTGACATGACATGGCTTGAGTAGACGACAACCTTCCCACTTCTTCTCACGAACCGAGACAGGACGTTCGACGAGGGGGTTTACGCGTGGTGGCCTGCGCTGCCGTGGTTCGTCGTTATTCTGTTCCGGTGGTTCTTCATCCCCACACACAAGAGCTGGTGGCGGTTTTCTTCGTGCGACGACCAGGGCGTGCCCAAGGAACTGCCGTTCGCCTGAGGAGTTCCGGGAGAGTCTCTGCCGTCCGTCCGACGGTTGCGGGACGAGACCAGTTTTGTCGGGATAAGGCGTGGCTTGGTCTAGGTTGTCCTTGGGATTTGAGATGCGAATTCCATCCTGCGGAGCCATGACGTCTGGTTTCTGGAGCCAGACTACTGCAGCATCTGCAACCTCTGTTGCGTGTAATGAATAGCCCTGCAAGTGGCTGGCGGTGTCGTCGGACACCAGTGGTAGGCCGATTTCAACGTCGCATCAGATCGTGATGTGGGCAGGCCAGGTGCGTTTGACGGGTGGAAGGGTAGGTAAAAAAGTGGATGACTGGAATGTTAGCTGTCCAGAGTAGGTACCTAGTAAGAATCCCGTACAATACGTACTGTACGTCAGGTCACGTCATCTGGGTACTTTCCTGAGAAGCCAATTGGATGCTGCTTATACGAATGTTCCGAGAGGATGACTGATACGCGGCCCTGTGCCAATGCGCGGTGTGGCTGGTGCCAGTTGGCACTTCGGGTCCCGTCCAGTCCACCTCAGTTCAAGGTCCTATCCCAGTCCTCGCAGCTCACTACGGTAGGCACTTTCATACCTATCGTTCCATAGGTTCAGTCAAGCGGCGTCCGTCCGTTGGCGGGCTGAGTCGGGCTGGATGAAGAAACGGTTTCCAAGACTGTGCGCTCTACGTTTAACGTTGCATCCCTTGTGTCGAACACAGTCCAGGCCTCCTGCTACGAATGATGCACTTGACAGAGCCTCGGCAAAACGTTCCGAGCAGCGAGCTTTGTGTCGCTGGGATGTTTCGACGCAGGCTTTCAGACAGGACGCGATGGAAGGAGCCGTCATGACCAATTGGAGTCTCCCGTCACCTCAGGACCACCTACTGAGAACAGAAGGTAGCGGGTGGGAAACGGGCACATTTGTACTAGTGCCTTGCGTACAAATCATCAGGCGCCGGGCTGCCTCACTACCGTATGGGCGAATGAGAACTTCCAGGACTCTCACTTGAAGTCTCGTCGGACATGGACCTGGACCTGGCCCCGGCCCAAGTGTCCACCGTGCTGAGGTGTCGGATGTCGCCTTACCTGTGCCTGCGTTCTGCGTTCTGTTCTGCATCAAGCGTCGGCCCCAGGCCTAGGGAGTCGTGAATATGTCGTTATTCCTGTCCATCTCTCAAGTCCCGTCTGTCGTGTTCTGCGACAGCGCATAACTTCTCTGACAAACAAGAAGAACCTGGTGAAGAGGTCCAGCTATGGTACTTCCTCTCTTGATACCTACCTTACCGACCTTGAGTACCTATCTCGGGCTCCTTGAGTTTAAAACACTGAGCTTAAGGGGACCTGGAAGGTCAAGTTCCTTACCGCCCGCCTCGCTGCTTGAAGGGCGGGTGCCACTGGGTTCATAGCTACCAGACTTGCCACTCTAGGTACCTAGAAAACGTAGACCTCTGTTTGGGTACCTACCATCTTCAACAGGATGAAGGAGTAAAAAGGACAATTAAGCATCAAACTTGGCTTTGGATGCTTCCATTTCAGGACACCTCAATTGAGCATGACGAGCAGCAGACCAAATGCTCCTGCTAATCCCGCTACTGCGAATGAGGCCACCCGCTGTAACTGGACGGGCTAAGTTTGCCTCTATCTACCTGAATGGGTACCTAAGTGCCCCTACCTACCCTGAGGTGAGGAGACCTGCGAGCAATCGTCGGTAGGTAGGTTCCCGCCTGGTCACCACCTTCCCCTCCAACCCAGCACCATCCTGGACCTTTATTTCTTTCCCCTCCCCCGCTTGTCAACGACTGCCTACCCGTCCATCCATCCAGCCTCGCCTCGCCTTCGCCTGTTGTCGTCGTCGCCGCATACGCGCCGCCCTCGTCACCTAGCCACGATATCACTGCGGCCTCTCCAGTCCGGCTTTTCCAAACTCACCTACGATTCCTCCCGCCCTGTTATCGCGCCGATATTCCTTCACCACGAGGCACCGACGGAAGCTCCTAACCGCCGACACCCATCATCCCTACCATACCTATCGCTCATTGCGACGGACGGCCGCCGCACATTGTACACACGCCTGCACCCCCGATCTCCTCGAAACCGCCAGATTCCGAGTCTGCTCCTGCTTTGAGGTTCCTAGATAGCCATGGGCAAATCGTGAGTCGCCCGACATCCACCGAAGCCGCCCGCCTGTGCCGCCGCTGTCATCGGACCCCGGAGGCCTGCCTCTCCACTGCGACGTCGCTCGACCTGGCTGCCGCCGGGCTCACGGCACTCACAGAAACGCACGCTGACCACTTCGTCGCCGTTTAGCCAGTCCAAGCTCTCCCAGGAGCAGCTCGCTGAACTGCAGAAGTCGACCCATTTCGACAAGAAGGAGTTGCAACAGTGGTACAAGGGTACGTTTGCTGCCGTTTATTGCGCCCGCCCCGGGCCCGCGACGCTGTTCCTTTCGGGGCGTGTGGCGAGACTCGACGACAACAGAGTCTGACAAATACATTCGCAGGTTTCCTCAAGGACTGCCCGTCCGGCATGCTCACCAAGGAGGAGTTTCAAAAGATTTACAGACAGTTCTTCCCATTCGGGGATCCAAGTTCATTCGCAGATTATGTCTTCAACGTCTTTGACAGCGACAAGTCGGGAAGCATCGACTTCAAGGAGTTCATTTGCGCGCTGAGCGTTACGAGCCGCGGAAAAATGGAGGACAAGCTCGACTGGGCCTTCCAGCTGTATGACATTGACGGCGATGGAAAGATCAGCTACGACGAGATGCTGAAGATTGTCGAGGCAATTTACAAGATGGTGAGTACCTCACGGGCCGCCCGGCGCCTTCGTCCCTTCCCCGTCGCTGACGTCCGTAACCTTGCGTCCAGGTCGGCTCCATGGTTAAGCTCCCTGAAGACGAAGACACCCCCGAGAAGCGGGTACGGAAGATTTTCCGCATGATGGACAAGGACGAGAACGGAAGCCTGGACATGGAGGAGTTCAAGGAGGGAAGCAAACGCGACGAGACCATCGTGTCTGCCCTATCCCTCTACGATGGCCTGGTGTAACTGTGGAAAGAGAGAGAAAGCCTTCTGTTATGACTCGGATTCGTGTTTACTGTTTTTTGGGCCAGGCGAGCTGTGCGCAGTGATCAATGTGCGATTTTCTTTTACCAAGGCCTAATCAGGAATGTGGATTCCAATGATTTGCTGCGACGTGCTTCACACTGTTGTTCGTCTTGAACGCCCTAGGCTCGGTCACAAGTACCACATCGCGACCCCGAGAGCCAAGATCGACAGGCGGAGACTGAAGTTCGCGGCAACCCGTCGGGCCGGCAGCTTCGGGCACCTCGGGCCGCCCGGTTCACTCGAGCTGAGGAGCCAGCCACCGGCTGCCCAGCTCGCAGTTCCCGCGCAGCCTCAGCCTCGCATCAACCATGGTCGACATGGCATTATGAGACGGAGCTAGATTAATGGTTTACTGGGCTTAGCCAAGAGGCCCTCCCCCACAACGACGGTTATGTGTTACAAAGTCGAATCGCGCACACTGTACTCCTGGATATCAAGCGTCCCGTAGCCCAACCCAACCCGATCCGCGAAACTAGAACAATTACAAGGTTCAGAACATGGCCCGAAAATGGAAAGAAAGAGCCTAACACTTGTCGCCTTAATCGGAAGATCCGTACGCCTTGGCAACCTCGGTCTTGTACTTCTCCAGAATCTTCTTGCGCTGGAGCTTCTGGGCGGCGGTGACCAAGTCCTGCGAGATGTCAGCCATTCTGGTCTATCCGAACGATGACATGCATGGCGGAAACTTACATTCTGAGGCGTCCACTCCTCGTCGGACAATACGACTCCCTCAATAATCTCAATGCCGGAGAGGCCACCTTGGCGGCCGGCATTCTGAAGCTCCTTGGTGACGGCGCTCTGCAACTTCTTGTCGTGGACGAGCTCTTCCAGGGTGCTGCCCTTGACGCCGATGCTCTCGGCCAGCTTCACCAAGGCAGGCTCCGCTGGGACGATGATGGCGATGGGCTTGGCCTTCTGGGCGTCGGCATACACGCAGATGTTGGCCACAACAGCGGAGGCACGGTAGATGGACTCGAGCTTCTCGAGAGCAATGTACTCGCCGTTCAGGGTCTTGACCAGGTTCTTCTTTCGGTCAATGAGCTTCAGATGGCCGTTGCTGTCGAATTCGCCAATGTCACCGGTCTTGAACCAGCCATCCTCGGTGATGGCCTCCTTTGTCTCCTTGGGGTTTTGCCAGTACTCCTCCATGACAGATGGACCGCGGATCCACACCTCGCCCTGGGGGTTGGGCTTGTTGCTGGCGAAGTAGCCGGCCTCGGCGAAGTCGACCAGCTTGACTTCAATTGACGCAGGCATGGCGCCCATGTTGTTGATGTTCCACTCCAAGGGGTTCATCAGGCAGCCCATCGCAGTGGTCTCGGTGAGACCGTAACCGATGATCATGGGCGCAATAGCCATTGAGATGAACTGCTGGGTCTCCTTGGCAATCGGGCCACCTCCATTCATGCAAAGCTTAAGGCGTCCGCCGGTCGCCTCCTTGAGCTTCTTGAAGACCACCGCGTCAAGGACGCCAGAGCCGGGGAGGCCGGCGTTCATGAGATTCGTCTTCATCGACAAGGCGTTCCAAAACAGGTTTTTAACAAGGGGGCTGCCAGCGTTGACCTTGGCAATGATTCCCTTCTTCACCGTCTCCCAGACGGCGGGAACACCAACCATCACGGAGGGCTTAAATTCTCTGATGTCGCCGGCGCAGTTTCGAACCGAGTTGTCGGACAGGGTCTTGGGATTGCCGTAACCCATGGTAGAGCCCCAGTAGAGGCAAGCGTTCTCGAAAACGAACTCGAGAATGTGAGCGAGGGGGAGGTAAGTCAAAAGACCGTCTCCGGGTCCAATATGCGGCTGGACGACGACGCTGACACCAGCGACTAGACGGACGTCAGCCAAAGACGCGACCAGAACACGGAGGCGGAGACAGGAGCTTACCAGCAGCGACAACGGCTCGGTGCTTCAGGGGAACACCCTTTGGTGTGCCGGTGGAGCCTGAGGTGTACATGATGCAGCAGAGGTCCTCGGCGGTCGGCGGCACGGGGTCAACGGCGTTTTCCTTTCCTAGTTTCTCGAGGTCCTCGAAGCTCAGGATGGTGATCTCGGGGTGCGCAGACTTGAGCTGGTCGATGTGGGCCTGCTGCACCTGGTTCTGGTTGTTCCAGATAACATAGCGAATGTCCTTCGCGTCATTGAGCACATTCACAAGAGTGGGTAGCAGGTGAGGGTCGAGGAAGACGGCCTTGGCGTTTGTCGCAACCATTGAGTACCTCAGTCCTTGCTCACCGAGGGTGTCGTAGGCGGTGACGACGGGCATTGACTGGGAGGCAGCGGCGTGCGACATGGCCAACCAGCGGGCGCTGGTGGCAGCGTAGATGTGAACGCGGTCGCCCTTGACCATGCCGAGCTTGCGCAGGCCAGAGCCGACGGCCAGAGTGAGGTTCTCGTACTCGTGGTAGGTGAGGTAGTTGTAAGTGCTCAGCTCAAAGTACGTCCACTGCTTGTCGACCTCCTTCTCCTCGCCATCCACCATCTTCTTGACCTTTTTCGTTTCGCGGTGGGTGTTGACCAGGTTGCGCCAACCCAGGCACCTGGCGTTTCCGTACTTTTCGGCACTGGACTTGACGAGCTCGTAGGTGGTGGTGATATTGCCGCCGGGGAGGGTGATGAGGTCGGGAACGGCCTGGGGAAGTCGACGGGGAACAGTCTCGCCTTCCTTGGGTGCCGCGCCGGGCGAAGGAACGGAGAAGGGGCCCTTGACCTGCATCCTGGGCAGGATGTCGTACTTGGACTTTGGTGGTGTGGAAGACATGGCTGCTGTTGTGTAGTGAAGAAAGTGCCTTGTGTCGGGATGTTCGATCAAAGCTTGGGGGAAGCTCGATCCTGCGAGGTGAAGCACGGAACCGACGGGTCGCGATGGGCGAGACTGGTTTTCACCTCAAGAATAGGTGTACCTTTGGTAGATGGGGGAGGCACAGAACGTGAGAGGGTTTGGAGAGAGAAGGCGCACAAGGAGAGAAGGGGGCAAGCCAAGGGTATTTGACCTGACAGCGAGGAGGAGGCGGAAGGCAAAGACAAAGGTAAAAGCCGTCGAAGAGAGAGAGACTCGAGGAGGAGCTTTGGGGAATTCTTGGCTCTTTCCCTTGAAGGGCGAGGGCGAGTGGATCTCCACTGAAGTGTTTGTGGCTCAAGCTCCAAGGTCTACCCAGCATGGTACCTACCTATTACCTCCCTACCTTACCTTGGTAGGTAGGTACCGGACCTAAGGTGCCTCACTAGGCAGGCGGGCTTCGAAGCATCATAGGTACCTGGATGTGGTCAACAACCTGGAAGGCGGGTACGTACTTCTGCGGGCGTTTGCTAGCGTAACGCCTCCCTTTGACTTCCATAGGCACGCAGTCAGGTACTCCGACGCGGAGGGGAACCCTACAGGCACAGACGATGCGCAACGACGCGCCTTCACAGTTTTTGGTGGTGGAGGATGGGACCTTTTCCGTGGTTGGTTCGGTTGGAGCGAATCAGAGTACGGTACGGGCAGCATGGAGTGGATTACAGACGCAAAGGTGGAGATGCAGGGTGCTGCAGGACACCGGACGGGTCCACCTGGCAGCAATCACCCACTGGCGAACAGACAGTCAACTGTGATTCTTCGTCCCTTTGTTTTCAGCCGTTGTGTTGTAGAGTCTGCGACACCTGACAGGTAGAAGACGGGAAGAGCCAACCGGGAAATATCAGACGGCCCCCCTATATGAATGCAACCCGGCGAGTCTGCTTTTCCAATACCTGCGACTCGAGATATTTCACATATAGCCTCAAAGCACGCCTCATGATTTGATTGTACCAGACGGCAAGCCGGTCTCATCTTTTCTACCTTACACATTGACGTGACATTCCTATCACCAACACGGTCCCACCCCCTCAATCGTTGTGCAGCCCCGGGAAATTTGGGCTAAAGCTCGTCGCGAAATACCAAGAACGGCCCAAACCCGATGAAGCCGTGAGCAGAGAGTCACGAAGCAAGGTCGTAGAATGCCGCGCCTTGGCAATGGGATTGGCGCCTCTCTTCCGTCTGTTCTCACTGGTCATGCGTCTAAGCCCGTCTTGGTTCATTAATCTGCCTTCGCCGCCGTGCCATGCTGTGCCATGCTGCGCCGCGCGAAGAACACAATGCAGCGTTGTCATATGTCTCCTGCTCGTCCCCTTCTTCGTCACTGTCCACCCATCAATTTCTCCAACGCATGATCTCCAAGAATCCGGGGTTGTGCCGACTTGGTTGCGAAGTGGCGCCTGCTGGCACCTTCGAATCCGGCCAGCTTGGCCCAGCAATACGTCCCGATTCGGTCTGTTGCCGGTGGAGGAGGGGCAGGTGTTCTCGGACGCCTGCTTCTAGATGCTCACGGTCTCTTGAACAGATGGAAACTGCCTGTTGTGCCGGTGAAAATTATTGGCTTTTGATGCGCGAGGCTACTTGGAGAACACCTCGTCGCGGCCTGAGACCCGCGGCCTGCCGCCAGCCATGTTGAAGGAGCACGGCGCCTTCGCCTTTTTTCTGAATGACACAGCAACTTAATCGCATGTTAAGAAACACCTTGATCGTCTCCTACTCACCGCTTCACTGCTGCAATCGTCAAAGGCCCTACAGTGATTGGCGCAGCTCTGACTTGGATCTGGTTTTTGTCAATCACCGAATTTGATTCTTCACCACGAAGCCTCGAAATTGGAGTTCATCATATCATTCAAGATGGCCTTAACGTAAGGAAAAATCAGTACCTACCAAACCGGGGTGCGAGTGCCGAAATATTTTTTTTTCTTTCTTTGCTCCTCTTCCCTTCATGTTCTAACCTTAATTATATTTTTCTCACTTCGGGTTGACCTGCATCTCCTTCATTTCCTACTGACCTACGTGAATACCTACCTTACAACGACATAATGGATATGTGCATATATACTCTCTACTTACATATGCCATGAAGTTTTGTAAGACTTATGCAGATGTGCTTCAACCGGCACCACTCATGTGAACCACAACCAGGATCCCGAGCCTTAACCGAGCCGACTCTAGACTTCTGCACGTTGTTAATCATCGCGGAGCACCCTCGAGTCGACCTGTGGAGCTGGTAGCTGGCGGCTCTACCACACGCGTCATCTACTCCTCATGGGCTCACCTCTCGTCGCTGCTAAAAAGCAGCTGCGGTCTGTCATGAAGGACAGGCTCGCCGGCATTGCGCATGAGTCCATCATGAGCCAGAGTAAGCGTGCAACGCCCCCGAATCCCAGTTCCAAGATTCTGAGCTTCGTCTAGGTCGAACTGTTTGCGAGACCCTAAAATCATTCAAACCATATTTGGAGGCCCAAAGGGTTAGCGTCTTCCTCTCTATGCCGTCTGGCGAGATCCAAACAGACGACATTGTACGTCACGCGCTTTCAGCTGGCAAGCAGGTGTACGTCCCATATCTGCACAAGTCGCCTTTTCCTCCCGGGGAGACACCGCCCAGGGTCATGGATATGGTGCGCTTACGCGACCTGCGGGACTACGAGTCGCTGCAGCCGGACAAATGGGGAATTCCCAGCATCGACCCGGCCACCGTCAACCAAAGAGACCGCGTTCTCGGCGAGCCTGGCTCGGAGTCGCCGGAGACCTGCTTCTTGGATCTCGTGTTGCTGCCGGGCGTTGCCTTCGACATCGACGGCCAGTCGGGTTCACTGCGAAGACTAGGTCACGGAAAGGGATTCTACGATCTCTTCGTTCGACGGTACGCAGCAAAGTACAACAAGCCGCCGGCAGCGGCACACCCTGTATTGCTCTATGGCTTGGCTCTCTCGGAGCAGTTTCTCTCCCAGCCCTCAGATAGCGCAGTTCCCGTGGCCCAACACGACCAACCGCTCGATGGCCTGGTCTTGGGCAGCGGAGAGGTCAAGCAGCCGGCAGACAGCTCCCGTAACAACTAGCAGTCCGCCGCCTGAGTTTCGCGGTGACAAAATCCGTGGTATCAACTTTTGTGTATCGTCCCAGAGCACATCCTGCCGTGGCGGTAATATCCTTCCCACACGTTCGTTCCTTATCCTGATAAACTCTGAATGAGAGAAACGTTGTCCCCCTTCAGCAATATTTGACCTGCCGAGTGTTAGCTTCGTCGACGGAGGCTCGGATAATGGCGCGTGAGCAACACACCCAATGAACGCCGCGACTCCTCCGGATTCGTCTTTGTAACTTGCTTCACTTCAACTGCATCGTCGATGACCAGGTTCATGAATTCGTCGAAGCCCTGCGTGTCTGCATGTCAGTATAGTGTACCAATGCGACACAGTCCCCTGAGTAAACTTGGACATACCCTGATCTTTCCCTCGATTCGGATCGACAGCTGCTCGTACAGCCAAATCTGCACAGTCGTGTGCTGCCTGCCGCAAAGTCAGCGCGCCATCACAAGTCGCAACAGACCGTATGGCATCGGGGACATACTGAAGGAGCCTGAAGATGAAGTTAATCGGAGGAAGCAGCACTCTGCGACCACCGCCGCCGCCACGTCCGGTCATGTTCGAGTATTTGGACGGAAGAGCGTGTGGTACTGGTGGGTTTCGGAGTTTCGTGAAGTTGCGCCGCGGTGTCTAAGGCTCGTTGGTCGCGTCCGCTCCGTTCGATGGGATTTGTCGTGGGGTGGTTCGTCGGTAAGGTCTTTCCAACTGTACCGCGCTGAGGCTACGCGACCCTGGCTCTATCTGCCTGGCGTAGAGGTTCTCGTCCGACGTAGAATTTCGGCGGAGCTGGCGAAATGATATTCCATTGCCTAATAAACGGGCCCCCTGGCCACACTTGGGAGTCTTTGAATGGAAATCGTCCAATGCCGTGCTGTGAATTTATGGGCCTGTTCGGGAAGTGACAACAGGGTAGAAAGTTATGGAGAGTGTCCTGAAGTACTTCCCTGGCCACGCGAACTTGGACATTCGACGAGGTACTGGGGGTACCAGTCCAGCGTTGAGAATATTCTGGTAAGCTGCCTGCCTGCCCGCGTTCAAATGGAATGAAAAGCCCCAAGTCGCTGGAACAATTGCCCCCAGTACCTACCTTGCTGAAGAGGGCATTTCCATACCCATAGGTAAGGTACCTTAGGTACCTACCCAAAAAGTGAAGGTAACCTGCCTTAGGTACCTTGTAGTGACTAAGGCACCTCGATCTTTCATCAGTCTTAGCCGGCTCAAGTTAGCCCGTCGAATGCAATCCTTGTGCTCTGGTCCGCCCGCTGTCCCGCCAGCCTGACTGACGTTTTATTTTCCTTTCGCGACCTCCCTCCGCCCTCCACCACCCCCTCCATCTTCCAATCTTGGACGTCGCCGCATTGCTTCGATAGCCTCCCAACTGCCACCCGCCCGGCTCAACGCTCCTTAACCTCAAAGAAACGACGGCGGTCATTGTTACCGGTCCCTTCGTAACGTCGTCCTTTTCGCACCACCTGCGGTTCTTCCGCGCGACGTCACATGTGGCCTTGCTGCCGACTTTCACCAATTACGCTTCTTGCCCCCGCTTCGTAGACCGACCGATTGACGCTTGCGACCCCGTGTCGACATTGAGAAATGGCTACAAACGGTATTCAGGAGGCTTTTGCGCCCAACGATGTGCTGTCGGCCATGGTTACTATGCGCGGCGGCGAGCAGGAAACCAAGAAGAAGGCGCACGCATACCTGGAACGCTTCCAGAAATCTGTCAGGCCCCTCGCGCCTCCCGCAATGTCCTTGGGCGAGCTTCCCGACTAACAGCCAACGCAGAAAGATGCTTGGGGCACCGTCATCGGCATCCTCCAGTCCGACGCAGAGCCCGAGGCCAAACTCTTTGCGGCTATCACTTTGCGCGGAAAGGTACGGTGTTGAAAAGGCGTTACTTATAGATGTCGAGCTGACAAAGCTGCTTCCCAGATCACCTACGACCTGTCAACGCAAGTATCGGAAACCGAACTGCCTGCGCTGCGGGACCAAATCCTCCTCCTTCTCAAACACTTTGCCGCTGGTCCCAAGCCTATACGAGTCCAACTCTGCGTGTGTCTTGCGACGCTGGCGGTACAGATGAAGGAATGGAAGGATGTTCTCCCCACAGTGGTCTCGTCTCTCGGCGACAGCGTCGAGAGCCACGCGGCCATTCTCGACTTCCTGCGCGTGCTGCCCGAGGAGGTAACCGAAGGCCGCAAAATCACCCTTACTGTACGTGGAACACGGAAACATCGACCGGCCTCCTACTTTCTGCGACGTGGTTTTGCTGGGCCGATATCAACAGGGATCAGAGTCTAATTGGCAATGATAGGAAGAAGAGCTTTCCCAGCGGACCAGGGAATTGCTGGGTGACAACACGGACCAGGTCGTTCAACTGCTGATCAACTACTCCCAATCATCTCGTAGGTCCCGTCTGCCCATCTGCTCCTGGACTCACGCTCACTACATTTGCACAGCCTCTGCTGCCCAAAATCCACAGCTGATGGAGTGCATCACTTCATGGCTTCGCGAAGTTCCCGTCAATACTATTGTCAAATCCCCACTCCTCGACGTCATCTTCAACGCTGTCGGCAACGAGCACGCATCTCAGGAAGCGTCGGAGTGCTTGTGCACCATTTTCAGGGAGACGAGGGATGTCGACGATAACCTCGACACTATCCAGGTCCTTCTTCCCCGGGTCATCGCGCTGCGACCTAGGATCGAAGCAGTCGTCAACGACGAAGACACGGAGGTTTACAAGTCCCTGACCAAAATCTTTGCTCTCGCCGGCGAGGCGTGGGTCGTGGCCATAGCCCGCGAGCCCCAGCACTTCCGATCGCTTGTTGATGCGGTGTTGGAATGCGCTGCGAGGGATAAAGATCGCGATGTCATCGAGCACACGTTCCAATTTTGGTACGAGCTGAAGCAATATTTGGTATTGGAGAGGTACATTCAGGCGAGGTTGGAGCTGGTGGACGTTTACTCGAAGCTCGTGGATATCCTCCTCAAGCATCTGGAATATCCCCAGTCCGAGTCGGCCAACGAAACGGACCTCTTTGACGGTGACCGAGAGCAAGAGGAGAAGTTCCGCGAGTTCCGGCACCAGATGGGCGACACACTCAAGGATGCATGTGAAGTGATGGGTGTGACAGACTGTCTCACCAAGGTCCTTGACGCCATCAAGCTTTGGATGCACAAGTACGCCAGCCAGGCCACGGCAACGTCGGTCCCTCATTGGCAGGAGCTGGAAGCCCCCCTGTTCTCCATGCGCGCGATGGGGCAGATGGTTGACAAGGAGGAAGCCATCGTCTTGCCGCAGTTGATGCCGCTACTCGTTCAGATCCCCAGTCACGAGAAGCTCCGTTTCGCCACCATCATGGTCCTTGGTCGATACACGGAATGGACCTCAGCACACCCAGAATACCTCGAGCCGCAGTTCAACTACATCGTGACCTCTTTCCAGACGGATTCGAAGGAGGTTGTCAGGGCTGCGGCCATGGCTATCAAATACTTCTGCACCGACTGCAAGCAACTCCTGAGTGGCCAAGTGCTTCAGATGCAGACATTCTACGACCAGATTCTCGACAAACTACCCGACATGAGTCAAGAGGAAATCACCGAGGGAGTTGCCAGCGTTGTTGCTGTACAACCCCCAGCCGAAATCTACAAGCTTCTCAAGCTCTACTGTGACCCCCTGGTGCAGCGCTTGATGAACAAGGCCAATGTTGCTACTGATGACAAGGGTAAATTGGCGCTTGCAGGTGAGTTTGACCAAGATATCGGCTTTGAAATCGGCTCTAACGTGATAACTAGACCACCTCCAACTCATTACCACGTTCATCCAGATAGTCGTGCCGTATGTCGGCCCTGGAGAAGAAAACCCCGCCGTCAAGTATTGGCAAGAAGTGTTCCCAGTGCTTGCCACCATCCTGGACAACTTCCTCGGCTTCGTTCCAATCTGCGAGAGAATCTGCCGCTGCTGGCGCAACATGATCATTTCCTACAGAACGGCCATGACGCCGTTGCTGCCGGAGATGGCCAACAAACTGGCCAGCGGCTTCTCCAGCTCACGCCAGGGCGCGTTCCTCTGGGTCACAGCTGCTATTCTCAGGGAGTTCTCCGAAGATCGGGAGCACGTGGATCAGGACATTACCCAGAGCATCTACGTCTTCTTCGAGGCACAGACGACGACTTTTTTGAGGGTGATGAGCGAGCTTCAGCCCAGCGAACTGCCAGACGTTATCGAGGACTTCTTCAGACTGCTGATTGACGCTCTCCTCTACTACCCACAGAGACTCATCCCTTCGGAGCTTCTGGGACCTATATTCGAGGCTGCTGTCTACGCTTTGACCCTAGAGCAACGCGACCCCCTGTCGGCGACCCTTCACTTCCTCCGCGATCTCCTTACATACGGTGGGGACAACCCTGCCACGTCAGATGTCCTCCCGCCCGATGTTGCTGCTCACATTCGCGAGGTTGTGAGCAAGTTGCTCAGTACACATGGCGAGAAACTGGTGAAGCAAGTCATGGCCGGCATGATGATCACCTTCCCTCGGGACTGTTTTGCGGACGGTAGCGGTGTCCTGCTGGCAATGTTTGAGTTGTTCCCGGCCCAAACGACTATTTGGGTTGAGCGCACTATTCAGTTACTGCCTCAAGGCACTATCACCCCGGCCGAGGCGGACCGGCTGATGATCAAGATCAAGGAGCGTCTGAGCGGCAACGACCCCAGCGCAATCCGGCAAGTAAGGGCGCTTCTTCAGGATTTTACCAACACATATCGTCGGCGGTACGTAGCCCCCCGTGAGGGCCTGGGTCAATTGGAGGCCGCACGTTTCCACTTCACGGGCTAGAGATCGTGCAAAGGGGGCGGAATGGGATTGTGTAAGCAGCAGCAATTGCGTGGCGATTTAGGAGGCAAGACGCAGCCGAATGTCTTGCTCCTGTAGGACCCGACAAGGCGCGAGAGTCTTGCGAGGGACGCTGTTTTGGGGTTCTGAACCGGGCGTCATTGCTTGGGCCAACGAGGGAGCTGTTGAAGGGATTGGCGAGCGCAGAGTAATGGGACATAGAGCGAGAAAAGGGCTGGGAGCCGGGAGGGCGTATTTTGGTCGTGACAACGGGTGCCGGAGAGTAGCCCAGCCAATGCGCCATAGAGACCCAGAAGATAGATCATGAAGCACTATCCAAAGCATATGATGAGTGCGTTTGGCGCGGAAGCTGACAGGACAATCTCCGTTGTCCCGGCTAGCAAGGACAGGCACACGACTAGATCACTTTAGGAATCCAAGAGCAAAAAATCGACCATCGTCGCTGACGAGAGCGACTCGGAACTCCCGCCTGCGTACGCATCACGTCTTTGGTCACGCGCGATTTTCGTGTATTGCCAAATGGAGGAAGGGTGAGCCATAGTGCAGAAGGTCTGGCAGGTGGGAGAGTACAAAAAGCCCGTCGATCTCGTCTGTTGTCGACCAGGGCAGCCATCTCCTTCCTGGGCGTTTTGGCTTACTGGTGAAAATGGCGACCCGAGGCTGGTTGAAAGTGGATTTGATTCCATGGGATCCCACGTCCGAAGAGCATTTCAAGCGAATGCCTGCGCAAAGAGTCGCCTGCGGATGGAGGGCGGAAGAGGTGCCGCAGTGGAGGGGAAAGCAGTTGAAGGGAATCAAGTTCCTGTACTGGATAGCAAGTTAAGCAATTGCTACTGTACTTAAGCCATTGATAGTGTCAGGTTCTCGTAGACGATAAGCCGGACCTGGACGCCGGACTGGGGCTTCCTTCGGACGGCGTTTTCTGGATCACATCTCTCTACGTTTCTTGGGCGGCGGCCTCGGCCGGTCTGCGATGGAGCAAATTGAGAACCTCGCAGTCAGCGAGCCGCTTTACGGCAGAGTTTTGGCACTGGATACCCCCGCGAAGGAGTTGCAGCTTTCGCCCGAGTTCATTAAAGCGTCTTATCCGGACCGTGGATAGGAAAGCCCCAAGGTCAGAAATTACATGACATGTTGCGCCGAGTTGCCGTGTCATGTATCGCTGACCACGTATCTCATACCAGGTGGTTAAGAGCATCCAGTAATGATATCGTCGTCAGGGCCACATCGTTTTCCATCGCGAGGAAAAGGAGTACCCTTGGACTCATCCGTCGAACGGTAGCGTCCTGCTGCCGCCGCTGGTCTTCATGAAGAAGCACATTGTGTAGAGCCACAAGAGGACATACGGAGCAAGAGAACTGCTATCGCCTGTTGTTTTGAGTCAAGCGCCCTGTCCCAACTTATACAATCATGCACGATTCACATTTGAGAAGAGAAAATGACGAGAATTATCGGTGTAGATCAAACGATGATGTCGCGGAGACTACCACTCAATGTGCCGCTGCTCGTGTGCAACTTGAATGTGACTCCCAGTTGAGTTGGCAAACTTTGAAGTGTACCTAGGTACCTAGGTATGCAGTAGGTACAGTACGGGCTAGGTAAGGTAAGGTGGGCAGGTACCTTATGGATAAAGGTAGGGTACCTGTGTGGGGCCTTAGGTGCTTTGGCAACTCAGTATTTGATTGGTGGATGGAGCTTCAGGAAGCAGGTCCCCGGAGCTTGCACTTTCCCGACGCGCTCAGAACGGGAAAAAGAAGAAAAACGAAGAGCGCGCAGCTTGCCTTCCTTTTGCGGTGCTACTTGAACTCCCGTCGACTGCATCAACAGCTTCCACCTGGGCCGAACACCACCCCGACATCCCCCCTTCTCCCAACCCGACGAACGAGCGTCGCCAGCACCAGCACACGGCATATCCACGATCGCTGAGTCTCGTGGGAGAAGCGTTGGTTGCCATGACACCTCCCTAGCTGGTCCCACCAAGTCGACGTTGATACCCGATCTCGACGCGCGACGATCCTCCACGAGCCACCGGTCATCTTTTGCTGCAATAGCGCTTGATTTGAATAGTCTGTCACAAATTTCCATCGACCAAGCCGAAAGCTCGACTGCCCGGACGCAGAAATACCGACACGATGCCTTCGAACACTAGCTCAAACAGAATGGCCCAGTACGCCATGCATTCGTCGCTTGACGCGGGCATTCGGACTGGAGATACGAACCAAGCCAGAGACCGCTTGGACGAACAGCGGCCTGCTACCCCCCCATACGGATTTCCTACGCGTCAAGCCGTGACTGAGTCGGCCAAGCTCCCGGCGCCCAAGCCGTTCGCGCCCGGTAGAGATCATTTCAACAACATCCGCCACCTCGGCCAACCCAACCCACCGCATCCCTTGCGCATGCAATCTCCTGCCAGTGTCCGCGATGCAACACCACAGAGACAACGCCTCCGTAGAACCAACTCTCAGGGCACCGACGTGACAAGCTTCTGGCCCGAGTCGCATATTGATAGTCAGTTTGGTTCGCCTACGACGCAACGGTCCGAAAGATACGACGCCGCCGTTGACGGCCGCAGTCGCTCTCCGCCAGCAGCGTTCAACTTCCCGAGCATGCAACCACTGCCTATGGGAGGAAACATGGGAAATGGCGAAAGGGTGTCATACACAATCGGCAAGAATGGGGCGATGCGCGCCTCCGGCCCCGGCGACGAGCCGGGACTGCCCATCTCAAGTCACACCTTTCCTCCGTCGCTGGAACCAGCAACTCAGGCCGACGGCTACTCTAGCGAGCCCTTCAACTCTCCACCAAAAAGACGCGTGAACCTGGCTCTACACTCGACGGCTGTGAAGAACCAATATGCCCAGCCTCTCTACAGCGATGACCAGGAAGTCTTTTCGGATCATCCGACATTTCAGATGCCGAACGACACATTGCGGGGACCCAAGAAGCAAGCGACGTTCCAGGAACCTCGCCGCACAACAGCATTTCAGGAGGACGCGGACGTCGAGGGGAGCCTTGCGAGTGACTACCAAATCAGCGAAGATGATAAAGGTACTCCTCGGGCAAGCCGTAAGAAGGCGCTTAATCGGGAGCCTGCCGTCCCGGAGACTTCTGTTCCACCCCCAGCTCGTAAGCAGCGAGACAAGACTCGAAAGCGACGCCGAGACAGCTGCGACTATGCTGATGACGAGCTCGCGGAGATGACTTACACGCAGCTGCGGGAGCAGCCCTTTGACGACGACCCGGCTCAGAAGTCCATGAAGACAATTGCTCCCTTGACGGGCGACAGCCTCCCTGCTAAGCTCGAACATTTCAAGGGCCAGCGCGAGGCCGAACAGAAACAGTTCTTTATGCAGATGACGGTCAACGATTGGGAGCGGTCGGGTGACTGGCTGCTGGAGCAATTTGGCCAAGTCGCCCAGAAGCTCAAGGATGCTCGTCAAAACAAGCGGACCATGGTCGAACAATTCGAGAACGAGATTGCAAAGAGGGAGGAAGCGGTTCGTCTTCGGACGGAAAGCATCGACAAGAAGTTGAGCCAGATCAAGCACAAGGGCGAAGACATGTTGGCTGACAAGGAGTTTTAAGGAGATTGCCTGCTTGGTCCCCGACGGGCGGACGCATCATCTTGCGGGCTTGGCAACTTCTATGCATGCTATTGTTTCCCTTGTGCCGGGGAAGGGTCCTTTTCTTGGGCGATGGTCGTTAGTGTCAAGCGGGCGTAGGCGCCAAGGATTCTACAGGCGTCGGCATTTCTGTATGATGAATGGGAACGACTTATGACTGACGGTTATCATGATTGGCGTTTTGGCGGGATGACTCCTATTGTTCCTATGGCTGCTGGGCCTATGGGCATCATTGTACTGTACGAAAACCAATGTTGTCACCAATTACAACCTTACTCCACGCGCTCATTATATGACGAAGTGCTCCTTTACCCTCCTGTCCTTGCCAACAACAAGTCTCATTTGATGAGCTGGGCTGTTCGGGAAGATGCCGCTCCTGACGTTGTCCGAGAAAAGCTCATAAGCCGGGTAATAGCCGTCCACGAATTTGACGACTTGCTCGTCGGTCATGCCCGTGCCGCGTTCCTGGCGAAGAGCGGCTTCTTGCTGCGAGCGCCAATCGTAAACGTACTGAGTATCCTCAGCATCGATGTGGATGAATACGTCCAAGAGATTGGTTATGGAATCGTAATCTCTCAATCTCTCATTCACCAAGAGCAAGTGATCCAGTTTGTGTTTGTGAAGCGTCCTGCTGGGTGCCCTCCACTTGGACTCGATCTCGGGGTCTGGCAGGGCGCGGAAACCAACACACCATCCCTCAAAAATCACCACCTCGACTTTTGGCTGGCCAGGGCCGTTGACCTCCTTCCACTGACTCTCGGGCAGGCGATCCCCCTGGCCCGAGAAGGCTGCCTTGTCATACGAGGGCACTTTGGTTGGCCTGCCGGCAATGATGCTGTCGACGAATCTTTGCGCCAGCTGCATGTCGTGAGTGCCGGGCTCGCCCCTTTGTTGCACGAGGAGGTTGTCGGGGTGGGAGCGGGCGAGGGCAGTCTGATCCTCGTGCTTGAGATAGAGGTCGTCGATGCTGAAGACAAGTGTGGTATGACCAAGCTGCGTGAGAGACTCGGCCAGGGCTTTAACGAGAGTTGTTTTCCCGACGCCCTGCACGCCGTTGAGGCCAATCATGAACGGGCGGCTCCCATCTTGCCGTATACGCTTCTCGAGCAGGCCCGTGATGAAGGGGACGCACAGAGGGCTCTTATCATCGATGATCTGAGGAGCTGTAGAAGCCATGGCAGTGGCTATTGTAGTGACAGCGTCCGGGAGCCGAGCACAAAGTTTGAAGTTGCCGATCGAGCACGGACGAGAAGGAGAGGTTTAGCGGGTGCGTGATATTCGGGAGCCGAAGCCGGGGTTGTAAGCTCGCGGGGGAGGCCGATGCGCCGAGACATTCCGGCGGGGTCTGCCGATTGCGGGGCGGCATCGCAGCTATCTGCTACCTAGGTAGCTTCAGTGTTGCACGGGCTCGGCCCCCCGCAAAGACATCCATTTAAATGGATGATAAACATGGCAAAGAAATCTGCTGCCATCCTGGATGAAATGATGGGTTCGAGAGGTAAGGTTCCCTGGGAGAAAATGTTACGAGGTCGAGGGTTTAGGAGCAGCTGACGTTACGGCAGCGTGGTGCTTTGAAGATCTGCCGCCGTTCTTCAGAGGCGGCTCCGGTATGACCACGAACTGTTCAAGATCGCTAGCCAGCCGAACGGTACGGGGTAGGGGATGAGCTGAAACTATCGTCAGCCGGAGACATGACACTCTCCCACGTGCCGTATTGTGTTCCCGAAAATGAGCAGGGTTGGTTTTGTAATCAGTTTAGGTTGGGAGATGCACGAATCGATTTCCCGGCACCTTGGTGGCTGCTCGGCACCTGGATACTCGTCGCAAGTAGCCGGAGCCGACTTTTACCCAGCTAAGGTACCTCAAGGTACGGATAGGTTGCTGTTCTGGAAATCCTCAGAAGCCCGGAGGGCTGTGGTACGTACCGCCGAGCAACCTTCCGAAGCTGTACGTGCCTTAGTGTACTCTGTACGCTCTGACTGGCCAAACGGGCGGAATCTGGGGAACATGTGACATGGGGACGGGGCGGGGAGACGTCTCGCTCCCCACATGACCTCATTAAGAGTCGCGCCAAACCCACCGGGAAAGTTGCATGTGAAGCCAGGTTCTTTCTGATTTCGGATTAGCGCAATTCTTCGGCTTCGGTCAGAGAAGCTGCCTCGGCTGTGTCTGCGGCATCCGTCACGCTGGCTTTGAGAGACTGTTGCCGGACGTCCTGGGTTAAGAAAACCACCATCCCCGTTCGCTCTCACGACACAACACTGCTGCCAACCAATCTTTCCCTCCTATCAATCCGCCGCTCTCCCCATCAACTAAACTTCCGCATCTAGAATTCAATCTGTACATCACCTAGCGACCGTTGCTTCTTACAATCGATCCAGAAAGCACCTCTCAAAGGAGACAAAATGGCTGATCAGCTGCGCTTCGACGGCCAGGTCGTTGTCGTCACGGGCGCCGGCGGCGGCTTGGGCAAGGCCTATGCCACCTTCTTTGGCTCTCGCGGTGCTAGTGTGGTCGTCAACGACCTCGGGGGCTCCTTCAAGGGCGAGGGCAACTCGACAAAGGTACGTGGTCCCGTGAACGTCGCAGGATATGGCCCTGGCTGTCAGACACTCGCTGACGTGTTTCATTGCAGGCAGCCGACGTCGTCGTCAACGAGATCAAGGCTGCCGGCGGCAAGGCCGTCGCAAACTACGACTCGGTCGAGAACGGCGATAAGATTATCGAGACGGCGATCCAGAACTTCGGCCGCATCGATGTGCTGATCAACAATGCCGGCATCCTGAGGGACATCAGCTTCAAGAACATGAAGGACGAGGATTGGGACTTGATTTACAAGGTCCACGTCAAGGGCTCCTACAAGTGCGCACGCGCAGCATGGCCTCATTTCAGGAAACAAAAGTACGGCCGTGTCATCAACACCGCCTCAGCCGCGGGTCTCTTTGGCAGTTTCGGCCAGTGCAACTACTCGGGTAATTATACGTCGCTGTAGTGTCCAATTGGCTCGTGACGCAGCGCGCTAACGTGCTGCATAGCTGCCAAACTCGCCATGGTTGGATTCACGGAGACATTGGCCAAGGAGGGTGCCAAGTACAACATTTTGTCCAATGTCATTGCACCAATCGGTAAGCGCAACGTGTGGCAAGCGGAGCGAGTAACGGAACTGTGTTCGCTAACCGCCTCGACAGCCGCCAGCAGAATGACGCAAACCGTCATGCCGCCCGACGTCCTCGAGAACCTGAAGCCCGACTGGGTTGTGCCCCTGGTCGCCGTGCTGGTACATAAGGACAACACCGACGAGAATGGCTCCATTTTCGAGGTCGGAGGCGGTCACGTCGCTAAGCTTCGCTGGGAACGGTCCAGCGGCCTACTACTCAAGGCCGACGACAGCTACACTCCCGGCGCGGTTCTCAAAAAGTGGGATCAGGCCATTGACTTCTCCAATCCTCAGTATCCCTCCGGCCCCAATGATTTCTTGACTCTTCTGGAGGACTCCATGAAGATGGGCCCCAATGACCAGGGCGAGAAGCTCGACTTCACCGGCCGTGTTGCTCTCGTCACTGGTGGAGGCGCTGGGTGAGTTCGCTCCAAGTGCCACCACGATTGGTAAACTAACAGTTCCCAGTATCGGCCGGGCCTACAGTCTGGCGTTTGCCAAGCACGGTGCTTCCATTGTCGTGAACGATCTAGCTAACCCTGATGACGTCGTGAACGAGATCAAGAAGCTCGGCGGAAAGGCCGTTGGTGTAAAGGCATCGGCTGAGGATGGCGACGCGGTCGTCAAGGCCGCTATCGATGCTTTTGGCCGCATCGACATCGTCATCAACAATGCGGGCATCCTCCGCGACAAGGCGTTCAACAACATAGATGACAGCCTCTGGGACCCCGTCCTGAACGTGCACCTCCGCGGCACTTACAAGGTTACCAAGGCCGCCTGGCCCTACTTCCTCAAGCAAAAGTACGGCCGGGTGATTAACACCACGTCCACGTCTGGCATCTACGGTAACTTTGGCCAGGCCAATTACGCCGCCGCGGTATGTTCTTCAGCCTGACTGCCGCCTCCCAGACAGCAACTGACCAAGCTTCAGAAATGCGGTATCCTCGGTTTCTCCCGTGCTTTGGCGCTTGAGGGCTATAAGTACAACATCTACGTGAACACCATTGCACCCAACGCTGGCACGGCCATGACACGAACTATTATGCCCGAGGAGATGGTCCAGGCCTTCAAGCCTGACTACATCGCCCCCGTCGTCCTTGCCCTCTGCAGTGACAAGGTCCCCAAGAACCCAACCGGTGGCTTGTACGAAGTCGGTAGCGGTTGGGTTGGCCAGACCCGCTGGCAACGAAGCGGCGGTCACGGCTTCCCTGTCGACGTGCAGTTGACCCCCGAAGAGGTCCTGAAGCACTGGGACTCTATTCGCAACTTCGACGACGGTCGTGCCGACCATCCTGAGAAGACACAGGACGGCATCCAGAAGGTTATGGCAAACATGGAAAACAAGCGCAACAAGGTATGAGTCTGCATCTCCTGACACTACCGGCAAAGTTTTGTATAGTAGCGATAGTTCTGAAAGGAAAAGAAAAAAACAATTATTGATCAACCGTGCTGTAGCAGGAGGAAGCATCCGGCGGTGACTCGCAGTACCTTGATGCCATCAAGACAGCGATGAAGGCCGAGCCCAAGGGCACCGACTTCAAGTACGAGGAGCGCGATGTGATGCTTTACAATTTGGGTGTCGGCGCCAAACGCGACCAGCTCAAGTACGTCTTCGAAGGTGCCGACGACTTCCAAGTCATCCCTACTTTTGGCGTCATTCCTCCGTTCGGCACCGAGATGCCTTACAACTTCGACGACATCGTTCCCAACTTCTCGCCCATGATGCTGTTGCACGGAGAGCAGTATCTCGAGATCAAGAAGTACCCCATTCCCACGGCGGCGAAGCTTGTGTCGTACGGAAAACTGCTCGAGGTTGTCGACAAGGGCAACGCTGCGATAGTCAAGAACGGCATCACAACGGTCCACGCCGAGACCAAGGAGCCCGTCTTCTACAACGAGATGACTGTATTCCTGCGGGGTTGCGGCGGCTTTGGCGGCCAAAAGAAGCCCGCCGATCGCGGTCCCAGCACCGCCGCCAACAAGCCCCCTTCCAGGCACCCTGACGTCGTGATCGAGGAGAAGACGACCGAGGAGCAAGCAGCTCTGTACCGTCTGAGCGGTGACTACAAGTCAGTTTTCCCCGTGCCATGCAATCCATGTTATTTTTAGTGCTAACGAATTGGACACAGCCCTCTTCACGTTGATCCAGCCTTCGCCAAGATGGGAGGTTTCAAGGCCCCGATTCTCCACGGCCTTTGCTTCTTCGGCATTGCCGGCAAGGCCGTCTATGAGCGCTTCGGACCCATCAAGAATATCAAGGTGCGCTTCGCCGGCACCGTCATCCCCGGACAGACTCTGGTGACGGAGATGTGGAAGGATGGAAACAAGGTCATCTTCCAGACGAAGGTCAAGGAGACGGGCAAGCTGGCTATTGGCGGTGCCGCGGCGGAGTTGGCCTCCGACAAGAGCAAGATGTAGCGACTTCGCGCTCGCAAGTTACCCGGCGTTCTTGCTTCGAAGGAATGAGTGCTGGAATATTGTACAAATAATGGTGTTTCGCGTTTCGTTATCAGTACGGGCCTGTCGGAACAGGAAATTTGATGGAATTTGATGAAATTGACTTATTTATTCATTACAAAAAAGTACTTGCTAGACCCTATGCATGTCTGACCTCCAACACACCATTCGGCTGGCTATCCCGTAGTGATGGGCGGGCCCGCCTCAATCATGACGCCCGAGTATGCTCCTGTATTGCCAAAATCAGCCCCAACCAACTCCCGAGTCGCGTATCTTCTACAGTCGTCGGACAAATGCCGAATTCTCTAAACGACACCAGGAATAACCGAATAAGCGCTCAGACGAACACCACTTCGACGACGAAATCGCATAATTCGGGTAGGGTCGGCCAACGCCCGTTCTTGATGCAGCTTTCGACCGACGAGACCCCGTTTCTGGCGAAACCCGTCTCTAAGAAGGCCTTCTCCGCACCGCTCAATTCCCGCTTCTCCGTCTCCCGCCATTTGGCCTCGGCCTCCTCCTTGGCCTGCCTCAGCACCAGGTCCGTGTCCTCGCTCTCCCAAAGATTGCATTTGGTACACTCGGTGCACGGCCGCGGGTCGCCGTCCGGCCTGAAATGGTCGCAGAAATGCCGGTACCCTTCGCCCTCCCCGTTCGCGCCGCCGATGTCTTTGCGGCATACGTAACACATCTTGTACCCGCAAGGACACGTCAACTTGTTGCAGCCCGAGTTCTTGACGAAGGACGTGTGGCATCGCGGGCATACGCGTTTGATGGCCATGCTCATGGCCTGCTCAACTTGCGTACGCAGCGCGACCAGGGAGGACTCGTTGCATACGTGGATGTCGGTCCAAGACTTGGAGCAGCACAGACACGATGCTTTCTTGCAATCTGGGTTCTGGCAGGTGAACTTGAGACCACGACGACGTCGTCGATGACGACCAAGAGCCATTTTCCATTGCATCATGAGGTGATCACCGATTGTCTGCTTTGTGCTGAGCAAAAGACACAAGCACGATGATAGAAGCACCACGGGGAGGAGGAAGGGCACCGTGACAATGCAAACAATGATGAGTAGTAGGCTGAGAATGCTGTCGAGTCTGACGCGTAGTTGGGTTTCGTGGGCGGGTAGATAGATGTCGTCTACTTCGGCATATTCGCAGAACGGACAACGGATCAGCGGGAGGTTGGCGGCCAGCAGACTGTTCTCTGCCAAGCGTTGATCGAGCTTGTGGAGGATCTCGGCGCCTTTTCTCTCCTCCAACATGGCGCGGTGCAGGTGATCGTGAGGGATATGGCCGGGACATCCATCCCCTTCGACTGCCAGGCACTTGAGGGTGCCGGAGTCCGTGTCGATGCTGCTATGCCACCCTTGACCAAAAACGGCTTCCGTGACGGAATGCTGGACGCAGCGGAAGCACAGCATGTGGCCGTCGGCGTTGCAGGTTGTGAACTCTTCGAAGGTGGATTCAGTGAAGCAGCAAGCGCACTCGTACAGCGCGTCAGCCTCCTCGGCCTGTTCGTTGTTCAGCAAGATGGCCAAACCTCGGTCCTTGTCCTCCTGGGTTTGCCTAGCCCGCTCTTTCAGAGGTTGAATCAGGTCGCGGTACAGTTCACAGTCCAGCTCGGTGTTGCCTGTAGCCTTCAGAGTCGGAACAATGGCGCCTTGGCCAGTCGACTTCCAAACCACCAGGGGATGATTTTCAGCCTCGCCCGTAGCGACGGGTTTACGGCGAAGGAAGAGCGAAGATATGGTGAAGCGCCATGACTTGGAGGAAAGGGATACGAGCGTCTTCCGGGCATCGAGGTAGGAGTAATTGGATTCTGCTAGAACTGCGTTGATGGTAGATCGCGATAGGCCCTTGAATTCGTGCCATGCCAACGCCTGAACGGCCTGCTTGTACTCGGAACTTCGGAAGGTCTCGACGCGAGGGATGAGGGGTTGGTAGTGGTCTCCCGTCACTGGTTCCCGTGGCGTGGGTTCCGTCAGTTGATTATCGGCGACTCTCCAGCGGCCCTTTACCCAAGCGACGCGGTTTTTCAGGAGAGCGTCGGCGACAACGGCGAGTCTGGACTCCTCGTCGAAGTTGGTCAGCATCTCGCGGAAAACCTGGATCTGGACATCGGGAAATATGGCGGCGAGAGCCTCGAGACTATTGTTTAGCTCGCGTAAATCGGGGCAGTCGGCAGGTAGACTGCGTAAGTGCGTCTCATCGTAAATGTATCCATGATGGCGGGTTATGGAATCGGGGGTCTGCGCCGGAGAAGCCTCAGGGGTGTTGTCGGTAGGCGCAGATGAGGAGGAAGATGGCTTGGGGCGAGAGGATTGTAGTTTATCGGTAGAGGGGCCGAGGAAGGTCGTGAAGCCCATGTCGAACACTCATGGCCGTGGAAGGCCTTGCATGGCGTGGAAGCGACGATTCGGGGGTGGTCGAATCGAGACTGCGTGGGTGCTGCAGCGGTGGTGTCGGGACGGATGGCTGCGATGCAGCGCGACCGAGAACGATAGATAGGTCTACCGTAGCATGGAGCTGAAGAGGCGACCGGGTGATGTGTAATTTCTAGACCCTTAAACGGGTGAGCGCAGACGATATTGAATAAGAGGAGGACGCAGAAGAACCTGTAGTCTTCTGGGCGGCGATCTTGCTTAGCGACGATGTTTTTCGTATCAGCAGATTGATTGCCTGTAGGGATCAATCAGTTGAGTGTGCAGACAGAGTATCCGCATGTCAAGTATCCATCCGTACGAAGGAAGTGCACGGGCAGTAGAGGGCCGGCCTGCCAGCGGGTAAGGTAACGTAAGGTAAATCGAAATACTGGTGGGGTGTTCACAGCTCGCCAGCCGGTATCGGTTGGCTGAGTCGGGGCCGACTGTAACCGCGCTTGAGTTGCTCACGAGAGTAGACAATAACACGACAGATCAGGCAAATGGACTGAGCTGCGGAAACTATTGGGTTGCGATGAGGCCAATATTCTCTGTATATGAGATTGTAATTTCTATTGCCTCTGTGTGACGCAAAGTATAACAAATGGTCAGCGGACTTCGTAGCCTGCGCATCCCGAAAGGACCGCCAGGTTTACACGCCAAATTAGTACAAAAACTCACCTTTGTGGATTTTGATTTGAGAGTCAAATAAAGGCTCGGACTAATCATGTGAGCCCAGGCAATTAGTTCGAGCTCATGCCAAGGGTACATGATTAGGGGGCCTTGATTCCAATCAGCTTAGCAACGAGATGAATCGAAGCATCGACGGAGCATCAGAGAAGTCTGAGACATGATTGAAGCAAAGCAATGTTGAATGCCACTTTCCGCATCAAGATTTGGCGGTTCAGGGCGTCGTCTACTTTCGTTATTAAATACAACGCTTGTTTGGTCTAAAGGTCTACCTCCCAGCAACTAGCCATGAAGCATCCCGGCTCCTCAAAAGCATCTCCAGACGCATTTTGGTACTCGATTTTCGGCACAACCAAGCCCACACTCTTTGCAACCCACAACCGACATCACGCTGTTACTCAAGACTTGCGGTGGAGGAGGCCAGCAGCACCCTTCATTAACTCGTTAGTCGACTCGTCTCGGAACAACGGCATTCGTCAACCTACCTGGTGCTGGGGGAAAATGAGGGTGTCGGCCACAACGACGTTCTCCCGGCGTGTGGTCGTGAAGACGATGACTTCGGCGATGTCGTCGGGCGTCAGAGGCTCGCAGCCACTACAACCAAACACATGTCAGTGCATCGGACTCAAAAGTACTCCCAAACATTCTTCCAACTCAGTGAGGGATTCACTTACGCGTAAACGGCGTCGGCCTTGGACTTATCGCCGTAGAATCGGACAACGGAGAACTCCTGCGCGAAGTGTTAGAGAACGGCTATCAGCTCAGGATATGAACGTACAGTCTCGACTTGACCAGGATCGATTCCGATGACGCGAATGCGTGTGTCAATGAGCTCCTTCCTCAAGCTGTCCGTGAAGCTGCGCACGGCAGCCTTGGTCGCACAGTAGATGGAGCCACCAGGGTACGGCTCACGGCCTAGAGGTGGTTAGTTGCTGGGCTCCACCGTTTGCCGTGAATTACGTAGACTCACCGGCAATAGAGCCAATGTTGATAATGTCACCGGCACCGCCGTCGGGTCTTGACTTGAAGATGGGGAGGATAGCTTGCGTAACGTTGATGAGACCGGTGACATTGGTCGCGAACATGACATTGATGTCAGCCTCGGCAATCTCGGGGGCCTTTGCGACACCCTTGACGAGACCTCTGTAAGCTCGGCGTCAGTCTCTTCTGCCGGTATATTCTTCCTCGGGCGGGTGGGGATGAGTACGTACGCGTTGTTCACGAGGATGCTGATGTCCTTAAACTCCTCGGGCAGATTGGGCACGAGCTGGCGAACCTCATCCGCGTTGCTGACGTCGAGCTTCACAGGGTGGACCTTGACGCCATTACCGACCTCCTTGTTGATCTCGGCAGCAATCTCCTTGAGACTGTCAATGCGACGGGCTGTGAGAATGAGCTTCAGGTTGTTAGGCGCCGTGCGGGCGTATTCAAACGCCGTGCTCTTTCCAATGCCGCTGGAGGCGCCGGTGATGAGAATCGTCTTGCCCTCAAGGCGCTTGGCGGCAGCGGTGGCAGACATGATGGTTCTGATGTGATTCTGATTCAAAGTGTTGTTGAAGGGAGTTGATGGACGGGGCTGTCGCCGATGAGATAAGAGTGAAGAACAGAATGACCGGACTGTACGGTTCATATGTAATTGAAGACCGCAGAAAAGGAGGGGAAAGATCGCACAGCTCAAGGGTGAGGCGGGAGGGCTCTTGGTTATATGTTGATTCGAAAACTCAGGGGCAAAGCAGAGTGTAAGCTCAATGGACAAATGACTCTCAACACACGTTTCCGACAGCACAGAGACGGATAAGGCGAGGGGAAGGAGAGTGGACGGCACGGCGCACGGAATGGGCCACCCCCACAATGCGGGGTTTCAACCACCCGATAACCGGCGGAGGAGCGCGATTGCATCATTTCTTGCCCGAGAGGTGTGCTTGTTTTTCTAAAAGCCCCTGGTGGTAGAAGCTCGTGGAGGAGATAAGAACCCTCCCATCGGCGATAGTGATCGGGCGCGGTTCAATCAGGGTTTCGGGGGCTCTTTTGGGGCTCTTTCGGGATTCCTGTGGCTTGTTCGGGGCTGATGCGCCGATGGGGGTCGACTGCAAACTCCGACGTGGGCGCTGCGGCCTTTTCTTCCCCCGCATTGCAACCCCGGATGTCCATCCGACTGAGTGCTCCGTGTGGTACGCCCCCGGCAACTTGACTTCGGGTACTGCGCGGGTATTAGGCGGATAGAAATCCGGTAGGCAGAGGGGCACTTGTGGTTACATCTTCATGAGACATGTACTTGCTTCATCATCATTGAATTTCGTAACGCGTTGCCGCTCTCATCACCAATCTACATGATGCTATGCAAAAACCCACAAGACAACCCATAACGCCAGCAAAGAACCAAACATCGCCTGCCATAAGAGCCGCTGTCCCCGCCGTCCCAGGTCACGGGTCACCGATGCCAGGCGGGATTCTCTCTTCCCAAAGCTGATATCTTCTACCGAATCACACATTGTTCCCTTCAGACGCCGTTCACCCTGTCGAAGACACGAGCGTTGTTGCCGCAGATGCCCTCCGTCTTCTCTCCATCTCTATCCGAATGTGTAGCTGTCGCTGCTCCTCAATCGAGACCCGATTCCGGCGATAAGCCCCCAAGCTGATCAGGATCGCTATGCCTGACAGAATGGACCCCACCTTCATGTCTTGCTGAAATGAGTCCGCGTACACTTGGCGGACGGCGGTGGCCTGCGACTGGGTCAGATCCATCCCCCCTCCGTGGATCGATGCCATTTGATCCGGCTTCAGTACCCCGGCCAGTTCCTGCCGCATTTTCGTGCCCAGGATCGCCGTCGATGCTGCGATGCCTAGACTGCCTCCCAGAATACGCACCTGCGCAATGATGCCCTGGGCCGGCGCTACGTTCTGTGAGCAAGGACGATGCATCCGTTCCGGGGTTTCACTCACCATGATCTGGAATCTCGGACTCAGTCGTGCCCAGAATGGTGGACGATGTGGCCGACAACCCGAATCCGAATCCGATGAGGGTGATAAACCCCAGTGCTTTTGGCTCCAGCTCAACCGACGAGGAGAGCGTCGTCAAAAGGCCGCAGCCCAGCGTCATAAAACAGCTCGCCGCGAGCATGGTCTCGAACAGGAGGTTCCTATTCTTGCTCATCAATCCACCGAGCGTGCTTCCGAGGGCGACAGAACCCAGCATCGGTAACAACAATATCCCCGCCATCAGTGAGCTTTTCTCATTGACGATCTGGAGATGTATGGGAAAGGCGTACACGACCAAAAGATATGGGAAGCCAAGGAACATTGTGTTCAGCATGGCGGCCACATAGACGTGGTTGCGCAGGAGGCGCATAGGAATGGCCGCCATGATGCGCCTCTCCCAGAAGCGGGCGACAAGTCCTCCCCACACGAGTAAAGCGACGAAGCAGAGGGCACCGATGGTGACTGGGGCGATGAAGACAGCCTCATGCCACTTGTCTCCGTCCGAGCCGACGTTCTGGAACGAGAAGACGACCAGCACAGAGCCCGCTACCAGGAGAAATGAACCCACGAAGTCCAACTCCTTCCATGACCTCCGTTGTAGGTTCGGCAGGTGCTCAGCTCGGGGCCAGGTCAGATAGAAGACGATCATGGACACGAAACCGACAGGACCGTTGATCCAGAAAATCCAGCGCCAAGAAGCGTAATGGGTCAGAATGCCACCGAGCACGGGGCCGAGGACGCCGGCACTGGCGATCACCATTCCCACCAGACTGGCGATGTGTTGGCGCAGATGCTTGGGACTGACCTCGGGGAAAATGATCATGGTGATGGAGTACAAGCCTAGCGTAAAGCTTCAGAGTGGTTGTCGGGTAGTGGGATGCGTTTTGACTTACCGGATCCACCCAGTCCTTGAAGTGCCCGACATGCGATCAACTGCTCCAGGTTCTGCGCAAACCCACAACCCAGCGAGAAACCAAAAAAGATGACAAAACTTGCCAAGAAGGCGTTGCGTCGGCCGACAACATCAGATACGCGGGCGAACAACACCGCACAGCTGAGATACGTGAGCGTGTAGGCCAGCGCGACCCAGTTGATGAGTTCCATCGAGTCGAATTCCGCGCCGATGGTATACAAACTCGTGGCGACAATGGAAGAGTCCAGCATGGATAGGAAAAGCCCTAGGCAAAGTCTGAGCAGCGTGTTAGTTTTGGCATATGACTGACGACAAGTTCACAGCATACCCGATACTGAGTAGCCAAAACCGCCATGTCGGTAAGGAGGCGTCTCGGAAGTGGTATTTTGGCAAGGCATCAGACTTCGACGTCTCGACGTCGTCTTTCAATTTGCCCATGGCTACTCTCGATGATGATGTCGGAACGATTTTGATGGTCCGTCTCAAAGTCGGCGAGACGTTGAACTCCAGCTCAAAGTAGGATTCTCCTTGATCGAATACCTCGCTTATATGCTGAATCTGTGAGGTGTAGGAAGTGGGGACTGTGTTTCGACGAGCGGGAAGTTGGCCAACCCACGATGACGGCCTAGCTGGATGGATGGTGTTAAGAAGCCGGCGTCTGGGTCGCAGAATCTCGGGATCGGGCCGCCCGTGAAGACAACTCGCGATGGAAGATTATGGTGATTTGGGCGAGATCGTAACAACTCATACTGAAGGGTGTCGTAGTAGTAGGGGGTCGGGGTTGCGTCTGGCAGGCGCTTGGGCAGCGCGTGTGAAAGTAGTGCAAGACAGAAAAGAGAATGCGAGGCAAAAGAGAGCCATGTTTAAGGAGATACACAGGCGTCTGCCATGTCAGAAAGCAAGAGCAAAAGTCAATTCGGCGTTCGGGGCGACGAATGGGAGCCAGACGAGACGCAAGGGAAAAAAAAAAGGCATATTCGGCGTTCAAAACACAAATGTACGCATTCGCTTTCGTTCCACTAGCGCCGAAGGACATATCACCCAACCCAAACCACCGTCTCTGGGCAGCTCCCTAGCCCGGCAGACCTGAAATGCCTGGATTCGCGGCTCACGGCCCCATTCGTTTGTCTCTCGTCCGACGCTGCCGGCCGTAAGCTGACTCCGTCGGCGAATGCGGCGTGGAGCCGGCGCGCCACGCCAGTCCCCCAGAAACTGAGACCGAGAGTAAGACAGGACCCAATCCCATTTCAAGCAAGGGCAAAGTGGAACGAATAAGCGTACCGACATTCCAGGCCGTCGCTACCTTCGGCGACAGATCGTTTCTGGATGATGCCCGAACATGTCATTCGTTCGGAATTTGTTCAGAAGCGAGGAATTCTTCTAGAGTCCAACACCGAGTCCGAGCCACCAAGGCCGTTGAGAAAGGAGAAAGTAAACAGCACCGGTATGAACCAGATTCTCAGATCGAATCAACCACGGCTTCACCCGATCCGGTTCCATCCCGTGTCGGATCAACATGACGAAGGACGTCTTTGTGTGTTGCGCTGTCTTCAACACCGATACACCACGGCATCAGAGCCATTGACGTCGGTTCGGGGTTGGCTACTAATACACAGTACAATCGGCCAAAGACCAGGGCTATTACCAACGCCGACTCCAGCGCGACCAACAGCATTCAGCAAACGACGACCCAGCCAACCAACAGCTCTGCACGACACGGGACTCAGCTGCCATGTGGGCAGACGCCCTAGTCGATGTCTAGGGACGGGAATGGACCGAAAGGGACCAATGTGTGTGGTTGAGGGAGGTTTGGGTCACATGTCTCTGTCACCCTAGAGCAGGACGGGAATGGCGGCACCATCCCGTCGCTGGCTGCCTTACCCTGGCACGTACCCGCTTGGGTAGATGCCGAGTTCCTCTGGCACTTGCTTGGAGGCGACACGGGTTTCGTTGTCAAAATCAGCAGAGCTTTCTTTCTGTTTGCTCGCCAGCGCATGTGGTTGCGATCGATCCCAGAGTGTGTAGATGGTGTTATTCCTGTCCCTCAGATTGCCGTCAGTGCTTGCTTCAGTACCTACTTTAGTTCCCCGAGTCCTGCGAGGGGCGGCCACATCTCAGGGAAAGCCAAGCGGGAGCGGACGCAGGGGGCGGAAAAGGCAACAAACGAAGAATCCACAGTTGACGCGGTCGCGCGAGATTGAAGCTTGTGAAGGTGAAAGCGAAGTCCATTGTCCGGGGCTGGGCTGGGCTGGTCTGATTTTGCCATGCCCTGTTCACGTTGCTTATTCAATGGATCCAACTTGGTTTTTCGTTTGAAGCAAACAACCGTTCCCTGTTCCAATTGGTCCGTCAGAGGGAAGTGTCGTCCTCGTATGGCTGCGGAAATATTAACGCAGTATCAAGATCAAACAGAAGGGAAGCAAAGATTGAGACACTCACACGCGGCAGCTGAGGGTCAAGCTTCGCCTCATGTCGGAATCGTTCTCAATCTAGGTAGATATGCTTATGTAATTCATGTGGAAGGTGTGATTTGTCGTCCCAGCTCGCTCCAATGAAAGCACGGTGATACCTTACCTAACTGACGGCCCACTCCCGCTGCACTCCACTAGCTACGACCCCGGGAGGCACCCCGAGGTGAGCTGTTGACAGGCAAGATCCGCTGTACTTCAAGCATCCCGTCGACTTCATTCACGGCGACAGCACATCTCTGTCTGAGCGCGACTGATTGACCACGAGAGATTTTCCACACTGATCCATTCTTGACGCCAATATACCAGGCTGCCCTCCCGTCTCGCCCATTCTCACAATTGAAAGGGAGCTCTTCCAGTCGTCTGCCGAGATGACGGACATCATTGCCGGACAGGCTCCTCCTTCTCTATCCGTTCCCTCGGAGAAGGAAAAGAAATACGACCGCCAGTTGCGGTTGTGGGCAGCCAGCGGCCAGGCCGCCCTCGAGTCTGCCAACGTACTACTCGTGAATTCGGGCTCGGGGACCGTCGGCGTTGAGACACTCAAGAACCTTGTTCTTCCCGGTAAGCCATCATCATATGCCCTCCTTCGATATGCGCGAGGCGGCTGATATGTGTGCCCAGGTATCGGCAAGTTCACCATCGCTGATGATGCCACCGTCACCGAGGCAGACCTCGGTGTCAACTTCTTCCTGGACGAAACCAGTCTGGGCCAATCTCGCGCACAGAGTTGCACTGAGCTTCTCGTTGAACTCAACCCCGAAGTCCAGGGTGACTGGTACCCCCGGAACTCAGTGAGCACCTTATCTAGGCGCCCTCCCGCTGCGGCTCAAGTGCTGACCCCGGGGACAGGAGGCTTTCAATATTCAAAATGTCCTGGGAAGGGATGACCCGTTCACCATCATTCTGTACGCTTTACCCATCGCCCCAGAGCATCTCGAAGCGCTTGAAGCGTACAGCCGGAAACACAAAACGCCACTCGTCGCCATCCACTCGGCTGGCTTCTACTCTTACTTCAGCATTCGCCTGCCTGGCGTGTATCCAATCGTCGATACTCATCCAGATGTGACGGCTACCACAGACTTGCGGCTTCTCGCACCATGGGAAGAGCTGGAGGCTTTCGCCGAGGACATGACCAAGGATATTGACAGCCTGGACAACCATGAACACGGACACCTGCCGTTTGTCGTGATTCTTCTGCACTTCCTCAACGTGTGGAAAGCTTCCCACGGTGGCGCACCGCCCAGCAACTACAAGGAAAAGGTTGAGTTCCGGAAGATGGTGGCGGATGCTACAAGAACGAACACACCCGAGGGTGGCGAGGAGAACTTCGAGGAGGCCGTCGCCGCGGTCATCAAGACCATTGTGCCACCGTCCCTTCCCTCTGCCGTGAGGGAGGTCTTCGAGTACAGACACAACAAAGAGGTCAGCGCGCAAAGAATGAACAGAGAGGGATTTAGACTGACGTGGACTCAGACTGAGGCGGCTTCCAGCTTTTGGCTCATCGCCGCGGCGTTGCGGACCTTTTACGAGAAACACCAGTGCTTGCCTGTCCCCGGCGGTATCCCAGACATGAAGGCCCAGTCGAGCACGTACATCAAGCTCCAGAACATTTACAAGGCCAAGGCCCGCAAAGACGCTGCCGAGGTCCTGGATTCTGTTCGCCAGATGCCCGGTGGCGAAAGTATTGAGCCGGCTGAGGTGGACCTGTTCTGCAAGAATGCCGCCTTCATCAAGCTTGTTGTCCCCGCAAGTGGAGGCGTCGACCAACTGCGCAGCCTAGCTCGTAAGTAGACTCTTGCGTTCACCTCTGCGTGCTGTATCTTACGAGGAAACAGAGCAGGAACTCGTCAATGACGAAACGATGGCCAAGGAGGGTTTGGCTCCTTTCTCACTCCTGCCCATCTATCTCGCCCTCCGCGCAACGTCCCACAAGTCTACGGCCTCTCCAGATGAGATTCTGGCATCCATTGGGCACTTGGTTCCAGACGCCAGCGACAACGAGCGTGTCGTGCAGGCGGCCCAAGAAGTATCTCGGGCTGGTGGCGGAGAGCTTCACAACATCTCCGCGGTTGCAGGTGGCATGGTGGCCCAGGAGACGATCAAAATCATCACGAATCAATACGTACCCATCGAGAACACATGCATATTCGACGGTATTGGAAGCCGAACCCAGGTTTTCCGCCTGTAAAACAGAACACGCTCTCCAGCCTGGCGCCCTCGGCTTGCCTGGCTCGTCGTCTGCCTCCAGCATGCGGAGCATTCGTCAATGCTCCTCGGCCGTGGTCCCAGCTAGGTAACCCTGAACTCTTCCAAACAGGTGTTGGGGAAGGGGAACGATTGCAACCACCATTCCCAGAGGCTTTTCGGCACTGGGTGTGCAGATCCCGGAGGAATATATTAACTGCGCATTGGGACAACGAAGGCGGCAACAGCTGGAGACCGAGACGTGGTTGGGTGTCTGGGGTCGGCTTGAGCTTGGGATGATGTTGCATTGCTAGCGCGCAGCCATTCCTTGAGCAAAACCGGAGGTTGTGACCCTTCAATCCTACCTCAGCAGACCCTGGCGAACATATGGCGTCTAGGCAAAGATCGAGTCGGACCGCAGTCCCTTGCTGTCATGTCCTCGATGGAACACTGAGGACCCCGGACTATGCGGGATCAAGGAGAGTCGAGGCTGAGAAACGTTAACTGCCAACTGTATGGGTGGAGGTAACCGGAGCCTGGCTAGGTAGGTAAGGCAGTCTCAATTGGCATTATCCAGAACAATACATGGCTTAGGGCCTGAGTCTAACGTGTTTATCGTTCGTGTGGAAAGCCGCAACTATTTGTGCTTCGGAACAACGACTTTGCAGCTAATTGATATCTCCAACTGGTGATATCCCCTTATCCGAGGCCAACAGAACTTTATAAGATGCGGTTGACCCGATGAACCCGGCTGCCGCGTTCTTACCGGGAGGACAAACATCGGCTCAAAGCCCAAACATCAGCTCGTTCACATTCTGAACCCTAGATGCTTGGTTCACTAGGATGCAAATGAGAACCACTGGGAAATGAAATCGAGGCGGGCCGCTCACAAGCAAACTTGACTTTCCTTGGCTGTCCAGCCCCCCCCCCCCCCCTATGCCATGATTGGAAATCCTACGGGATGATATCACAAGAACAAAAAGTGAGAAGTACTGACGCCGACGGATGATGTCCCGATCTCGTACTTCGGGTCCCGCGTACACGAGAGCGATCTCGCCAAGCGTGTCAGCACGACCGCCTGTGGCCGTTCATTCCAAACCGACGACAGCCGGCGGATGCAGCTCTTGAAAAAGGTGGTCACAATGCGAAATGCGGGAGGTGGGCTTCGGCTGGGTTTCCGAAAGACTTTGTTGTCATGGTCGGCGATGAAAGGAGTGGATCATTACTCGCATGTTTCTGACGGCAGTGTGCCCAGGAACAACGAAAGGTACGTGTCTCTGTGTGAAGTCGTGGCGGTGAGGGAGAGAGGCGGGCTGAAGGTCCGCCGGGCGTCAGTAGGGCGCCATTAACGTGATGTCGCACAAGCTGACCATCTTAAATCCGGAGATGCCCAGGACGAAAACCGAACGCTGTGCGGCGGGCCGTTCTGTGACGGGGATGGGTAGAGCGGTTATTTGCCACATCATCAACCCGATAAGCATGGGCGTTGAGGCCCGATGGTGACTAGAAAGTCACGCTCAGCAACGATGATACGTGCCTCCGTACGTACAGTGGAAGTTGCGGCGGCGAAGAACCTCCTCGACGAGACTGTGTGGCGCGTTGATCTGAAGACCATCACGAGACAAGAAGCTCCTCGGCCTCGGAAGAGTATCAAGTGCGAAAGAAGCCGGACTAACTCTGGGATCAGGTTGTGTTACGATCGTACACCAGATAACGTGAGCGAAGGGAATTCACGATTCTTGTGGACAGACAACTTGAGCCTAGGTTACGCCAGCTGCAATGTCATTCGCTTCAGACGGTCCGGCCTATGTCGGGCTCAACTATCGCGGAGCCGAGACGTACGTGCCAAAGACGCACGTGTTGATGAAGATGCGGTGCGGGTCTCCGGACGAATTCAGGCGTTGTGTGTGCCGGCCAAGACGCCGCTTTCAGACACCCAGATGCTCTTTTTGGACGAACGGGACGGGATTTTGCTCATCAAGATTCCGACCAAGCATGACAAGTCATGCTTTCTCGCCCAACAGGTCGAATGCTGTATCCGGCCGCATAGTGGCTTCTTGTCGTCGAAGTCGACGAGGTCCGGCTTGGGGGGATAAAACTCCGGGCAGTATGAGTCTCGAGGTTTCGCATCTGGCCTTGACGGGATTCTTATCAGGGCGTCGGGCACAAGCCAATGCCACGTCCCCATGAAGTCGGCCAAAGTGCCCCTGCGAGCATCCAGACACAAATGCAACACCCCCTTCTCGGACAACTCGTGACTTGCATCCCCACAGGAAGGATGCAACTAGGCAGGAGGCGACGCAAGGAGCGAGAGGCCTGAACGGTTCGTCGGGTCTGATTTCCTGCATCATGGATCATTCACGACCTGGGGAACCAAACCTCACGTCAAGCTGGAGATCGGCCTCTACAGAATCCAAGGTTAAGCTACTGCACGAGTGCCTGGCCTGGCGGCGATGCGAAAGACGCAATCACCTCTCCTTGATCGGCGCGGCCACCTGGACGTAGCATCGCCGGATATCTCGAAAAGGGGCCGTCTTCATAACGCGCGGCCGACAACGTGCACGCTATGGCGAAGGCAGAGCAGATCGAAGTCCGAGAAGAGGCGCACCATCATCTACCGCGACATACGCCAAGTAGCACAGCATCAACGGGTATCTGTGCCCCGAGCCGGCGGGAAGCGCCTGGTGGCCCCGGCATATGTGGGAAACCGAGAAGAGGTAGGCAGAGGAAATGAACGCGTTTGAACAAAACGAGGCAGGCAGGGGACAGGTACCCGTCGAATGGCGAGAGGAGGGCGAGTATGCACACTGACAGCACCGTCGGCTGGCCGGGTCGAGTCGGTCACAGTACCCACCACTTGCATGGGAACAAGTTTGCTCCTTTCCCGACTGGACCGACAGAGGGCGAAGATGTGGAGTGACGGGCACACAGTATAAGCAGATGCTTTGCATGAGGTGAAAGTACAGACACGTGCCCCATTGCACTCAGAAAGCAGATGGGCTCACGTCCGGGTCCAGGTCCAGATCCAGAGATACTGGGCACATGCGAACACATGACCTATCAACGCAGGAGCGGTGCGTGAGCAAGGCTACGTACATCACACAGCGTGTCCAGCAAAGCGGCTGGGATGGTCTGCTGCGTGGTGGGTGTCTCTGCCCGTCTTAACCACATACAACCCAAGATGCGTCGGTGTGGCTGCCGGATGATGGAGGGCATTCCATTTACTTCAGGCAACGTCTTCCCGTTAGCGGATAGCGGGCGGCAGAGGGAAATCTGGGGTACATTTGTGTATGTGGAGGGCTACAATCGTGAGCAATCCCGGATCGATTTGCTGGAGAGGCAAATGCTAGGGCCAATATCGATTTTCCTGTCATGTTCGGAGAGATGGAGATGGTTGCTAGATTAGTGACCAGCATGTGGACAGGGTGGGCTTACAGGTTTTGGACCGATGTGCGTAGGATGTGTCGCACAATGACTGCAACTTGGACTCCCCAGGTACCATCCGCCATATCGCTCACCGCGTAGCCGAGGCCGTGAATCTGATCCAATGATGGATAAGGTAGAAGCCGGGACAGGGACGTAAGGGGACAGAATAGAAAGATCAAGAATGGAAGAACATGGTTGGAGGAACCAAACTTCCAGGGGCACACACACAAACACACACACACACAGTGTGGAGAGAAATGGTGAGGTGGGAGTCATATGGAACGGGCGGCAGAGCCACCAGAGTAGCGACCAAGACGGCAAGCACGCACTTACCGTACCTTATAAGCCGCCTCGGTTAGTATTGGTGCTTTCTTCAATGTGCAGGGCCAAGCCGTCCAAGTTGTTGAGCTGATAGAACACACAACAGCTCGCGAGAGTGTTCAAAGAAGCAGGCACGGCGCAGATAGACCATCGTCAAGATCCGAGAAGGCGTGGACAGATGGAAGTCATTGCCGTGCTAGGGTCGTACATGGCAAAGGCGCGACATGGTAGTATCGGTTGTTGATATCGTGAACAGGATTCGTCAAGGTATGCGATGTCATTTACCAGGTATGGTTGCAATAGGGCCGGTTCTCCGTCTACCTACGAGAATCCAGAGCAAGAGATGGCGAGTCCTGACTGGGTACGCGTACCGTCCGGACTGGGCTGGCTTCGATTTGACGGCATGGAACGGCTCTGCTAAGACGGAGTGGGAATCTTAGAAGATGAGATAAGATGTCGGGGTCTTGCAGGCGAAAAGTGTGATGATTGTGATGATGGTTCGTCGCATTTTCGTGGTTCCGAGTCAGATGGGCATCCTTCTCGTACCCCCCCTCCCTTTCACGACGTGGACCTACATAGTCACATACCTCAGTAGAGGCCCGTCTTCTCTCTGTGGTCTTCTACCTACTTACTTGGGTTCTTCAACAAGGAAGGTTGTGGGGCATTTTGGAGACGGCAGGAGAGGTTAAGGGTGCACCCTGGATCGGCGGTGCGGCCCTGCTGATTGTGGGAGGATGAGGGGGGGGGATAAGTCGATCTGTGAACAGGGGATGGGAGAAGCGCGCGTGGCAGGCACTTGGAGAAGAGGAGGCGTGCTGCGTGCGTGATGTGTATGCCAGATTCACAGACAAGTCATTATGTCGACTGTGACAGGAGGCGAACTGAAGAGGCACATACCCGGCCACCCGTCTATTGGAGGAGTGTCACGGTACCGGACTTGTGTTGGGGACGGGTGAGGGGACGGGAGAAATGGAATAATTAATGGGAATACTTAGAAGTTAGGTAAAGTAGTATGTGGAATTAAAAGTAGACTAAGAAGAAAGGGGAAGGAGGGGCATGAAGGGGATTAGAGGAACCGCAAATCGCGCGTCGAGTATCCTACGACGGCGGGAGAGAAGCACAAAGCCGTCCAAGGGAACACTCAATAATCAAAGAGAGAAAACCGAATGATGGACTGACGATGTCAACCTAAGCTACAGACCTAGACCTGAGTACCCGGGCTGAGACGACTCGCCCCGGAGCACGGGAATACATAGTGCCTTGCCCTTGCGACCTCAGAACACTTCTATCCGTACCATTGAAAGCGGAAGGGAAACTCCTGGCGGGACGTGGACACTCAAGTGTGGGGTCAAAGTGGCCCGGCCCCGCCCGATTGAGATTTCCCCACCAGTCAATGGTTGACGGCTGTCACTGGGCACTTTAACAACGTTCAGTGCATCGTCTTATTCGAAGCACACTCAGGCCATGTTTTAACCAATACCTGTATGCTAGGCACTGAAGTAAGGTAGGTAGGTAAGGTAGGCGATAGTAAAGGCCGGAAACGATTGTGGGTAGTGGCAGCAGCGACAGCGGGTAAGCGGTGTCAGTAAGGACTGAGTGCCCTGCCCGATTCAGGCTTCAGACGGGCCAACTCCATCACAGCGCATCGTCACTCGGGTGCCTACATTCACATTGACCTTGAAAATTTGCCATCCAATTCTTCTGCATCTTGGTATCCGTAGGTACCTACTTTAAAGGCAGAGACGGCGCACGGGACACACCACGACACGGCACGGGTGCTAAATGTAAATGGCAAGTGTGAGTGGCCTCTTACTGGCCCCAATTGACTACCCCACTTTCCACTTTAAATTGATATCCACGTCCCCTCACTCGGGTTTCCCTTCCCCCAGACCCATGGAAACGAGGACTAGGTAGGTACCTAGGTACCTACCTATGTAGGTAGGACGGGACGGACGGACCAGACCACAGACAGACGGCCACCTGGGCCTTCGCTCTCTCTCTTTTTCTTCTTTCTTTTTTTTTTGTGTTATTTTTTTCCTTAAATCAACTCCATCACTTTCCGAACCGCCTGTTCGTTTGCAGACCCTCCCACCGTCTTCACCTCGTTGTCATTGGTTGTGCCATATATTGGCTGTTGCTTCTTCGAGCCTAGGGTGGCTCTACATTTCCAGGTATGGATGCGTCTTCTTGACCCCTCAACTCGTGGTTGCACGACGTTCGTCCCTACTGTACTCATTTACCTTCTCCAGATTCCACATACCCCAATCACCGTCCGCGGTACACATGCCATTGGGTTTGATGTGGGCTGCCACACCCCGTTTCTCCGCACTCCATCACTCTTGACAAAACCGACTTCCTGATCATTCGATACCCGTCTATGCCATGTACCTATCTTGCCGGCAGCCAAGGTACTTGACCCTGTTCCTGGTCTTTGACTCCCCGAGACCAGACGCCGCCACGCCTCTCGCATACCCTTTCCGCCGTGCGCCACGAGGAAGTCTCGTCCGTCGACTCCAGACTCCCAGCCGGCCCGAGAGAGATGAAGACACCCAGACATAGGCAGGCACTCAGGCACCTACCTCGGCCTGTCACCCTCGTGACACCACCATAATCGCCTACCCCGGCACTCGCATCTGAGGCTTCTGCTAACCCTCTCTCGAATCTTGTAGTTCACGACGTACCTGAATCTATCTAGTTCGGTTCCTGACACCGGCTTCCCAATCCTACCAACGCCATTTGTCTAGCATCAGCACCTCAACCGGCGGCCGCGACCCTTCCCCAGCTTAAGGTATTCGTACCTCGCGTTGACCAACGGTGGATCGCCCTTTTGCGGTAGACGGTAGTCAACCGCTTCGCCTGGCCTGGCCTAGTCTGGCCCCGTCCCCGTCCCCGTCCCCGTCCCCGTCCCCCATTTCCCGTTTTCTTTTACCCAGGCCGGCTCCAGCCAGCACGTTTACCCGACATGGTACTTCACCTTGCTTGCGAGGCTTGCTTTGCTCTGTCTGCTCTTACCCAGCCAGCCGAAGCGGCATTGATGTCCCATCGCCTTTTTTCTCGTTATACCATGCCATGCAGATATGCCATACCCCCTTGCAACTTTCTCCACACTCGATGTTGCCGCGCCGGTCCTCTGCAAATAGCTGCCGGACTGAGTGCTTCGTACAGAGTACCTCCTTCGGCTTTTATCGACCAGCCTCCCATGTAATTATATAAAAGGTCTGCACCTTGCCAACTCGTTCCAACCGCTTTTCTGGGCTACTCGTTCGGCAGAACCAGAAAGGCTTCCGACTTTTCGTAAACTTACCAGACCGTCTAACTTTCGTTGACGGTTCTGGACCTCGCTTCATCCGAACTTGGATCCTTTGTATTCAATCTTCGTAGACAAGAAACAACCAACCCTCCGCTGGCGGTGAGCATGGCCCCGTCCATCCCGGTCCCCACTCAAGGTGGCATGTTCCACACATGTAAGAATCCAAAAAACCAACTACTTTGCGCTGTTCCACGTGAGTTTCTCGCTGAAGACTCCCAGTTCAAGGCGTCACCCCGCGGAAACCGGCAAGCGAGTCCCAAGACAGCGGGAAGACGTCTGGCTCAACAGGCTCTAAGAGAATCACCACTCCTCATGCGTGCGCAGAATGCAAGAGGCGGAAAATGTGAGTTTTTCGCCAATCAGGCCCGCCTTGCCCGTTCAACACCATCTGACCTCCGTGTAGCCGCTGCGATGGCCAACAACCCTGCGGTCAGTGCCTTTCAAGCCGCGCCCCTAAGAGATGCTTCTACGACAAGCACCGGCAACGGGTCATTCCTTCGAGAAAGACGCTAGAGGCGCTCTCCCAGTCACTCGAAGAATGCCGCTCTATTCTTAAGCGTCTTTTCCCCGACCAGGACGTCCAGTCTTTGCTCCCACTCTCCCGCCAGGAGCTCCTTTGCCTCCTCGAGAGGCCGGTGCAGGAAACGCCGACGGCACTGCCATCCCCGCCTTTGAACGCGTCTCCTCTCTCGCAGGAACTGGAGTCTCCGGTGTGTTCTGGTAGCGAACAGGGTCTATCCGGCCTTGAGCTGATGCCCGGCCGAGACACTGAGTGGGATGAGGAGCGCCGCGGTCGCGACCCGATCCCCATCGAGGCTGACGACGTTAATGCACTTTCTCTCTCTGTGGACCGGCAATCGTCTTATCTGGGCGCCTCGTCCATCAAAGCCGCCTTGATGTGTCTGCTCAAGGTCCATCCAGGGTTACGGAACTCGCTCACCACGCCACTGCACAGCGCCGAAGTCACGCACAACTTCCCGACCATGCGATCAAGAGGCTCGGTGCCCAAAGATTCGCAGCGTATTCCTTGGTCCTGGAAAGGCCAGACACTCATAGACGCCTACTTCAAGCGCATTCACGTTTTCGTCCCCATGCTCGACGAAGCCGCTTTCCGAGCAGATTATCTCGAGGGCCAGCGATTCGACGCCCCCTGGCTCGCTCTGCTCAACATGGTCTTTGCTATGGGAAGCATTGTGGCCATGAAGTCAGATGATTACAACCACATCAACTACTACAACAGAGCCATGGAACACCTGCCACTGGATGCCTTCGGGAGCAGCCACATCGAAAGCGTCCAGGCGCTGGCCCTGGTTGGGGGCTACTATCTTCATTACATCAACAGACCAAACATGGCAAACGCCGTCCTTGGAGCGGCCATCCGAATGGCGAGCGCTCTTGGTCTCCACCGTGAGAGCTTGGCCCAGGGGTCCAACGATGTTGCCGCCGCCGAGACCAGGCGCCGCACTTGGTGGAGTCTCTTCTGCCTCGACACGTGGGCCACGACAACCATGGGCCGGCCGTCGTTCGGGAGGTGGGGTCCTGCGATCAACATCCGGCCCCCTGAGTTCGGCATCAATCAGGTAAGCAGTCGTCCCCAGTAAAGCTGTGAACAACGAGTCTAGGAGGCTAACGGGTTGCCGCTGTAGGCTCGGGACTCTGCTCAACACGCCGGCATTTTGCCATTGATCGAAAACATCAAGTTCTGCAAGATCGCCACTCAAATCCAAGACCTGTTGGCGATCTCGCCCCTCCTGCGGGCAGAGGATCGCTGCAACCTCGACGGTCAGCTGGTCAACTGGTACAGTAGCCTCCCATGGCTTCTGAGAACGACCGACCCCTGCGCCGAGCCTCTGTACATCGCGAGGTGTATCATGAAGTGGCGTTACCAGAACCTCCGGATGCTGCTCTACCGACCAGTCCTGCTCAGTATCGCCAGCAGTGGCGCCTTGACTCAGGTGGCGGATCAGGACGTCACAGCCATCGAGACTTGTCGTGAGCTTGCCAAGCAGACTATCGAGGACATTGCACGGGAATGGACCCGTAATCAAATGTCCGGGTGGAACGCCGTGTGGTTTCTTTACCAGGCGGCCATGATCCCCCTGGTCAGTGTCTTTTGGCAATGGAACAGTCCACGTGTTCCCGACTGGCACCAGCAGATCGAGACGATCCTCGACCTACTCGAGGCCATGGAGGACTGGTCATTGGCAGCACGACGAAGCCGTGAGGTAGTGTGGCGAATGTATGAGGCCTCTCGGCAGCCCTCGATGCGGTCAGAGAGCCCCCTGCAAGGCATTGGAGGCGAGCACGGGCTGCTGATGGGCGAGACGGAGCTACACATGTCACCCATAGGCCTGGAGCCGGAAGGGATGGGCATGATGGGCGTGCTAGATCAACATGGCCTCTGGGATCTGGACGGCATGTACTGGGGCCAAAGTCCGGAGCAAGGTGTGGACTTTTCCCCATACGGCGTCAACGATCACATGATGGGCATGGACTACAGCATGATGGGCAGCCAGGCTGCGGCAATGGAGGGCGCCTTTTTCGCCCACTAGTGTGGCGAGCTTCAGAGTTGCTCTCCGCGTGTTTTCTTTTCACCAGTACATATATCCCTTACCAGTACATACTTTCGTTCTTCGTCAGAGGGAGTGCCAGATGTCATGAACTTTGGGGAGGATTGTACATCGCTGGAGTGGCCAAAAACGGGAACAGAATTCGCCCGGTGTTTCGGCTGACGGGCCAGAATTGGAGGGAGTTTGGCCTTTGGGCACGGAAAACGGGACATGACGACAGCAGAGATGATGAGAAATACCCGGAATGACGACGATGATGTACGTAGAGCTGGCAACGAACCAGACACACCAGATGAGGATAAAAAAGAAGATATGACGATGAGTCGGAGCCTCGGCCAGCAACACTTCGTCTGTATATTGCATGGTAACATGGCCGGACCAGTACGAAGCGCGAACTTGCAATCTTACTGTCCGCAATGAACCCTCCTGGGCGTAACCCAGCCAAGGCAGTCGGTCCTGCTTTCCTAATGAACGCTGCATAGTGAACATACCTGCGCGAGCTACTGACCGGCACATGACTTCGGGGGCATGGGTGGAAATGGTGTGTACGATGGAGGAGGGGACCATTTTTCCGGAGTCAAGAAGCAATAAGATGCCTCATCCTCATCCTCCTCCACTTCCTCTCGTCTAGTTCCTCCGGGGAATGAGTACACCACGTTATGCTATGATCAGAAGACATGGGAGGCATTATTCATGGGGTACGTCGGCATCAATGAGAGTCGGCCGACGAAAACCGTGGTTGTAATGGGACCCCTGATGGGATCGTGGGATGTGTGTCCAAGTGTTGATTGGACGTCCGCGTCGAGGTTGTACACACGCCAGATGAATAAGGAGTCCCTCAAGCATTCAGCCTTTAAGCATATCGGCACGATGGAGGGGAGCTCAGGGGGCGCATCGGCCGGGGTAGGGATGAGGGTGGTGGTTGGTGCCGAGCCTTTGAAGCGGCTGGGTTCTCGATGTACAGATGCGGCAGGGATGTGAGTACATTGGATGCGAAGCCTTGGAGGGGCGCCGGTCAGGACTCAGTAGTACTAAGGAACACAATATTGCTGGCAAGAGAGTCGCGTCTCAAGAGAGCATGGCACACCTACTGTAGGATAGACGTGCAGGTATACGAAGCATGGCGTTGCGATTGGGCGGATAAATGTGGTGGTGGAGGTCTCGAAAATCGTTGTCTGGATTGTCGGGCCGCATCGACTTTAGCTGCCCCTGTAATTACCCCACAACAAGTCATCCCATGATCCATGCCATGCACTGACATACATCCCTGGTTTCTCTCTCCTTCTGTCGCCTCATGCACATGTAGGCGCAGGCGCAGCGGCGTCAAGAGCCCTGCTTGTGCCTGCTTCGGCGTCATTCACTTGGATTATGGCCGGGAGTCAGGCGTTCGGGTTGCTTGTGTTACGACGCTGAATCTAGAGAGGAGGGGAAGAGAAAAAAAGAAAAAAAGAAAAACGTGTTGGAAGACGCCATGCGGGGAAACAATCGTTGAGGTCAGGAGTCGACATGGTCATTGGCTGTTGTCGTTGGAGTCGGTTGGAGTCGGTTGGGGTTCCGTCTCGTCTCAGCCGCCGAGGGAAAAACTAGCTGGACGGATGTAACCGCCGTGGAATTCATAGCCAGACATTGGAAATATTCTCTCAGCGGGTACCGCCAATGTATTACCCAGGGCAATCAACATGACGACAGTCCAATCTTCAGGAATCATGCATCTGCCTGTATGCGTCGACGGCGGTGGTTGAATGACGGCGCACACACGGGAAAGACTTGCTTCTGTCTATCCATGTTTGCTTCTTTGTGGGGGGGGGGGGGGGGGGCGGGGGGGGGGGGGGGGGGGGGGGGGGGGGGGGGGGGGGGGGGGG